AACAATATTCAGAGGCCGTAAAATCCACAGCAAAACTGCACTGAAGGTAAGCAAACAAACCAACAAACAAACACAAACACAGATACAATCACAAATACATATATATAGATAGATACAGACGCACGTATAAGGATAAGCCAAACAACCAAAACAACCCCCACCCTCTGGCGAGGCAGGGTCTCCCCAATGGTCATGTTTACTCAAACTCGAACACAAATGCTTTCATAATTTCAAACCATCCCTACCCCCGCCCCCAACCCACCCTACCACACACACACCCACACACCCACAAACCCACAGATACACAAATACACGCATAAATCTTCAGCTGGCGCCATTTCACTCCTTCGCTGGAACTATAAAAGCCCCAGCCACCGTCTGCGCTGGCAACCTCCTCAGTAACATCAATGTTTTGCTTGTTGTCGTTTGCTTTTCCATTTCCCCAGCTCCAGGCCCCTGCCCCTGCCCCTGCCCCAGCCACTGCCACTGCCACTGGCACTCCATACTCTATCTGGCACCCCCCTGCGTTCTACCGAAAACCCCCCTAGGGACAGCAGCATCCTTCCAATTACTCACACATTCAACGAGCACTCATTTAAACGAAGCACCCAACGCTTACAGCATAACGTCAAAGTTAACTCGCTGGAGCGCGAAGCTTGGCAAGGAGATGGTGGCCAAGAGTGAAAGAGAGAGAGAGAGAGAGACGCAGAGAAAGCGAGAGAGAGAGAGAGAGAGAGCGTGTGTGGCATCCACTCGTGCCACACTGTTCTGCTCGTGCGTTCGTGCCGCCCATTCGTGCGTCCTCGCATCGGGCATGCCATCCTCTTGGCACTCCACTCCGGCAACAATGCTCGCTGATGACGTACCATGGGATGGAGGTCGGAAATTGTCGGATGAAATTATCAGAATTTATGTGCTGATACGTGTACGTACTCGAATGGATATTGTTCCTAAGAACACAACAATTACATTACCTTCCATTAAATGAATGTGTGGAAATATCATTTAGGAAATAGCTTTTGAGCACCAATTCGAATCGGACGGGAATGGCGTCCTAGATGCGGCTTCAATAGCCTGTTATAAGTTTTCATAATTATAATTAGAGTTTTTCATCGTTTTTATAGTTTTTAGTTAAGAAAACATATTTCGGGGTTCTACTAAAATTTAGCTATAAAATTATATTGTATTGTATATACTCGTACTCTCCATTTTCAAAATTAGAAAACATTTTTAATGCAATCATAAATCATAAAAGAAGAAAATCATTCCTTATGCTCAGGAAATGAATTTTAATGGAAAGATCATGGTCAAAACCCTGTAACTGTAAAATCTGTTCAGAGCAAGTCCAATGTGGCTCGTGAATAATATTTTTAGAAGCAGTTTAGTGGAAATTAATTGTATTCCGAAAACAAAGTACAAGTTCTCAACGTTTAATTTGTAATATTCATTTGACAATCCTAAATTTGGCAGCAATTCAAGCCACTGTAAAGGACTAACGCACAGCACTGTACACTCCCACACCCACACACTGGCAGCACAAGAGCACACACACACGACAACACACACACACAAACAGGGAAACCATTATCGGCACAATGTTGGAGGATTGTTATACTCGTACGAGTATGCGGGTCCGTTCTATTATAACATTTCGAATCTTGTTACAGCATTGACACAGTGTGCAGTCGTCCTTTCCTTTTCTCTCTTTTCGCCTTTCTCTCTTTTCTCTGTTGTTCTTTTTTTTGTGTGCAAATTTACGTGTTTGTATGTCTGTGTGCTGTATGTTGTATGTGTATGTATATGGGCTACTATGCTAAAAGTTTGTTTCCCCATAGAGAATGGCCACACCCCCCCCTCGAGCATCACCACCAGCATCTCCATTCCATCCCGTCCCATCGCACCCAATCTCTCATCCCAACGCAAAGACGCCAGCAGCAACTTGTTTGTGTTCCTGTGTGTGTGTGTGTGAGAGTAGGGGTGTGTGTACGTGTGTGAGTGTGTAGGGGGCTGGTGGAAGGGGGGTATTCTTGGTAAAGTTTTTGGCTTTCTTTTATTTTCTTTTTCTGTTATTTAATTGTTTTTGTATTGTTGTTCTTGTTGTTGCGTCTCGTGTTTGACTTCTGAGTTGTCGTTGTAGTTGTCATCGTTCCTCCATAGTCGTTATGGCCTTACATAGAGGGTATTATGACTTTGAGCAGGTGTTTGCAACGCAGAAAAGCAAGAATTTTCGACCGCATATAAATTGAAAAGGGAAATTCCCCATAGCCGAACAGCTGCCATTAGATACTATATGTTTTTGGACTGCAATAGCTATAGGAATTATTTTTCTTTTATGCTAATAAAGAATAAGATTGTCGGACTGCAGGATTCGGCTTATTCTTATCACAATGAAGCTCTGAGCAGGCTTGTCTATTCGCTTCTCTATATGTAGTTCCGAACCACTAAGATCCTATCCATAGCCTTAGAAGAAACTGCTTAGGGAAACTGCTATTTTAGATATAATTCAACCAACCGATAATAATTGAATCCCTATATGATACTACATATACGAACGATGGATTGAAAAACCATTCTAGTGAGAGTAAAACCACCACAAAATGTTACAAATGGCAGATTGCTGTATACGAGTTTTTACAGGCCAAGTTTAGACAAAATCAAATCACTCTCGAATTATAAACATATTTTTGTTTTTGTAATGTAAGATAATTCCTAATAGCTAAGTGAAATTAGACCAAAAAACTCGAATTGAAACGATGGATCTACTAGGGTATCAAATGCTTCTATCCCAAAAGGGTAGCAGCTTTCTTTTGTTGTTTCTGTTGTTGCCACTTGTCGTGGCAACTTCGCTGGCTGTTCGTGTATTTGATAACTTTCGTTTTAACTGTCAATGAAGGCAATTGAAAGTTGCCAGATTGTTGCAAGCTCCCCAACCACCGTTAGAGGCCAGGGCTCGACACGACTTTAAATGGAACTTTTTTCGGGCAAAGCTTTAAGAGAGAGTTTCGAGGGAGCGGTAGGGGGCGGGGCTGTGGGCAAAAGGATTATCCCGCAGCATCCCCACCCCACCCATCCACTAGATGGTAGTAAAACACTCACACACACACACACACTTGCATACAAAGTGGAAACAGAAAACACACACACACACACACACTTATACACACATATTTGTCAAACGTAAAACTATGTTGGGGATGTCGCTCTGGCAGCCAGCTGGGCGGCCACCCAGTAGCGAGCGCCACCCACCTCCTCCAACATTGTAGATGTGTATGTATTTATATGTACGCAGAGTCACATAATCTCCAAGCACACACACACACTCGCAGAGAGAGAGAGAGAGGGAGTCGGAGGGAGGGAGGGAGCGAGATGGATGGACAAAAACACAGTTAGCAATTTACTGTATTTCTATTATGTATGAATTTTTTCGCGTGTGTGTGCCAGCAGGCAGCAGGCATTACATCTTCTATGTAGCATGTTTTTTAATACTCTTATTTTGGTCGTGTCCTTCCAGTGGCAAAAATGGCAGCCCAGAGTCCTTAATGCTGTGCATTATACAGTTATACACACGAATACACCGAAAAGAGAAAAACTTTCAACTTCAAGAATTTGCTTGCAATTTTGGGACTTTGTTGGCAGTTTTTTGTTGTTGTTTTTTTTTTTGTCAACTATTTTCAAAAATCAATGTGCGAGTAACGGTTTACTGCTTAGATTTTCTCCATGTTTCACAGCACTTTTCATCCTTGATTTCTTTCTTTCTTTCTTTTCACACGACGCTACCTTTTGTTGTTTGAAAATTATTGAAATATCATTTATTGGTTGTTATATGTGTGGATATATACACGCGTTTATTTATTTATACCTATGTATATGCATCGAATTTTTGAACGTTAAAAGTTTAGTCAGCTTTGCTTCTTGTTTTGCCGTTGCTTTCCTGCTCTATCTTGTCTATTTGTGTGTTTTTTTTTGTTTGGTTTATTTTTTGTAGTGTAGAAAAAATTAAAAACGCGCCGTTGGTATAAAAATGTTTTTAGCTAATGCGATTTTAACGTTTTGCATGCGAACCAACAACTATTTTGGCCAAGTGCGCGCTGCCAAAGCAGAAGCTCTCTGAACCAACCGAACGGCCGACGCGACGAATGCCGATGGATGCTGTATATATGAATATACGGATATACATATGTTTGCTGGCGCAGCGCGCAAAGATAACGGCTGCTCCGAGAGATGCTACGGGGAGATACAAATTGTTGTTTGGATGCTGGCGTCTGCGCAATAATCCCACCTGCCAGCATTGCCAGATGCGTCCCGACTCGTCTCGCTTCGGCCGTTTGACACTCACAGCGAGCGACCGCTGCGCGCGCGATTCAAATCGGACAGCGCTCGGAAGGGGGTGCGAGTAGTAATTAGAATTTATGACTTAACTGGAAGCGGGAAATCATAAATAGACTAGCAGCAGTGATCACGTGAACCAGCACTCTCGTGTTCAGGCAAGCGGATGCGCAGGCAAAGCGGATAGGGTGTACACACGTTTCACTTGTGGGATGGGAGGGGCCGCAGGCAGACGACGCCGGGTCTTGATGATAACGACCACTATTGAAAACAACAGTTTTCGAAAAACAAAATATTACAGTAAGAGCCCGCTAAGACATAAATATGTTACAAAATGTTCAAGTGCATACAGATCAGAGCAGGCTCTATACGGTACCTGCCCTTTGATTTCAGTTAAAAAGGTGTCCATTCAGAAGGTAAAGGCTTGAATAGTAAATTCTGATCGCTTATCTCAGATTCTTCTGGAAATTCCACGAGCAGGCTCTACTGTTCACTGTACTCAAAACTCAACCGCACTCCAGGCAAGACAGCGGCAACGATCGCCGCTGAATTTTTCCTTTATCAGGTCAGGCTGGCAGCATTGATGACTTCTTACGAAATCGACCATCTCACAATGAGTAGATGATGCCCGAGAGGTTCTATAAATATCGCAGGTCTCGTGCCAGACGCCATCAGTGGCACGGAAAACGTGAACCGAAACGCATTGACAGTATTGACAGTATTGACAGCAGCAATGATGAGGCTGCAGATCGTCCCAATCCTTTTCTTGCTGAGTGCGCTGGTCAGCGGTCGAGGTAAGTGAGCTCAAAGTCTGTGAAGTGAATCTTGAGGGCGATCTAACGCAACTGTACCTCCGCAACTAGTGCTGGACACTCGGGAAACAGAGCGACGCATGCACCCGCTCTTCTCGGCGGGATCAGGAGCTGGCAGTCGACTCAAGCGAGCCATGCCCATGATCGTGTTTGACCCCCTGAAGGCGGAGGAGCAGTACGCCGAGTACTGGCAGGGACTGGCGCATCAAACCCTCGACCAGCAGCTGGAGAGCAAGCTGCGGCTGAACACCCAGCTGGCCAAGAATGTGATGCTATTTTTGGGCGACGGCATGTCCATTCCCACCCTCACGGCGGGACGCGTCTACCTGGGCGGCGAGGAGAAGCAGTTCTCCTTCGAGCAGTTCCCCTATGTGGGCCTCAGCAAGACCTACTGCGCCAACATGCAGGTGGCGGACTCCGCCTGCACGGCCACCGCCTACCTCGGCGGAGTGAAGGCCAACTACGGCACGGTGGGCGTGAGTGCGGCCGTACAGGTGAAGGACTGCCTGGCCCAGGCTCAGCCGGCGCACCATGTGGCCTCCATTGCCGCGTGGGCCCAGCAACAGGGTATGGCCACGGGTCTGATCACCACAACTTCGGTGACGCACGCCTCCCCCGCGGGCATATACGCCCACACGGCCAATCGCAACTGGGAGAACGATGCAGAAGTCATAGCGGACAACGGGGATCCCAGCCTCTGTCCGGACATTGCCGCCCAGCTGGTGAACAGTCCGATCGGCCAGAAACTAAATGTGATCCTGGGCGGAGGGCGCCAGAACTTCCTGCCCAAGACCGTCAGGGATGTGAGTGGTGCCCCGGGCCGACGACTCGACGGACGCAATCTCATCGAAGAGTGGCAGCGCCAGCACACCAACAGCGCCCACTACGTCCAGACGCGACGCGAACTGCTCGGCCTCTCCAATCACACCTCTCGGGTGCTCGGCTTGTTTGCGCCCTACCACATGCCCTACCACCTGGACGCCGATGCCGAGGAGCATCCCACGCTGGAGGAGATGGTGCAGGTGGCCATGGACATACTGGAGCGGCAGAGTGCCGGACGGGGCTACTTTCTGTTCGTGGAGGGCGGGCGCATCGATCATGGACACCACGACACCCTGGCCCTGCGCGCCATCGACGAAACGGCAGAGTTCGACAAGTCCGTGCGTTGGGCTCGGACCCACAGCAGCACCGATGACACCCTGATCGTGGTCACATCGGATCACTCGCACACCATGTCGCTGGCGGGCTACTCCAGCCGCAAGAACGACATCTTCGGGATCAACAACGGCCAGCTGGCGGCAGACGATCTGCCGTATGCAACGCTCAGCTATGCCAATGGGCCCGGCTACAACTCCAACTACCTGCGGGAGGGGGGAGCCGTGAAGCGGAAGAACCTGCGGGCCATCAACATGAAGAACAAGGACTTTATGTTCCCCAGCACGGTGCCGCTGGAGTCGGAGACTCATGGCGGCGATGATGTGGCCGTCTTTGCCAGCGGACCCTATGCCCAGCTCTTCACTGGCGTCTTTGAGCAGCACTTCATCCCCCATGCAATGGGCTATGCCTCCTGTCTGACCGAGCGAAATATGTGCCTGGATGGGGGCATGGCGCGGAGACCGCGTTAAGTCGGGACTCTAAGGAAATACGGTATTATTCTCAAAATAAGAGCATTCTCTAGGCTAATTAATAATCTAAGGGGAGGGATACTTAAATATACACTACATATTTGAAAACTGAACTGAAAATGGATCAATCTAAACACTAGGAGATTGTTATACATATATCGGTTACTTTCTTGTCGGGGTTCATAACGACTCAAGTACCAGGAGATCTTTTGAAAAAGTAACGTAAAATTCTTAAATTTTGTATTTTCTATCTGAATATTACGGATAATGTTCCGCTTGGTTCTTGTTAATGCTCGTGCACTCCTTGGAGGACAAGAAAAAGGTAGAAAAAGCCGCCCCCTGGTGGGGGTGGATCGCCTCTACGCTAGATATCAGTTTAAAAGGCCGAAACCCTTCTACTATCCCGATCGCAAGGAGGAGGCCGAGCGCAAGGCTGAAGCAGCAACCAAAGAAATAGTTGAGATGGAGAACAGCGGACTGCGGCCAAAGAACTTCTGTTACAAGGTCCTGGGCGTCAGCAAGTACGCAACCATCGAAGAAATCCGCGACGCCTACCTGGTACTGGCAAAGCGCTACTATCCAGATGTAGCGCGCTCTAAGAGGGCTCTCAACCAATTCCAGGAGATCTCCAACTCGTATCATATTCTTACTGAGGCAAACAAAAGGCTGGAATATGACCATCGCAAAAACGTGGCAATTGAAAAGGCCTGGTCGAGGCCTCCGAAGAAATTGCGGCAGAAGTGGCATAAAACTAAGCAACTTCAATCGGAGATATCCGCCAACGATGGTGAGATGTTGTTGTATCCTTTTGTCCCTGACTTCATAATGATCTCCCATCCCACATGTAGAAGAGGCCACCCTTGGCTGCAATAAACTCTTCGACCTGTGGTACTTAAGGAAGTGTGAAAAGTGCGGGGGCACGCCCCAGTTGTTGTCAGATCGCGATGTCGAGAAGGAGCCATGCCGCCGCTGCCATGGCACAGGCAAGGTGTTCAGTCAATCAAGCGGAACCCATGCGGACATACTGTCAGACGTCGAGATGGTGGTTATAAAAAGTAAGGGTATACGCAGGAATGGAGTGGGCAAAGGTATTGACACAGTGAAGGTTTTCGTTCCCCATAAACTGTCTGCGGAGCAGCGTCTTCTGATTCTGGCATTGGCCAAAACAGAGGACCCCATCTTTTGAGGTAAGACGGTAGCAGCGGAGGCCAGAGAGAACAGCGTAGAACGCAAGGAAGACTCTCCATGGCGGTGACTCTCAGAAGGAATAAGCAATTCGTAATCTCTATTGGGAGCTGGGATCCAGAAATTTCGTTGGCGCCATGGTCGGTGTAATGTAGCTGTCTGGCAGCCTGGTTTGGTATCACAGCTGTCTGGCAGCCTTGCTTGGCATCGCGGATTTATTTTGTTCTGACCTACGGCCACACTACCAGCAAAACACAAACAAAATAGGTATTTTTTCTGCTACCAAAAAAAGTGTTAAAAAACAGGCTCCAGGTGTTGAGATATTTAATGGAAATTTGCTAAATAAAGTGAGTAAAGTACACGCATTGACTGGGCGAAAATATAATTCATGAAATGTGCGCAGTTGGGGCCAGAGTTGGAGCGGTGTGCGTGTCCGTGTGTCAGCAACCAGTTTTGTGCGACTTGCGCTCCAGAGAGATAATTCGGTTGTGTGTGTGTGCATTTGTGTGTGTATATATGTGATAAAAACAATAACAATTTACACGCAATGCAAAACATTCAAAAAGTTGGATCATTTTGCACCCGCCATCGTCATTTACCAACACTTTTGCTTGGGGGATTACGTTGTCCGACCGCTGGCTAGCATCATCATTTCAGGGCTCGCAGCTTGATTTATTAATAATTATTGTCTATGGGTACATTTGTATGTATTGGGGGTACGGCACTGTAGTGCTCCCCGTTTGGGTAAGGAACGTCATTCACCTTGACTTGTGTGCCGTGCCAGGTGGAGCGTTGCGTCTGTCCAAAAGTCATTCCCCGCTCAATGCTGATTTCTGCTGCGCTTCATTTCACATGGGGCACTCCAAAACACTCAGTCATCCAGGCAGAGTACCATGGAGCATGTGCTCCATCGTATAACACGTCGACAAGACAATTTAGTGGCTATCGATGGGGATGGCTTATCAGCTGCCACAAAAGATCCGGGCGATAAGCAGGCCGAGCCACTGACTGCCATTTGGACATTATGGCCGACAATGTGTCTCAAAGAATCAGATATACAATAGACGAACGTGGGCAAATATTTGCGATCTTTATGACTAATTCTTAGGATATTGAGATCGTGCCAAAACTTGAGGTTGCTCTGGTCGCTCTTCAGAAAACTTTGTGTTGGTTTAATTAAACAAAGCAATTTTCGTGCAGAAGCAGGGCCCCCCCGTTGGTGCAAGACCTTTAAACCTGATTAATCGTCAATTTTGATACACATACACAAAGGTAAACCGATGTACATATGCACCGATTCTTGCTTAGTTGTATATTTTCTATTATTAATTGCTGCTCGCGATCAAAGTTTTCTCGCCCGCTCGCTCTCTCACTTGCTCGGCGATCGGCCCTCTCTTTGCCAATTTTGCTTTGGATTCGGTTTAGTTATTGCTTTTGCCTTGTGCCGTGCAGTTTGTGCAACATCTTCGGGGGTTCACTGTTGTCTCTAGGTAAATTGATTACAAGATCTTCAGATCTTTTGCTAAGCGCTTTTACTCCACGCTTCGATTCGCTCTCGCTCCCCGTCTAGCACTTTCGATTGAACTTTGTTTCGACTGGGAAAAGTCCCAGACACTTGGTTAATTGTTTTGTAGTCGGATTCGCGGATTCCGATCAGCTTTAGCATACATTTCCGTTTATATTTGATATATATAAATATATATACAACAATATCAGACGACTCCTATGGGGTGTACGATCGATTACGTTCGTTTTTGTTCGCTAAAGCCTACTAAAGCCTATTTACTATTTGGCCTCCAGCTGCGGCAGATGTAGGGGCAGTGGATCTAGTGCTGCACCCGCTGTGGCTGCTGCACGATCGAAGCAGAGAGCATGACGCGGTGAGGTCATTAGTTGACGCACTCCGAAGGCCACATCTTCGAAGCTGATGCGCTCGCTGGGCTCCAGCTGCCAGCAGTTGAGCAGCAGCTGGTAGAGATCCCCGTAAACGTAGGCGGGCTGGGCCGGACGAACTGCCGCCCGTATGGCGTCCAAAAGCTGCTGACTGTTGGCCACCATATTCGCATATGGAGTGCCGCCCAGAGCGCAGCATTCCCAGGCGACACAGGCCAGGGCCCACACATCCGACTTGATCGAATGGTGCTGATGATGGCGCAGGACCTCCGGGGCCAGCCAGCGGCTCTGGTCCAGCTGCTCGCAGCTGTTGTGGATGTAGTGAAGCGGGCCGAAGACGCAGAGTTTCACCTTGGACTCGGCGTTGATGTAGACGCTGTGCGAGCAGAGCTGGCGATGCACGACCCGGCAGCTGGCGAGGTACGACATGGCAGTGGCCAACTCATAGATCCACTGTAGAACCAGCTGCTCGGAGAGGGAGGTCAACCGCGGTGACGTCGGCGCCATCTGGCGACTCTCGAGGAGTCGTCTCTTGAGACTCACGCGCTGCAGCTCGAAGACCAGATAGAACCAGTCTGGACTGGCCGATATGCCATAGAAGTTGAGCAGATGCTGATGCCGCTCCAGCTGGGAAAGCTGCCGCAACTCCCTCAGTAGCTGGGCCTGGGCAATGCCATTCAGTTCATCCAATGACAGGATATGTAGGGCGCAGTCCTTGGCGGTATCGTTCGAAGCAAACTTTCCCGAGATGATCTCTCCGAAGCGGCCCTCGCCAATCACATCGTTGACATTCAGGCGGAGGGCATTGCGCGGCAGGCGATCGAATCCGTCGACCAGCTGCTGAAGCTGTTGCTTAAAGGTCTCCAGCGAAGGGGGGGTGGCCAGCTCCTCTTCCACCAGGTAGCCATTGTTCTCGCGCTCAATGATCGGCGTCTGCAGGGTCATCTCGTGGCCATTTCGTCCTCCTATCCTTCCCCCGCTGCAGGTTTTGTAGCGCAGATAGAAGTAAGCGATCAGGCTGAGCAGCAGACAGCTGCCGAAGACCACGCAGGTGACGGCCAGGGCCACCACCGACGACTGACCCTTCTCGAAGGTGGCATAGCTGAAGTCGTCCATCGAAGTGGTGTGCTGTCCGTGAGTGCTTCGCGTGTACAGAGTTTTGGTCACGCCATCCAATTCGCTCAGCTAAAGATCACAAAAGAAGGCTAGAAACGAAGAAGGTAGCAGCTCCGTGGAGGAATACTCACCACTCCCAGGCTGACGTGCACATGGGCGGCGGGCTGCTCGAGCGGGGCATTGCGGTACCGTCCGTAGAGCTTGCCGTCGCCCACCACAAACTGGCGGGTGCGATTGTCCTCCGGCCTGTCGTAGTCCAGCTCGGCCGCAATGTAGTAGGGCGTTCCATCCTGCTGTGCCTGCTGCCAGCTGCCCAGCAGCTGCTCATCGAATGGCTGGCTGAGGGCATCGTCCACGTACTCCACGATGATGAGGAGCTTGCTCACAGGCCCATTGTCGTTGCGGACGGGGGCCAGTTCCACGGTCAGGGTTCGATCTGCGCGCGTCAGAATCTTGGGTTGCGGCGGGACTGGACTTGGGGAGCCCACCTCAGTGCTGGCCGCCAGGCTGTCATGTCCACATTCCGTCTGTCCCGGCTGCTGTTGCTCCATGCAGATGGCCCGCACCGTCACGTTGTAGAGCGTGGCCGGATGGAGGTCCGTCAGCTCGAACTGCGACTCTGTGCTCTGCACCATGAACTCTGGCTGGGGGAAGGCGGGCAGTGATGAGTAGGTCTTGACCACTTGGGCGCGTATCAGGAAGCTGGCTATCTGCTGGGTGGGCATCACAGCCTGGGCTCCGGCCAGGAGCAGCTTGCGCGGCTCATAGGCATCCCAGGCGACGGTTAGGCTGTTCTCGGTGCGATTGGACACTCGCAGATGGTGGGGCGCTGGCCGTCTCGTCAGCGTGGTGGAGTAGTAGGAGTGGACACCGACGCCGCCGCAGTACTGGGCCTTGTTGGCTAGGCACCGGGTGTTGCATAGCTGCTCGTCCTGCTGATCCTGCGCCTCCAGGGCGTTGGCACAGAAGCACTTCTCCGCCGCCAGCACGGCATAAAGATGGCCCTGGTGCTCGCAAATCTCGATGCAGGTCTGCGGCGTCTTGGCGTACACCGATTCGTGCAGCAGATCCGTGCGGGCCGTGTAGCAGCCGACGTAGTAGTACACAGGCGTCTGCTCTGGCACACAGGATGCTCCGGCCCATAGCCAGAGCATGGCCACGAGGCAGGCGGCCAGCCGCTGGGCAATCGGAACAGGGCGGTGTCCGCGTCCGCGGCCGCATCCAAATTCGAGTCCGAGTCTGAGCTGCATGCTGTCTGAATGGCGAGTGACCCTCGTGGTGGTTTTCCAGCAGTCGGGGAGCACCCTACTTGATTGAAGCTAATTAAACACTTTTTCGGACCCAATTTAGGCAAATTAAACGCTTATTCTTGTTTTCCTTTGGCCGCTCAACATTTTTTCAAGCGCTGCTCAGAACTAGCTTCTTCTTCCCGCCGTTCTGTTGTTGGTGGTTTCTCAGCAACCGTTTCATTTCCAGTTGACTAATCGGCTCTGCCGGCGTCGACGCTGGCACAACTGTTGCTGTTACTTTTCAATTTCGTTGTTTACATCGCTGCAAAGGCGGCTGGCAGGTGTGTGCGACAGAGAACACTGGTGCGGTGGCTTTTGTCTTTTGATCGTACGGTTTAGGCTGATGTAGAGCTGCGCTTGTCGCACACCTGTTTGACAGCCTGGCCTGAGCCGATCTTGGGCCAAACATGGCATTGCCAGCAGTGCTGAATATTTTTTGAAAATGCTGCTTCGCGCCAAACTCTGGCCAAGAGCCATATACCATCCACAGTGTCCAATTTAATTAAGTGGCAATGTGTTAATTTTACAGACAGTCGCGTTGGGGCTTTTCGTGGCTGCAACCGACAGCTGCGCTGCCCCAATTGTGCCCCAACGAGTGCCATGCGGGCAGAGCGCCACACTCTCTCTTCCACCTCTTGCTCTCACCGATCGTCTCTCTCAATTTCACTGCCCATTGAGTAAGCGCCGTGACTTGCGTGTTGTTTTTGTGATTTGGTTGACAGTTGTAGTTGTCTTTGTAGTTGTCTCCTATGCTAATTCAATTCAATTAAAGAAAACATATTGTTTTTTAAGGTGAGAATCGCGTGTGTCTGGCATAATTTCGCGATCCCCACATATGCTGATGTCCGTGGTGCGTGGTACGTGCTCCGTGTCTGTTTTGTTCTTTATTTCCAATCGCATTCCAAACCACAAGCAACTGCGTATCGAAACAAAGTTGTCGACGTCATCAACGGCGCGGCGCAGCAAATAAAATTAATGTAAATGTGTGATTTGGTGTGTGTTGTGTGAAGAATGCAGTGTGCATTTAACCTCTCGCCGAGCCACCAGTTCAAAATAATAGATACAGAAGTAGTTTAGAAGTGTTTCTGCACTGCAACTGAACTTTCCCTGAGATCGGGGACAGGGCACATAGTTGGGTTTATTTTTGGCTACCTCTCATAATTGCAGGCCGCTGCTCCGTGTCTCGTGGCGGTGCCAAAAATGAAACAGACCCCGCCGGAGGGGGAGCCGCAGAAGCTTGCGCAATTATGGTTTTACAGTTTTTTTTTCCAAATCATTGCTTATTTGTGTTTCCCGTCTGTTATTATAGTTGAAAACCCCAAAGCCCAAAATTTTTGAAGCAGAATCAGAAAGTATTTCACACAAGAACGCACACTCCGGAAAGACACGAAGATATAGCAATGGGCGGCTCGGCAGTGCAGGTCATCAATGCATCCGAGGAGCACACATTTGTGCTCAACGAGGATGCGCTCAGCGAGGTGCTGATGCGGGAGGAGGTCAAGGATCGCTTCGTGTGCGTGGTGTCTGTGGCGGGCGCCTTCCGCAAGGGCAAGAGCTTTCTGCTGGACTTCTTTCTGCGATACATGTACTCAAAGGTAGGTCGGGTAGTCCATTCCCTTGTGAATGCCTGTCTCTAGCCCTTTTCTTGCAGTATGTACGCCACGATGTGACAGACTGGCTGGGAGATGAGGCGGAGCCGTTGTCGGGCTTCTCGTGGCGCGGCGGCTCAGAGCGCGACACCACCGGCATCCTGATGTGGTCCGACATATTCCTGCACGACTATACCAATGGCGATAAGATCGCCATCATTCTGCTGGACACGCAGGGAGCCTTCGACAGCCAGAGCACAGTGCGAGACTGCGCCACGGTGTTCGCGCTGAGCACAATGCTGTCGTCGGTGCAGATATACAATCTCTCACAGAACATACAGGAGGACGACCTGCAGCATCTGCAGCTGTTCACCGAGTACGGCCGCCTGGCGCTGGCCGACACCGGCAAGAAGCCATTCCAGCGCCTGCAGTTCCTGGTCCGCGACTGGAGTTTCCCCTACGAGGCGGAGTACGGTGCACTGGGAGGAGACAAGATACTCAAACGCCGGCTGGAGGTGTCCGACAAGCAGCATCCGGAGCTACAGTCGCTGCGGCGCCACATCTCCTCGTGCTTCACCGAGGTGGCCTGCTTCCTGATGCCACATCCGGGCCTAAATGTGGCCACCAATCCAAAGTTCGATGGCCGACTCACTGACATCACGCCCGAGTTCAAGAACAGTCTGCGCACCCTGGTACCCATGCTGCTGGCACCGGACAATCTGGTCTACAAGGAAATCAGCGGTCAGCGGGTGCGGGCCCGCGATCTCATCCAGTACTTCCAGTCGTACATGAACATCTATAAAGGCAACGAGCTGCCGGAGCCAAAGAGCATGCTGGTGGCCACGGCCGAGGCCAATCATCTGACTGCTGTGGCCGCCGCCAAGGAGCTGTACCAGCAGCTCATGGAGGAGGTATGCGGCGGCACGCGGCCGTACTTAAGCACTGCCCACCTGGAGACGGAGCACATACGGGTCAAGGACAAGGCCCTGTTCCAGTTTGCCACCAAGCGCAAAATGGGCGGCGAGGAGTTCACCGAGAAGTTCCGCGTGCAGCTGGACGAGGATCTCGAGGAGGTGTTTGTCAACTACAAAGCGCACAACGAGAGCAAGAACATTTTCAAGGCGGCCCGGACACCGGCCGTGTACTTTGCCTGTGCCGTCATCATGTACATCCTCAGTGGTATCTTTGGCCTCGTCGGCCTCTACACATTTGCCAATTTCTGCAATCTGGTGATGGGCGTAGCCCTGCTGACGCTTGCACTCTGGGCGTACATCAGGTAAGAGCATTCGTAAAACCCGAAAAGAGATTTCCCATCCAACTGAGAGTCTCCTCGATCCATTACAGGTACAGCGGCGAGTTGAGCGATTTCGGTGGCAAATTGGATGAGTTTGCCACGCTCATGTGGGAGAAGGTGAGTAATAAATTCATTCTCGACTTAAATGGGACTGAAATCCATTTCACTTGCAGTTCATGCGACCCATCTATCATGGATGCATGGAGTCGGGCATCCATCATGTGGCCACCCATGCCACCGAGCTGGCTACGGGAGGAGGCGGTGCTGCCGGCTATCGCACCCAGTCATCGGTGAATGCCTCAAATGGCAAGGTGAAGCGCTCATGAGAATACGCCCAAGCATCGCAGCACAAAGCGCAGCATCAGGCGACCAGCAGTAACAGCAACAACAACAATAATAATAATAATAACAACAATGTGGCATACAAATCAAGAAAAAATAGCAACAAAAGTGGAGCTGAGTTCATAGAGAGCATTTGGCGCAGATTTGGCAGCAGCAGCAGCTCCACGAGCACGAACACCCCGTCTCCCCCAACGGCCATGGCCGCCCCGCCAACGGTCGCCTCTAGCAGCAACAACAACAGTCGCAAGAAACGAAAGCCGAAGCGCAACTAAGTGTCTGTCCATTGGTGCGAAAGTCCCTTGCCGGATTCCAACGTCTTTGTATGAAAGGAAGGAATCCGAATCCGAATCCGAGACCGAATCCGAGTCCTCTCCCTGAGTTGTATAAACCGATACTTTATAAAGTAGGATGAAAGAAACACACGTCTAGTTATTAATTGCCCCTGAAAGGAACCTGTTTTTATATTGCATTACTTGAAGTGTAGTTGGTCTATACATTACTTATAGTTAAGCGTACATAAGTGCATCATTAGTAAGTGGCTCGTATCTGTTGAGAGAAAGTGAAATTTTAAATTGTTTTTTATATATACTCGTACCATACACGATATGCGTCTATAAACGAACGGATATACGAAATCTAACGCTGTAATATAAAAAAAATCGCTAACGAATTTAATTTTGTTGAATTTTTTCTAATCTTGGTCTTGCCTCAGCACCGCTCCGCCCCTACGAACCTCCCGACTCACCTCCCACTCCCCCATCCTTGTCATTCGTTCGTTAAAGAATTCCATAAGCAATCTATTATTGTATGTATCAAAAAGTGCACTTTGTTGTTGGCTGGTTTGCTGCTTAGCGCCTCATTTTGCCACCCGTTTTGTTATTAATCTTAGTATCTCCTCTTTAATAAAGAAGAAAACAAATAATTAATTAGTCCATTGCCACCCATTGAGAATTGGTCACAAAGGCGATGCAATGCTGGTTTAGGTCTCTAGTTTATGTTGTGCAGTAAAATTAAAAGTAATTAACTCCTGGTTTTGTTTCGATTAAACATTAAATGTGTATGTACTATATGATAACTGATAGCTCACTAGCAGTTATGGCCATCGACTAAATAAACGAAAACCAAATGCAGTTTCTCTGTAGATGTTTCCTGTTTAAAGAGAAGAGGGTTGACGACCATGTTTTTGGTGTCTGTCCATTCAGGAATCACCATATTGCCAAGCACTAAAGACACTGCGTATTTCCCACTCTTCCTATATTAAAACACAGTCGCAATGCTGGTATAGGGCTTTAGTTTAATTACATATTATATTAGTATGTTGTGCGTATTATGAGGGTAAAGGTCGAAACGACTGCCTCCTACTTCTTGTCCCCGTTGCCACAGCACTTGCCCTGGGCATGGGCCGCTGAGTCATCCTTCTTCTTGCAGCATCCACCTGCAACGGGGGCATTGGCTGGATTGCAGCCGCATGTTCCGGGCTTCTGGCACTTGCAGCTGGCACAGCACTTCTCGAGAGTGCATGTGCAGTCTGCGAAAAGGCATGGACAGATGGCATTAGATATCCAGGTTCCAGAAAGCACAACAATGCGACCGAACTTACTCTTTTCACAACCAACGCAAGGCATTTTTCGATTTCGTTGAAGCAACCGACAGTACAAACGTTTTCTTACGCGAAAATATTATTTTTCCTCTTTCAAATAGAAACTATTTTTTTTCTGGTAAATTTGGGAAATATTTTACTATTTTTCTGTGATTTTTATTTTGTTCCTACACCGAAAACTGCCTAAAAAAGACTGACTTCTACACTATTTCTATTCTGTTCGTACACGTAAGTGTCTCCCGACTACTGGGGTGACGTTTCCCAGGAATTTGGCGGCGCATGCGTTCGATCAGAGTGGCAATAGAGAACAGAGTGCTACGTCTGGACGTAGCAACAGGTTGAGGGAGGAAGGGAGCCACCCCAAGGAATTACAACCAATACAAGGCCTCATTGCACTTCGACCACATATTGATGCATATTTGTACCGGCCAGCCAGTAGGCACAACATTGCTTGGTCTTCGCTACCGAATCCTGTGAGCAGTGTCACTCTTGTCTGCCCTCAAAAGGTTGAGATCTCCTTCCATAGAGTGCAATCCACAGGTGATGTGTGTTCTCGGCCCCGAGGAATTAAGTGCGACTGCTTTCGATTCAATTACATATCAGTTAACTTATATTCTCTCATGATTTTAGTTTGTGATTTTAGTTTTCGTTTGTTTTCTGTTTCAACACATTACATTGTAGATTTCGATCGTATGCTGGGGGTGTACGTGGCTTATGTCTAACAATGTGCGCCCTCCCCGGGATTCGTCGGGGCGGGCCATTACTTTAAGCTTTATTTATTTATTATTATTTATATTGGTATCATTTCTTGTGTCCTGTTGTGTTTCACCTTGGGACAGCAATCGCTTACGGACTACGTTGTATTTTATAACTTGAACTAAAAGAACTGTTCGATTTTGTTTGCGTTGTGCACAATTCACATTGGAAATCGTTGGCTAACAACACACATCCAATATTTTAAAATGTTTCGTTAAGTTATATATATATAGGTATCGTAATAATATCTGTTCATTTCTAACGTATCGTTTCTCGTTTACCGTGCTGGTGGGACGGGGACGGGTAAGGGGATGTGGAGGTGGAGGAGCAGGAGGATGAGGAGGAGCAAATGTTCTTAGCATCGTTTCATAAATGACACTTAATGGATCCTAATACAACACATATAATAGATATTAGCGTCTCGTAAGCCGTTTCATTGATATACTCTTCTGCCACTATTGCTGTTAAAACATTCAATGCCATTTGTTAATGGTAATCTTGTAATATTTCAGCTTTGTCTTGAGTTTGATGTTCTTTTTGGCATACAAATTGTTTTCCAATCTTTTGCACTTGGCTAAGTTCTGAAAGGTAATCTGCTTGGGCTCCTTCTTGGTTGTGTGCTTGGGGAGTCTTACAAATAGTTACATTTATAGCTATATATTGAATATATGTATGTGTTTGTGGGTCTTGAATGTGTGTGAGTTAGATGCCGCTAAGCTAACCTTACAATCTAGTATCCGTAACTTTTTTAAATCTGAATTCTTTTGTCCGTCTGTTCCGTCTGTCTCTTCGTGTGTGTGTGGAGCAGATTGGAGTCCACAAGTCAAACATTAGCACCAACCTTGGGTTGCTTACATTAATCTGTATCCGTATCTAACATTGACCTTTGGCCACGAAATTCTTACAAGTTAAGCAGCAGCCCCCCAATCCCATCATCCCCGCTTTCCCATCATCAGTCCAGGGGCTTGCCGAAAAATAAAATGCTGATCAAATCGTTGAACGACAACTACATTTGTGTTGGACTCGCCGCCTGGGATGTGGAGGCAACAGCGGGTGTGGTGGGCGTGGCCAGGGCAGCCTCGATGACGCTGGGCAGGGAATCGTCGGCCATCGGCTGGCTGCCATTGGGTTTGCCGGCCACGGGCGAATGCGGTCGCTTTTCGGCCTCTGTCCGTCCACAGAATGACGTCTCCGTTTCCATGGACGCTTCGGGCATGGGCGGCTCTGGCGGAGTGTGCGCCCCCTTGGGTCTGGCCTTGGCCGCCGCCGCTGCCGCCGCCGCCGCTGTCGATGTGGAGGCCTCGGAGGCTGCCGCCTGCTCTTCTATTTGCTTCGAGTCTCGCTTCAAGATGGAGAAAATCTTTTGGATGTACGACTCCATGGTGATTAGCGTGATCAGATGCTTCTCTCGCTCCTCGTTCAGGCGATCCTGTGCGGTTTTCTTGTTGCTGGACTTCTTGTTGCGCTTGGGCGTGGGCTCGAGCTCATCCTCAAGCTCCGTTTCATCGTCAGACGATGGGGTCGAGCCAGCTTTCTCTACGAGCTTCTCCGAAGACGTGCTCTCCATTTGCTCGTCCTCGCTGCCGGCAGGTGTCGGTGGTTTGGCAGTTTTGTCGACAACTGGGTCGCTGTTGAGGCTGTTGGTGGCCACAACCTCCATGGAGACATCTGTGGCCTTGCTGGGATCCGTAACCGAGGAGTTATCGGTGTCAGACTGCGCCGCCTGATCTTTCTCCTTCTCCTTGTACGAGTCCCGTTTCTGCTTCTTGTTGGGAAATTCGTCTACAGATAGGAATTAAATATAGCTATAAATGAAAGAACGGTGGAGGAAATAGAGGACTTTTACCCCGCTCTGCCTCTATCCTGAAGCGTTCGCTCTTGTTCTGGAGCGCCCTGAGGGAGCCACGCAACTCCTTCCGCACGGTGGCCGGCACACCCGTCGCCTCGGCAATGATCCGTATGGCAAACAGATCTCCGCACAGCTCATCGATGTCATCCTTCGAGTGCATGCCATAGTTGATCGTGTAGATCATGCGCGCCACTGGCAGCTGGGTGGCCACCCGATGGTAGTAGAGCTCCAGGAACTCGCGCACACACGTGTCCTTCAGCATGCTGCGCTCGTCCCTGAGCACATTGTGCAGGTATTCCACCAGCAGTTGGTTCTTGACCAGTAGCTCCGTGTATCTATCAGATCAGACGAACAATTAGCAGGGATCAGGTGACTCGGGAAGGGATCGACTCACTTGTGTGTCAGGGCATTGTTGTGGATGCCCACCCAGAACTTGGGAAAGTAATTGAAATGCAGCGGCGTCGATTCGATGGCCACCAGGCAGTGCAGTTTGACCAGGGTGTCGTTGAGGGAGCCCGTGTTGACGCACATCCGCATCATCACGTCGATGAAGTCGTGATAGGGCCTGTAGAAGGCCTCCACATGGGCATCGTACTCCGCATCCAGGCCACGCGGCGTCAGCTCGGACAAAGCGATGCACATCTGGACCATGGGCCGGGGCGGCCGTGGCGAGTTCTTGGCCCCCAGCGGCCAGGGTGTGTGCTTGGCTCCGCGACGTGGGAAGAACGGACCCAGGGGTCCGATGGCATTCGGCGCATTGGCCACGGACAAATGGCAGTTGATCAGAATGGGTGCCAGTATATTGGTGGCCTCCAGGCTGGTGTTCCGCACCAGCTCCTTGAGCACCTCCAGGGCCATGCGGCTGATCTCCGGCGAGTTGAATGTGTTCAGTAGCGTGGCCAGCCGCTTGACCGCATCCGGCAGGGCCTTGGCCAGGGCCGTGTGCTGGTGCTGCTGGCGCAAGAAATGCTGCTGCTGGAACTGCATGTGCTGCAGCTGCTGGAGTTGCAGATGCTGCTGCATCTGCTGCTGCAGCTGCTTCTCCTTCTGCTGCGGCGTCTGCGGGGCCTGGGTGCTCTGTGTCTGCTGCTGCTGCTTCTGCAGGAGCTGCTGTTGCTGCAGTTGTAGCTGCTGCTCCAGTTGTTGCTGCTGCTGCTGTTGCTTCTTCTGGGCGGGACTGTCCGTCCGGGTGCGCAGGGTGGCCAGCAGCAGGAGCATCTCCCCGAGCAGATCGAACAGATCCCCGGCCACATGGCAGGCCGTCGCCTCGTGATGCATGGAATGTAGCGTGTGCAGCGCCTCAAAGCACATCTCAATCCCTCCGTTGAAGATTACCACCATGCGATCATCCTCATTGTCCACTGGGAAGAGGCCAAACCAAAGTTAAATAAGTTTCCAACGTTTTAGCGGGATAATCTTACCCAATATCTTTAGAGCACTGATCAGCGTGGACCAGGAGACCCGTGCGTCCAGGCTGCTCATGTAGGACATAATGATTGTCCGCCTGAACTGTATGACATCCAGCTTCTCCTGCTCGCCGGCGTCTGGATGCCGTGTGGCAAACAGAGCCATCAGCTTGAACAGTTCGTCCACAGCGGCCGCATACTGGGTGGGATGCGGGGTGATGTTCTTGAAGGCCCACTGCAGGTTCTGGTGCTGCGCCAGCTGGCGGGTGAGGGCACGACTCTGCTCGCAGCACAGCCGCAGCAGGCCGTAGTAGGCGGGCAGCATGGACCGGTTGTAGGTGACGATCTCGGCGTCATCATGATCGGCCCTTAAGAGAGACATTGACAAGGTTAGAACTGAATGCGGCACAGAACATTCCCTTCTTATTCTTACAATATATAATTAAATGCTATGTTGCGCGTTATCTCCGGACAGCTGGCCACTTGGGCGGCATTCTCGGGACAGTCCACCAGTGAATGGTGCCAGAAGGTGAGCAGCGCATGCTTGTTGTGATGGGCGGGCACACTGGGCTCCGAGAGGCGCGGATGGAACAGCTCCCACAGGGAGCGCATGAACGAACCTATCTGTAAGTCCAACAGAGAGACAGAGAGAGACTTTAGGAGGAGCGGGAAATGTGGTGCTGCCAAAACTTGCCATTAGTTTTTCAGTCTTTGAAACCATACAGTAGCTGAGGAGGTTGAAGTAGGCGGTCAGCTTGGTGGTGCCATGGGAGGCAATGTCCGCATAGACGCGCGCCGGCCTCAACAGACGCAGCAGCAGCGTGATCACCTGATGCAGCACCACCTGGGCCTCGCTATTGATGTCGCTGGAACGTACAAAGTGTAGCCTAACGCATGTTTGATTGTTGAAGGGATAGGGATGGAGGGACACACTTACCGATAGCTGTGCGGATTGAGGGCCAACAGCTTGTGCTGCGAGTGCGCCCGAAAGTTGGCGCGGAAGGGCTGCGAGGGTACCAGAGCCACCAGCAGGAAGGCGGCAGCTAGAACATGTGTAAGGGACGGTTAGCAGGGCACCTCCATCGAGTGGATAAAGTACTGCATGCCATACCATTCCGCACGCGCGTGTTGTCGTGGGCTAGAAGGAACTGCTCCAGCCACTGCTCAGCGGATTGGAGGATCCAGGCGTGGGCTATCTTGTTTTTGGTGGCCTGCAGGGAGAGCCAGTCGAGCACGGACTGCGGGCAGTACTCGGCGGCGTCCCACATGCGGGGCAGAATGAGTTGCGTGAAGCAGGGCAGGCCCACGGGACCGCCCTGGGTCTCTGTGAGCAGCGTGAGCAGCTTGAAGAAGGGGGCGCAGAGCTCCGTGTGCTTGGTGACCGACGCGAAGAGCATGCTGACGATCTGGGTGGCCAGGCGGTCGTCCCAGCGGCAGAGAGCATGGATTAAATGCTTGGTCTGGTGCGGATTAATTCCATCCTTTATTTGTTGGTACAAGAATGGAAAACCCTACAAAAAATATATGCGCAAAATACATTAAAAATGTGGCATATTAAATCAAAGGCTGAATGAATTGGGTTGAATGACAGTCGTTATATACATTGATTTCAGATTTTGATTCAGTTGTGTTCAAGGCATTCTTTTCGTGCAAAATGGATTTGAATTATTTGCTTTGCAGCTTTTTGAGCATCACCTTGCCGCCGGCTATGGCGTTAAAGTCTTTTGGGGAGAGCTTCAGACGGAAATCGGGGCCGCGGGATCTCTCCACGAGGCTGGCACAGAGCGCTATCATCTTGTCCAGCGAGGCCGGCCGCATCTTCTCCACGGAGAGCGCCTCGTCGGAGGAGTTGTCCTCGTTGTCCGAGCTGATTTCGATCTGTAATGTGCAAAACAAGACGTGCTTTTGATCAAATATTCTCCCCCTTTGTGGGCCAAATTAGTTGGCAACTAACGCTGTCCGTCGTCTGCTTGTTGCCGAGATAGAAGTCCACCAGGCTCTTGAGCACTCCGATGCGCAGGAGGAACATGGCCTCCTCGTCGCCCATGCGCGAGAACTCGCACAGCAGGCTGAAGTACTCGGACAGATGACGGAGATGCGAGCGCGCCCCGTGCTCCAGCAGCGAGATCAGGGAGCCAATGAATCGCGTCACGCACGAGGCCTGGCCAATCAGCTCCTTACCTTCGTCATCTGTCTCCACGTCCAGGAACAGATCCGCATGGGATGCCCTGCAGAAGCAGACATTAGTCAGCTGCAAAGAGCACTCGCTGGACGGGACTTACCTCAGCTGCTGGATTACGTGGATGACTAGCCGCTGAAACATTTGGCGCACCATTTGATTGGGGCACTGGATGAGCACCTGGACTGGCCAGAATGGCTCCAGGGCCATCTGGGACAGAAACCACTCGCAGGCCTCATGGCTCCCAATGAACTCCTTGGTCAGCAGCTCCACCCAGTGCACCATTGTGGGCTTCTCCAGGGGAAGAGACCACAAAAGACATTGAACTAATGACTGACTGGATCCAAAATAAAGTGTTTTTAGTACCTTCTCCTTGGCATGGATGAAGGTCTCGATGAAGAACGACACCGACAACTGGGCAGCCATGCAGGTGTAGTCGGCTTCGGAGACCAGAGTCTGCGGTATGATGCTGCACAGCTGCCACATGAAGCTGCAAAGAAAAGAGAAGAGAAGAGGCATTTGTCACTCAGTTTATGCCAGCGTTTGCCGCTGCTCTGCTCACTTGAAGTATGTGTGGTCGAAGATGTTGCGCTCCTGCAGGAACTGGCGGTTGTCCTGCCAGATCCAGTCCTCCAGCTCTTTGTTCAGCAGAGGACGAAGAAGCTGCAGCTTGAAGGACGAAGAAGTCTTGGAGGTGGAAGGTTGCTGCTCGCTGATGCTGCTGCTGCTGTTACTTGGCTTAGAATTATCACAATTGGCTGTTAGATGCTCCCCCTCCCCATCCCCATCCTGCTGCTCCTCCTGCGGCTGTTGCTGCTCCTCCTGCGGCTGTTGCTGCTCCTCCTGCGGCTGCTGCTGCTCCTCCTCCTGGTCCGTCCTGTCAGTCTGCATCTTCCCCTCACGCCGCTCCTCCAGTTTCTCTTTTGGCTCCTCCTTTTTACTCTCGCTCTCCTTTTCCACTTTCTCCACCTTCGGTGTCTCCTCCACTTCCACCTCCTCCTCCTCCTGGGCACTTGCTGCTCCCGCCTCTGGCTTCTCCTCCACGGCGGGACTGGGCGTGGGCGTGACCAGCAGCTCGGAATGCCGACGCTGCAGATGCTCCGGCAGCCGTCGCTCGTAGAAAAGCATGTACGCGGAGTTGGTCTTCTCAAAGCTAAAGTCCAGATACTTTTCCGTCACCGAATCGTAGGTTTTGCTCTGCAAAAAACGGGGAAACACGCATTAGATCGGATAAGGGCGGGCGGAGGCTCAAGGAGCACTCAGGGACTCAAGGACTCACTGTCATCTCGCCGCCAAAACATTCGGCTGCTATTTGCGAGGGATCAAAGGGCTTGACCTCGGCGTCGTTGAAGAGGAACCACCGCTCGAGCGGATGGAAGTTGTTCTTCGTTCGCTCCTTGATGAAGCTGTAGTAGTGGCCGCCGTCGGCGGTGCCTGTGTGGACGGTGACGCCTACCAATTCGTACCTGCAAAGGATTGGGGATACCCTATAGAATGTGCCACGGAGTCGTAAGGGATTCGGTCTCACTCATAGCACTCCTCAATGTCCGCATCCAGCGTTGCCTCAGCCTTTTCGTTCTCATCCCGATCGTTCGCGCCCGATCCCGCCTCGCTCTCCCGCTGCCGCTTCTCGCGCTCCTCTTTGTACTGCTGCGGCATGAGGGTCTTCTCCACGTAGTGGCGCATGTTCAGGCGCAGCGGGAACGAGAAGTGGGTGTTCACCTTCTCCTTGAGCATCGTTACCATGTTGAACGTGTACCGCATCGTATTGAAGCACAGGATCTGGGGCAGCTTCTTGAAGCAGGCCCGCTTCTCGGCGCGCACCTTCTTGCCGCACTGCGAGCAAGTGTACATGTTGTCGCCCTCAAGGGTGTCCTTGACGGTGACCTCGTCCAGGGACTCCTGCAAGTTGCGCATATCCGCCACCTGGCAGCGCACCGTGTAGAACTCCTCGGCGGTGCGCGAGACGTGGCCGCAGTCCAGCGAGACCACGTTGTTGCTGAGCGTCCCGCAGAAGAGCCGCTTCACCAGATGCTTCAGATCGGGCGTCATCTCCTCCAGCTTAGACACCAGGTCGATGAAGAACTCGGCCATGTCCTTCTGCTCGCCGGTATTCAGCGGCTGGTGGTCCATCTGGTACACCTTGCAGAAGTTCCTCGGATTGTAGGCCTTCCGCTCCGACTCCAGCAGGTACGCGAACATTCGCTGCAGCTCGAGCAGCGTGGGGGCATGCTTCTGGGCCCCCGCCGGGGGCACTCGCAGCACCGCCGCTCGGGCCTGGGGCATCATGTACAGGTGCTGGATGCAGGAGGCCATGTAGCAGGTGGCCCCCAGGTTGGTCAGACCCACGTAGCCGCAGTCGGCTCGCCCCTCGTCGCGGGGCCAGTAGTCCCACGGGTACGGGGGCTTCGGCCCCGACTTGTGCTGGGCCATCAGCCGGCCGTGGAGATAGGTGAAGTTGGTGGCACAGCCGCGGGTCAGCTCCATTAGCAGATCAAAGGCGGCCGCTCGGGACGTGGGGGACTTGCACTTGGGCTTGTGGCGGTCCGAGGGCGAGGGCATGTCGAAGAGAAGGCCCAGCAGCTGGTCCATGAAGACCAGGATCTTGGGCTTGTACTTGAAGCGGGTGTCGTGCTTGATCAGGTTCGACATGAGGTTGAGCAGCCCCACCATGGCGTCGTCCTGGAAGCCCTGCCGCAGCTCGTAGTAGTCGCGGGTGAGGATGCTTTGGGAGATGCTCTCGCACAGCATCTCGATGTCGATGTGCTCCTCGGCGCCAATCTCCGACGACAGGGTGTCTACGAGGCGCGCCAGCAGCCAGAAGTAGTCCCTGCAGGCGGGCCCGTACGGCTCCTTGCCCTCCTCCGACAGCAGGAACTGCGTGTGCTGCGTGGAGGCGCTCATCTGCTCGGCCATCGGCAGCAGGGTGATCAGCTTGTGCAGTAGCGGGGCCAGCAACAGGCGGTAGCTCTGGGCATTGCCCAAGCAGATGCGATAGAGGCCCGCACAGATCTCGCGACGCACCGATGGCTCGGGATCCTCCAGTATGAACTTCTGCAGCCACATGCCGGGGTCCCCCTGCGACCAGAGCACGCGGCGGGCCTCCGCCGAGGCGTGGATGAAGCTCACGAGGATGTTCATGCTGAACTGGACGAGCTGTGCCCGGCCCCAGAAGCCCGTGCGCAGCTGGTGGAACTGGTAGGGGAACACCAGGGAGTTGGGCGACACGTTCTGGTACACCTCGTCGTTGAGGATGCTCGAGAGACGCCGCAGGCACTGCGGCACCTCCATCAGCTGCAGCATGAAGGGATGTGGCCGCGACAGGAGCACGTGTATGTCCGGCGAATGCAGCTCCTCGAAGCCCAGCAGCCAGAGGATGCGCAACAGGCTGGCTAGGCAGTCGTGGCGCCACTCGTTCAAGGCCACTTCCTTCGGATAGGAGCTCTGCTGCAGCTGGCCGGCAATGAAGATCTCGTAGAGATGCCGCAGGCCTCCGCACTTGACGAACGCCTCGCTCCACTTGTTGTCGCCTAGCACCAGGGGCGCGGGGCCTGTCGGAATGGCCTGAGCCATGGTCGTGAGTGGCGGTGGTGGGGGTATGGGCGACGGCGGTGTGGCACAGCCCACGGGTCGGTCCAGGCTTTCGCTTTTCTTTTGCCGCTTGCAGTGCTGCTGCTGCTGCTGCTTGGTGGTGGTGGTGGTGCTGCTGCTGCTGGGCTGGTTCTCCTTGTCGCCGCCACTGCTGCCACTGGCCTCTGTGTCCGATTGCTGGCCACCGCTCAGCACCGACTCCTCCAGCAACTCGCAGATCTGTGCCTGTTGCTGCTGCTTGGAGTTCGGCTCTGGGGGCGGCAGTGGCGGTTCGTTGCTGTTCCTTCGCCTGGCCATCGATGACGACGACTTTTTGCCGCGCATCACCTCGAAATTGCCGTTGGCCTCGCGCCGCACGCTGCTCAGGGCCAGGCTCTCCACAATGTGCAACGAATACATGAACTTTTGCAGGTTGTTGGGGTCCAGCAGGTCGCGAAACTTCTGCTTGATCTGCTTGCGTTTGTTGGCCAGCTGCTCCTCCTTCTCCTTGTCCTCGGAGGCGGTCGCATCGAGTTGCTCCAGCTCGCCCAGGTCCGTCACCAGGCTCTTGAAGGCATCGAGGATCTGCGGATTGGTGGGCAGCATGGCCAGGATGTCCCAGACGCGGCGGGAGAGCAGCTGCGCCTTTGTGTGGTGCTGCAGATTCACTGCCGAGGCCTGGGGTTTCATGTCGCCGAGGGTTTGCATCAGGCAGAAAAGCTTCTCGAAGTACTTTGGCTGCAGCAGGAGCACGGTGGGCAGGCATTCCTTGGGCGGCGGTGGCAGCATCGACGGATGCTCCAGATTCGATTCCTTTCGGCGTGCGCCTCGTCCCCCCAGGGACACGTAGACAATCTGATTATCCTTGAAGCCGGCATCGCCCAGGCTCCGCTCGTCGTAGTCCGAGGTCAGCTCCTGGCCCTGGGTGATGATCCTCAGCGGGCCGTCGCTCAGCAGCAGTCCCAGCACTGGCGCCGCCATGCCCGTCTGCAGGCTCTCCCACCACTTGGAGACCTCGGCCTTGAGGTCCGCAATCAGATCGCAGGCGTGCATCTGCAGCGAGCTCTTCTCCGAGAGCCCCGCCTGCTGCAGCAGTATCCGCAGTGGCGCCCCGGCGCCCTCGTTCTTCAGATTGCTGTGCGACGCAATGCCCTTGCCCTCGATGGCCCAGCGCCGCAGATGGAAGGCGTAGCGCCGGCGGAACGTGTCCAGATGTGTGTTCAACAGGAGCAGGCCGCGCTGCACCCTCATCAGAGCGTTCTCGTCCTCAATGCTGAAAGAAAACGGAACTAGAAACGGGCTTAGGTCGGAGACGAACTCACCTTTCAAGGGCTGTGGCCGCCTGCACCAGATTCTCCATGCACTGGGACACGAACTCCTTCTCGAGACGCAGCTGCTGGCCCATGTAGTACATGTTGATGTACTGGATGGCCGCCAGAGAAACCTCGTTGCTCTGCGCTCGCAGGGCGATCTTCCACAGGTGGTACATGCCCACGGCACTGGCCGTGGACGAGATCTGGTCGTTGTGCTTGTCGTACTCGGCCATGGCGATGCGCGCGAAGCTGCACAGCTGCTGGAACAGCCCCAGAGCCACCATCGAGAACTCCTCGGGCCGCAGCTCGGGCAGCTTCTTCAAGTACAGATGCTGCAGAGCCTCGATGCCGAGGGCATGCTGGTCTCCGCCCTTGGCCTGGGCCTGCAGCCACGAAAAGTAGCAGTCGGCGCACTCGGGATCGTGTGCCAGCCACTCCCACAGGGCATCCAGCTGCTCCAGAGTCAGGCGAAAGGTCTTGGGGGAGCCCACCGTCGAGAAGATCGACGAAAGGAACTGCAGCCGGACCGAGACCTGCGTCTTGTGCGAGTACAGCTGTCCGCCGAGCTGCTGCTGCTGTTGCTCCCCGTTCTGGTTGACCAGCAGCTCGGCGTGTCGTCGCGCATAGAAGCGGATGTTCTGGAAGAAGCACTGCATCATCCGGTGATTGCGCTCCGCCCACAGCGTCATCGAGTGGGTGTCCGACGGCCGGAACTGCTGAAACGAGGCAAACAGCTTTGGCAGCAGGCGCAGGCTCACGATCACGCTCCGATTGTTGGCCACGTTGAAGAGGCAGCCCTCGATGAACTTTGTGCGCAGCTGGCGGTCCATGCTGAAGCAGAGCAGCGTGGCCAGCGCCTTCTCCGCCTCCAGGGCCAGAGATTCACCCAGTTGACCCTGCGATAAAAGAGAGCGAACCATTAGGGAGCCGTGGAGGACGAGCAGCAGGACGAGGGAGGAGATGCACTTACAATCTTTTCATCTTGCAGCAGATCCCATAACAGCGTATTCCCCGGCAGGCAGACGTCGTTCAGTTTGAAGGAAGGCTGTACGGAGGTGGTGTTGGTCCCTCCCTTGGAGGAATTATGCTGCTGCGGCTGCTTGACCTCCAGCAGATCCCCATCCGAGTCCGACTTGGATTTGTTGGCCGCAGCCGCAGCCACGGCCGCAGCTGCATTGGCATTCGCCTGCCGCATGGTGGCCACCAGCGATTGCTGCGCATTGTCTGTTGCCACGGCGGCAGCGGCCACGGCAGCCACGGCGGCGGCTACATTGGTCTCTCCCGACTTCTGCATGGCCATGGCCGACTGGGCCACCATCATGGCAGCGGCGGCGGCCGCAAAGGCTGGTGGCACGTCCCGGCAGTTGGCACCGGCCACTGCCACACGCCCGGCATGGGAGTTGACCAGCTGGGCCAGCTCCTCCTCGCAGGGGGACACATCCTCGTCGTCGAAGTCTGCGAGATTCTTCTCCGACTTGTTGCTCATCGGCGAGGAGTAGCTGCCATCGTTCTCGCCCCCGCTCAGCAGCTCACTGATGTTCGTCTCGGCGATGGCCCGAATGTAGGGGCCCTCGCCATGGAGGTGCTTCAGCACAGCCGAGGGCACCAGCTGGCTGGCTGTCCCATCGCTGCAGTCGTCGCTGTCGGCCAGCAGCTCGCCGTCGCCGTCAGCATCTCCGTCATCGCTGCTGGGCACATCCTCCGGTCCGTCCCAGATCTCCACCAGATCGTGGCTCACCATCATCTGCTTGTTGACCGCCTTCTGGCGCCTCCGCTTGTTGCTCGTCTTCTTCCGGTTGCGATGCAGCTGCAGCTCCAAAGCGGCCCGCGACTGCAGCTCCTCTTCGCTGCTCGTGTTGTCGATGATGTTCACAATGCGATTGTTTCTGCTGTAAAACAAAAGTAGGGGACAGTACGTAAGGATCAAATGAATCACAAGAATCGTAAATATCTAGGGAAATCTACAGAATGATGTGTTCCAATTGGTTGGCAATAAATTTCGATGCTATACAAAGATAACATCCTTTTATCACTCCAAATTTGCATTCCCTAATCCACGCTGGGATTTCAGTTAAAGATCAATTGCAAACAGATGCGAACAATTAAATTTTTGAGATATTCTCCGACATTCTCTCTGGCATTTCGATTGGTTTAAATCGCTGCTAAAACCAGTCATATTTTAGACTTAAAAAAAGTATCATTCTATCGGCGAAACGGCGAGTCCCGGAATCAATGTACCTCGTCAGGCACACGACATGTATTTGGTTTGTCACTTTTTGCATCTCGGAGCATTAGGAGCAATGCGATACCAAATCACACCAGATCCATAGCCATAGCCTGCCCTGCCTACAGACACCTCTCTTAATACTTAATTCTAGCATTTCGTAAGAAAAGATTTCACATACACCATCTCCACTTTGCCTTCGGGGCCGAGTTGCTTGCCCTTCTCGGTGGTGGGATCGCAGATGTGGCGCCGGTGACGGGCCTGCTTGCAGGGCGGAATACCGTCGATGGGACTCTTTTGGCAGATGGGGCCGGCAACGCCGCCGCCACCGCCACCGCCTCCGCTGGCCACGCTGCTGTCATCGGCGCCCACATGATCGTCCTCCGTGTTGCTGCCCTCGATGCTGCCGCTGTCCGAACTGGAGGCGGTCACATTGGCGCCCAGCAGATGGTCCTGCATCAGATTCATTTGGCTGCGCGAGCAGTCGCGTGTCCACAGTAGCTTGGTTAGCGCCGAGGCAATGTAGATGCTCTGCTCGGTGTGGTCCTTGGGGTCCATGCGGCAGAGGAGCGAGTACAAGTGCATGGCCGGACGGGGGGCCAGGTTCTTCACCAGCGACGGCAGTATATCGAAGATGGTCTTCGAGCAGTGCTTCAGCTGGGTGGCCTGCCAGATGAGCTTGATGTCGTCCTCGGAGATTTGATTCTCCACGGCCAGGAAGTTGAGCAGAACGTGGGCCTGCTTCACGATCTCCACGTGCAGATTGGGCCCGAACAGGTGCTGGACAATGTGGTTCTCCGTTAGCCAGTTGGCGATGCGCTGGCCAAACAGCTCCACTTCGTTGACCGTCTCCGTGGTGCAGATCTCGTTGAAGAGGTTTATGTGCGAGTTGATCTGCGACATGCCTGAAAAATTAACCAATGAACCAATGAAAAACGACGCTTAAGTCGGGAATTCCATTGAAGAATTAAATTGTATGGGACTCACCTGCCAGACGCATCGTCAGTGTGGTGGATGTGAAGTACTTGAAGGCCAGGGCCAGGCCTTCGGTGTCAAAGTTGACGGCCACATCGAGGGGATCGCGCAGGGAGGACCACACAAAGTCGGCCATGGCACGGGTGGCCGCTGAACGGAGGTTCTGGTCGGACAGCTTGCACATGAACTGCAGGATGCGGCTGCGCAGGGGCACGAACAGCTGCGTGTTGCAGTGATAGTTGAGCCAGAGCTTCACATTCGACACAGCGGCGGTCATGGAGTGGGCTGTGGACACGGGCAGGTCGGGATGCTCGAAGCACAGCGACATGGCCCCAAAGCCGCCCGAGTTGCAGAAGAGACTCACATTGCGCAGCAGGTAGATGGGAAGTTCATTATCGTGTAGATCACAGATTAGGGCCAAATGGTGGGCCTCTTCCGCCTGGAGGTCGTCCAGGCGCGAGTGCATCCCATGCTTGTGGGCAATGTACAGGGGAAAGTTGAGCAGAAACACCTTCGAGACGAGCACCAGCAGTTTCTCGACCTCCGGCAGTATCCACGGCTCCTCCGTGTACTGGATGTGCGCCTTGACACTGGGCGGCGGCGGTGGCGGTGTGCTCGGTCCGCTCCTCTTGGGCGGGCCATCGCCAGCGGCCTGGATTTCATCGGCGCCGGACTCCTTTCTGTTTTCCCCAGTTGGGCTAGACTCCTTGGGCTTGTTCTCGTTCTCCGTCGACGGCGACTCCGTTTCATTGCTGGAGTCCCGCTGTTGTTGCTGCTGCTGCTGGGCCTGGGCCACCACCTGAGCGGCACTGGCCGTGAGACGTTTGTAGTTCTCAATCAGGTGATCGATGTGCTTGAGATGCTGCACCGTCAGGCAGATGAGGGACTGCACCACCAGATTGAACCGGTCGTAGTTCTTGTTGTCCCGGTACAGGCACATGCACTGCCGCTGGGGCCATGACTGGATGTAGTTGAATGTCGTCTCGATCTCGCTCTTCAACAGCAGCTGGAATTTCAGCTCCGAGCTGGCCACGCGCGCCTCATCTGCAAGAGCGAACGAAAGGCGGAAAATTCAGTGGGCGGTTCCGGGCAAGAAGGTTGAAGGGGGAGGAGTGGGCGAGGGGCGGGGAGACGTCGGCTCGCCGAGCACCGAGCACCGAGCGATACTTACACAGCTCCAGGAGGTTCTGGAAGTCGGTGCAAACCTCGCACATAGTGCTGCAGTTCGGTGGCCCTGCGAGAGCGGGGGGACCCTACAAAGAAAAAGCCGCGTTGCGACCTGTCCCTATTGGCGGCGGCGGCTGCGGCCGCTTTTCCTCTAGATTCGTGTTGGAGAATTTGCTGGTGCTGCTGCTGCTGCTGGTGCGGGTGCGCTTGTGTTCGTTCTCTTGACTCGCTCCTCACGGCAAACGTTCAATTCCATTTATAACTGCGCTTCGAATACCTGCGCTCTCGCGAGAAAAAAATAAACGTAATTTTCAGCAACAAAAAAATTAAATTTTACACTTCATATATATATATATACAGGCGAGTGGAGGCAACTACACGGTAACTACACAGTGCTACATTTCAACAGATTTTCCGAGCAAGAAGAGGTATGGACAACAGGCAGAACTACAGGGAAAATGCAACGCATGCAAGGTAAAATCCACCCCTGCTTGACATACCTTGGCTTGCAAATCGGCTTTTTGCCTTCAAGGTATATTGTGCACACACGCGAGGTGAGGTTCGTATGAAACTTATAATTTGCCTTGGCTGTTTTTGACTGTTGTCCATACCCCTTTCTATAGCCCATTCAAAATTACGCTCGCGATTTTTTCGTTGCATGTACGAGCAGTAGAGAGCAGCGGTGTGACCGTCGGACCCACCGAGATAAACCGTATCATTTTCAAAATATACCGTAAATATACCGATGAACAAAGACGAACTTAGCCCACTTAACCCCCTTTCTAATTAAACAGGTGACCTATATATTTCGATCCCGATACCTATTCTTGGTCTCTTAAGAAGACTTTAATTTCGTTGAAATAGCTTTAAAGCTAGACTGACTAGTTTCTAGGTTCAGTGGACCCTGGGATGAGAAACATTTCCTCAATTCTATACCATCTGTTTCTTGCTATCGCCCACACAAACTGCAAGACCATCGAATATTTTAGATAATACTTGGTGGACTCTTTAATTTGCTCCGACTGAGTTGCGCTCATTACCTTACCTTCATTTTAAGACTTTGAAATCCTTCTTTATCTTCATAATATATCGATGTGCGACAAAACCTATCGCGCAATCCAAAACAATCAATGGCTGTGCAGCCCTAGGACATGGTAACACTTGGCGACTTTTTGTCATTGTTTACATGATTTTGTGAATTAAAAAGAAAGACTGATTTTATACACTGCCATGGAAGAGGGCCCAATGGAGACCAGCTCACCCACAGAGTCCAGTTCCGACGTTAATTTCCCGACTGAAGAGGAGAAATCCGCAGAGCAGCGAGCGGCGGCGGCCGGCTTTTGTTATTGGTATGACCATCGCTGTAATTAGCGAACAAATGATAAGAACATTCTGCATTTTAGCGGGAAAGAGCGCAACCTGAACCTCGTCGAGCTGCTCTGTGCCACCTGTTCGCGCTGGGTCCACGAGTCGTGCGTGTCCTACCAGCTGGGCAAGGGAAAACTACTGCCATTCATCACCAATTATGTGTTCGTCTGCAAGAATTGCTCCGCCACGGGTCTGGAGAACTTTCGCAAGAGTCAGGCCAGTAAGTGGAACTACATCTTTACTTGTGGTGGTCACATAATGGATTGCCTTCTTTCAGCCATTTCCCAGATGTGCCACTGCGCCATTGCCAACATGCAGCAGGCGGCGTTGCGTGATGGCAAGCGTCAAATCCAATTTAGCAAGGACAAGGAGATCATTCCCTACATCGAGCAGTACTGGGAGGCCATGACCACAATGCCGCGCCGTCTCACCCAGTCCTGGTACAGCACCGTCCAGCGGTCCCTGGTCAAGGATGTGCAAACCCTCTTCACCTACGAGGAGCATTTGGAGCACGGTGCCATGTACGGGCTGTTCCACCAGGACCTGCGCCTCATCAAGCCCAACTATGAGAGCATGAGCAAGACAGGTGCTCTGCGGCTCACCGAGGATGGCTATACACAAGGTGAGACTTACAGAAACACTAGATTTGGGGGCCGAAAAAATAGATCAGTAGATCGGTGGTAGAAGAGCTTCGTTTCTATCTGATGTTTAATATCTAATGATCATATGATCAGTTTCGACATGCACTCTATCCGAAACCATTCGACTACCTTGGAACAAAACAGACGTGACTCCATTCCTCCTCAGCAAAATCCACATACGCAGAATCCACAGGTTGTCAGGTCCAAATTTCTGGCGGATAAGCTAAATGGACAACACCGTCTGTACAGCTGATTTTGGGGTCTCTCGTCTCTGACGTTGCAGTATTTATTGCTCATTCTGCTTTGCATACTGTCTCCCACCTACCCAAACAAAAGTTCCCCTCCTCTCTCTATGCGAATCAAACAATTGAAAGAGCGAGAAGGAAAGCCCAAGATCGTTTCGCATAGTTTCTGTTTCGCACACACTCACACACACACACACACACATGCAAGAGTCGTGCCAAAACACAGATACCGAAAGAGAGCCAGTGCAAGGTATGCTAAATGGAAGGTAAGGCGTCCCTCTTTCTGGGGATTCCCATTGTTCAAATTTCTATCAGAAAATAGCAAAACATGAGCAAACATATATACATGTGTGTGTGTTGTGTTTGCACAAAAGTCTTGAGGCGCCTACTCTCGGACTGACTTACCTTCCATTCCGGTACCTTGCTTGGCCCCTTGGTCCGAGCGCACATCTGGTAGGCCCCACGTATTAAGATTGTGGGGCGGGGTGGGGCTATCAGAAGCACTCCTCGCTCAGAACTCATTCATTGCAAAAAAGAAGAATAGTTACGCTTTTTATTTTGTTGTATATTTTGCTGGCTTCGCCGCCCCGCGCTCTGCGTGTGTGTGGAATTGATTTTAATTTGATTTTGGTTTTGCTTTTGATTTTGAGCGCGACGCAATTCGTAGTTTTCTTCCTCTCTTTGGGTTTCTCTTCTCCTCATTTATTGTTGTAATTTTTGTGTCCTGCAATGACGTCAACGTTGGCCAGCCTCAACGAGGAGGAATGTAAGCCTGTAATAACTGCAATCCGAAACGAACTTTGCCCCAGATCCCTTTTATGGCCGGTCACGTACGCCCGCTGCAGTTAACACCTCTCCCACTCCCTCTCCGCAGCAAATCTTGCCAAGAACAACAGGCAGAAGCGCAAATTTCCTGGAACCGATTCGGGACCCACCGGGAAGAAGGGCCGCCCCAGCTCCGACATTACGGCCAACGTGAAGCTGCCACCGCATGGCTATCCCCTGGAACATCCGTTCAACAAGGACGGCTATCGCTACATACTGGCCGAGCCCGATCCGCACGCTCCATTCAGGCAGGAGTTCGACGAGAGCTCAGACTGGGCGGGCAAGCCCATTCCCGGCTGGCTGTACCGCACCCTGGTTCCCCATGCGGTCCTGCTGGCCCTGCACGATCGGGCGCCTCAGCTGAAGATCAGCGAGGATCGACTGGCGGTGACGGGGGAGCGTGGCTACTGCATGGTGCGGGCCACACACTGTAAGTACCCATAGAATAAACCTCCCAGCTGAGATCTAAGCGACCCCACCCATTTGCAGCTGTTAATCGCGGCTGCTGGTACTACGAGATCACCATCGAGGAGATGCCCGAGGGAGCTGCAACGCGCCTGGGATGGGGTCGGGAGTATGGCAATCTACAGGCTCCGCTGGGCTACGACAAGTTCGGCTACTCCTGGCGATCGCGCAAGGGCACCAAGTTCACAGAGAGCCATGGCAAGCACTACAGTGAATCGTACATGGAGGGCGATACCCTGGGATTCCTTATTGAACTGCCCCAGGAGGCATCTCTGGAGTATCTGCCAAATACATTTAAGGACCGGGTAAGACATGCCTATACCCCGTCATACCCATGATTCTGACTGGAAACTGGAAATCCTTTACAGCCGCTGGTGAAGTTCAAGTCACATCTGTACTACGAGGACAAGGATAAGATCAATGAAACGCTCAAGAATCTTCACATACTGCAGGGCAGCCGCATCGAGTTCTTCAAGAATGGAGAGTCGCAGGGTGTGGCCTTCGAGGACATCTATGCGGGTAGCTATTTTCCCGCCATATCCATACACAAAAGTGCAACTGTGAGCGTGAACTTTGGCCCAGCCTTCAAGTATCCCGAAGTGCTTGGCGAGCGTAAGGCAAAAGGGGTAAGCAGGAAATACCTCCATCTCCCGACACACCTTCTGAATAATCTCCTCTCTTCCGCAGATGAACGACCGTGTGGAGGAGCTCATAACAGAGCAATGCCTAGCCGATACCCTCTACCTAACCGAACACGATGGCCGTCTGCGACTGGACAACATTGGCTTGTAGCTTCCGTCTGCAAGGGATAAAGACCAATAAAGCCTCCTTTAAGTTCAGTTTTATTGCTAGTTGTATACATGTCATGAGGTTACTTGAAGGCTTTGAATTTCGAGGCACTGTACGGTATGTAGAAGGCACTGTTGGAGGCAAACTCCGAGCGCGGATGGTGCACTGCAGCCGAGATCGAGCGACCCGTCGACGGTGTGTTGCTCGAGTTGGTCGGCAGCGCGAATGGATGCAGGGTGCGAGAGGAACTGTTGCTGTTGCTGTGACTATTGTGCCCGCCACCGCCGCTCGAGTTGCTCTGGCTGGACGTGGCCGTTGTGATGGCGGCCGTGGCTCTGCCGTAGTCCCTGTGGCGACTCAGATTCAATGCCGGTAGCACAATGGCGTTCTTGTTGTTCGAGAAGAATCGGCTGGCGGCCATCGGCATGTGCCAGGCGGAGCGGTTGCCCGCATGGTGATACTGATACTGTCGACGCTCTGCACTGCTCGCATGAGTCAGGGCCGCCGATTTGGCCTGCTGTTGTTGTTGCTGCTGCTGTTGCTGGACCTGCGTTAGCTGCACGAAGCTGCGGTTGTTGAGAAGGCCGCGAAACCGACGATTCGTGTCCAGGACGTTTAGTATGGGCGGCATCCGCAGATGTGCCGACTGGGGCGTGGCCGAGCTCAGTTTTTGGGGCAGCTGCTGTGGTTGGTGGTGTTGTTGCTGCTGCTGGGAGCGTTGTCGCTTAAGCAGCTTCACCGACACCGAAGTGACGCGCAGATCGCGATCCAGGAGGTCCACCAGATTGTGGGTGGGGCGCAGATAGCTCCGAGGCTGCTGGTGCTGTTTCTGTGGCTCTGCCGTGGGTGTTAGAAAGCCATCGTCCTCAATATCCTCATCATCATCATCGTCCAGCGAGTTCAGACTGAGATTTGAAATGGAATCTATGTCCACGGACTCGTCGTCGCGCCTCGTTTGGCTGTCGAAGCTCTGATTGCGCAGCGACCGCATTCCCACTTTCCGACCCACCAGCATGGGGAACTTGTGCTGCCAATCGGCGATCTCGTGCCGGAGCTCTGGCTCCTTTTCTGGCAGCTCCTCCTCACCGCTCAGCATGCGCTCCACCCGCTCCCAGTCCAGCAGGTTCTTCTTGATGGCATCGTCTGCCCAGGGTATGGAGCCCACAGAGCTGCGGTCAATGCTGCTGGATGAGTAGGGCACGTCCTGCAGGAACTCAGAGTCGTCGTCCTTGTCCGCATCCGGCTCATTGTCCGCATTGGCCCCATTGTCGTTGTCGTTGTCGTCTTCGTTATCATTGTTGCTATCCCGGCGGGGATACAAAAGCCCATCTTCGGCACAATCATTGTCCAAGGCGCCCGGGGTATTGTATCGTTGCTCTGATGTGAAATAGTAACGTCTATCTGACATTAAAACTGGTTCCGCAAACGTGCTGGACTTGTTCTAGTTTGCTAAATCCCAGTCTCCCTGTCCTGCTGTCCTGTCTGCAAAGGATGTGTGTGATGTGCGGATGTGGATGTGTCCCCCTTAAAATCGATGCCGCAAAAGGCGGCGAGAGACAATTGTTGTGTTATGGCTCATTCCAGTTTTGCTTGTTATTTATTATCCTTTTGTTGTTTTCCATCCCCCAAGCCAATGCGCAGCCGCAGATCCCGCCCAGCGGCGCTGCCAGCAGCGAAAATAAATAATGGTCGTTGGTTAAAAAATAGGACTTTCCATTTGCAGATTTTTAACGGTCACATGAAACGTTTTTGCTGTTGCGACTAATTAATTAATTAATTAATAAAATTGTATTATTGAAACTATTAAACCATAAATTATTGTATACACGCCATTTCTGAGAGTTCGCGCCAACATGGTTTTACGTCGTCCAGCCCTGGTCGTTGCACAGATTCAAAAATATAATTCTATTGGATGGTTTTGGCGTTATATGTATCAGTCAGTCGGTCTTTCAGTTGCCATTTAAATACTTTAATTACAATTCATTTTTGTATCAGATCAGGCAAATACATTTTTTTCTCGTGGTATGTTATAAAAAGGGGGGATTCTACCTGCATGCGTTGCATTTTCTGGGCCGTTATACCTGCAGTCCTGCACTCAAAAGTTTTATGAATTTTTGTTGTTCTTAGAATCAAATTGTTATCCTGTTTAAATAATGAGGTTTAAAAAGCGAAGTTCGTTTTTTCATCTGTATGTTTACGGTATATTTCGGTATATTTCTGGGGGCTAGTCACACTGAATGGTAGGAAAATGCAACTACAAAGTAAAGAAAAGTCTTATACACTTTTTCGACGCGGTATTTTGCGGTGTTTTTGGAAGTCAGACTAGTCGTCTTTTTTAATGGGCTATTACAAAGGGGTATGGACAGTAGGCAAAAAACAGCCAAGGCAAATTATAAGTTTCATATGAACCTGACTTCGCGTGTGAGGATAATATACCTTGAAGATATATGTATTCCAAGGTATGTAACGAAAGGTGTGGATTCTACCCTGAAAACGATGCATTTTCAGAGTCGTTTTGGCTGTTGCCATACCCAACTTTTCGCAGCCATTTCTCAAATAGGCCCCTAAAAGGGGATGATGAATTTCGCCGCCGTGAATTTTGAATTCTACTATATTTCTCTTTTCGGCGGTATAATGCGGCAATCAGATTGATCAAAGTGGAAAAGTCTCACAAATTTTTTCGACGCGACCCCGTAAACAACATGCAGACACAGAACTTGAAACCTCGAGACTAAAATCGAATTGATAAACAATTGTCGGCGCACGCGAAAGTACACTTACTGCACACTCTTACGTTTTATGCTTTTGTTTTTTGTTCATTAAATGACACAATCAAAAACTACTATTTGACGATGGTGGTCCGGTTCCTGATCCAAAGGCCGGTAAAATCGGCCTAAATATTGGAAGGGCGTGGTGTTTGCCGTAAAAGTTGTTGCTGATTGTGCGCCCCCCTTTTTCATATTTGTTTGCCGAATTTAAAGTTCACGTGAGAAAATAAGTGCGTCGCCGCGTGGTGCGCCAAGCTATTAATTATGTGGCATGAGGCTCGCAAGCAAGAGCGCAAGATACGCGGTTTGATTGTGGACTACCGCAAACGGGCGGAGCGCCGGCAATATTTCTACGACAAGATCCAGGCGGATCCCACACAGTTCCTGCAGCTTCATGGCAGGCGGAGCAAGATTTACCTGGACCCAGCGGTAGCAGCAGCGGGCGATGGTGCCGCCATCATGCAAGTGATATTGAGTTTAAAATTTGCTTTGCCTTTCCTTTCAATTATGCAAAGCGAAACGTGGCTAAAGTGCACATGTCCTTGTTCTTTGCAGTGTGCCGTGGCAGGGACAGCAGGACAATCTGATTGATCGGTTTGATGTGCGCGCCCATTTGGACTACATTCCGCCTGTGGGAAAGAGTGGCGAGGCTGGCGATGCGGACACGGACATGACGGCCGAGGAGCGGCAGTTGAACTACGAACGCTACCGGATTCTGGCCCAGAACGACTTCCTGAATGTCAGCGAGGACAAGTTTCTGCACCAACTGTACCTCGAGGAGCAGTTTGGGGCCAATGCCCAGCTGGAGGCGGAACGCAATCTGGCCAAAAAGAAGCAGAAGACGGGAGGCGCCACCATTGGCTATTCCTATGAGGATGCGGGCGATGCGGGAGCAGCCACCATTGGACCACAGCCCTTTGGCCATTCCATGAACGCGCCAGCAGCTGGGGCCACAGCTACCGTCACAGGCGGCGGCGACAAGGGCGAAGGTTCCGATGAATCCGACTCGGACATCGACATGGACGTGTCCATAGACATTGGGAAGCTGGACACGGCCCAGGCCCACGAGCTGAACGCCTGTGGGCGGAACTATGGCATGAAGAGCAATGATTTCTTCTCGCATCTCACAAAGGATGCAGACGAGGCCGATGCCCTGCGCATTGCCCGCGAGGAGGAGCAGGAGAAGATGCTGCTGAGCGGCCGCAAGTCGCGCAGAGAACGGCGGGCGCAGAAGGAGCGACGCATTGCCAATCGGCCGTTCAGCCCGCCCAGCTATGCGGCCAAGGAAGACAAAAAAGGTGGCAAGAACGATAAAGAGGAGGAGAGCGACTCACGCTCGCCCTCCCCGGCCGAGGCTGGGCCCGAGAAGATCACCTATATTACCTCATTTGGCGGCGAGGACGAAATGCAGCCGCACTCCAAGATCACCATTAATCTGTCCAAGCCCGGTCCCACACTGGGCGAATCCTGCATCAACGCTAGCACTGGGGCGGCCATCGCCAGCTCCGGTGCTGGCGGCTCTGTCACGTATGCCCAGAAGGTCAAGGATAATCTGGACAAGCTGAAGCTGATGAACGAAACGACCAAGCGCCGTGGTCGCCGTCGGACGCGTTCTCGGTCACGCTCCCGCAGTGCATCCGGCAGTAGGAGTTGCAGTGGCAGCCGGCGACGAAATCGCCGAAGTCGCAGCTATCGCAGACGCAGCCGGACCCGGTCCAGACGCCGGCGCAGGTACTACTCGAGATCTAGGTCCCGATCGAGGTCCCGATCGCGGTCTCGTTCCCGTTCTCGCTCTCGGTCTGGCTCCTGGAAACGCTACAAGAGCCGCAGTCCCAGCTACAAGCGATCGCGCAAGCGGTTCTCTTACTCCTCGCGCAGTTCCAGTGCCAGTTCCTTTGAGGCGGGACGCAGAAGACGCAGTCGCTCGCGTTCTCGCTCCCATTCCGGTCGTCGGAGCCGCACCAAAAAGAAGACCTCACCACCTCCGGCTCCTCCAGCGGCGGGAGGCGGCTACTGCCTGAGTACAACAACCACAACAACAACCACATCCACTTTGACAGCGGTGAAGCTACTCCAGCAGCAGCAACAGCAACAGCAGCAGCAACTGCAACAGCCTAGGGCACCAGCCCCGCCCATGATTAGTTATCCGTTGCCCACGCGAGTCCTCGGCTTGACCACGACGACTCCAGCTCCCGTAGCTCCCGCAGTTCCCGTACCCGCCCTACCGCAGGTGGTGGAGGCACCGCCGCCGCCACTCAAACGTTACTATGGCCGGAAACGAGCCAACGATACCTCCTCCTCATCGTCGTCGGAAGGCGGCGAGAACAGCGAGGCCAGCGAGAACGAGGAACAGCTGCAGCCAGAGAGCAATAAGCAACCAGTCGATGATTCAGATGAAATGGAAGCGGATACTGCGTAAGTTTGGTGATGCAGAGCCAGCGGTAAAGTAGAGGCAGAACCACTCACCCTTAGCAGCTCTTCGATTGTCATCTAAATGGGTTTATTCCGTCTCTGTTTCAGGTCAGAGCGATCGCATGCGCTCCACCACCCAGCGATGCCGTCAACATGCAGCACGGGTAATCAAACAGGCAAATATAGTTCTGCTACCGAAACCAAAGTCAGTAAGCAAAGCCAAGTGTCTCATTGCCTCACCCAACCGGAGTACACCACCAAAATTTTCACGTCTTAACCTTAAACCTGCTCAAAATCCAAAACCAAAACCAAAAACAAATCAATGACAGTTATACCACTATAAAGGTCCTTTGACTATGTGACTACTCAGTATGATCGATCCCCTGTTGATGCATCCGTTTTGTGTCCAGTTTTTTTGTCGGACAGAACACAGCACTTTCGACCGCAACTGACTCCTACTGCTCCCCCTTTGAAACCTTAACCTGAAACCTGCTAAACATGCGCTTGGGGGTGCTTCTTACAGGGACACTCTGGACACGGACAATCGGGCAGCAGCAGTGGACGACCCAATCTGCGCGAGCGTCTTAAGCGGAAAATGCAGAACCTGCTCAACCGGCAATGTAAGCCACTTCGGAGTGTAGTAGTGTGATGTTCACCAAATGCATTAGTAGACAGTCCCGCCCAGAGTAGATCCATACTAAACAGGGAATACACTTTTCAGATAAGGCCGATAAGCGAGCTGAGATTGAGAAGACGGAGCGAGAGCGTCAACAGCAGCAGGAGCGCGAGGATGAGATGCGCGAACTGGCGCTGAAGCTACGTAGAAGGTGGGTATCGTGCTTGTGGGTGGCTCTTGGTCAGTCCTCTCACATCTCTATATTCACAGGCGCCGCGAGTTGCGACACAAGTACGGCACGCCCTCCAGTGGCAAGCTGTCGGGCAGCGATGGGGAATCGGAAGCGTCGGAGAGCCAGCTCCCGCAGCCCCCGAACCGTCGCAGTCGCAGCAGATCCCGCAGTCGCAAGCGGAGTCCTGTCGAGCAGCCCACCAGGAGGAGCAACAGTCGAACCGAGCGCCGGCGGCGTACTCGCAGTCCCAGTCCAAGGTACAAACGCAGGCAGAGATCGCGCTCGAGGAGCGGGAGCCGCATGGACCGGAAGCGACGTTCGCACAGCCGTCGGCGTAGTGGAAGCCGCGAACGGAGGGGATCACGCAGTCGTCGCAGTCAGTCGAGGCGTCGGCGACAACGCGAACGGAGTATGGAAAGGAATCGAGAACGTGAGCGGTACAGGCAACAGTATCACCAGCAGCAGCAGCAGCAGCATCAGGAAAGGACTCGTGGTGGGCGAGACAGGGAACGGGACTCGGAGCATGCCCAAAGAAGCAACAGTGGCCCAAGTCGGGGACGTGTCGTCATCTCGGCACCGCCAAAACTCAAGAAACTGGTTGACTATTAAATCGACTGTGAACTGTCGCATAATTGTTTTTAGCCATAAGACACTTTTTTAGTGCGCGGAGAGCGTCAACTGTTGATTTTGGCACATAAATAAAGTAATTTTAGATATAAAACGCAGGCCTTCGATTTTTCCACCATTCTGAAACTCAAATTCGATAGCGCTACCGATAGTTTGCTGGGAATGCAGCTCTGGGTGCCCAGCTGGTTTATGTAATCGTGAACAGCTGTGTGTGTGCGAAGTAAACTGGAAAACATGTTAGCCTCAACTTTTCGTCGTATTGCTGGAGTTTCCGCACAAAAACTGACTCAACTTGCCCCCAGAAGCTGCGCCCTAGGCCACATATACTCCAAGGCTACCATGTCGCAGGCGACACAGTATCCACCCATTGAGACGGCCATGAGAAAGGCGCTCACAACGGAACTGAAACCGGTGTTCCTGGAAGTTATTAACGAATCGCCCCAGCACAATGTGCCCAAGAGGTCCGAGTCCCACTTTCGAGTGCTGGTGGTGTCGGAGAAGTTCAATGATCTAACTCTAATCAAGGTACAGTGTCTGTGACCGAAATTGATGGTGTTTAATTGATAAAGTGTGAAATTCTTGTAGCGCCATCGATTGGTCAACGACACAGTGAAGAACGCGCTGACGGCAGCCGGTTTTGAGTTCATGCACGCTCTTTCCATTGAGGCCAAGACGCCGAAGCAATGGGAGCCTGAGCAGGAACCAGAGAAGAGTCCGCCGTGCCTCGGCGGCTTTGGCAAGTAAAACGAAGTGTCGATAACGGCTACGTGGATTTTTATGTACAAAAGGAATACTACACACAAACCAGCTAAGGAAATTTACAGAAAAGGCCAAAAAATATGAACGTTTAACTGGGAGCAAACGGGGGAATGCAATTAGGACTACGGTATGGCGTCCACCTGACGACGAGCCGACAATATAACATCGTTGATGCCTACGCCATCGAAGGCAGCACCGCACAGCGACAAGGGCAGCTTGTAGTCCTTCAGATACTTGCGGATCCTCTTCACGCGTTCCTTGTGGCCCACGGTATACTGTGGAATGCACTTGGGGAGAATGTGGACGCGACTGAACTTGGGCTCCTCCTGGATGTCGAGTATCTCGCGCACGTACTTTTTGGCAATATCGAGAATCTGCTTCTGGCTGGGTTGATGGCCAAACCATTGGTCGAACCAATGACCGCCCATCATCACGGTTAGCACCGTGTTTCCGTTCATGTCAAAGCAGCAGCTGTCAAAGATAACACCCAAAATGGGCAGCTTTTCGACGGGAGGCACCAGCAGACCGAAGCCGTCCTGCTTGAGCTGATTGCCATTATACTGAATGTTGACGACCACTACATTCACATAGGGAATTTCCAGGAGCTGCTCGCACAGCGAGGGGTGCTGTGGCTTCAAGAGTGGAGCCAGTTTGTAGGCTGGCAGAGAGCTCACGACATGGTCCACAGGGACATCAGCATTGCGTAGGGACATGCGGACTCCACTTTTGCTGAATGTCAAAGTCTGGCACGCGTTGCTTAGCTGCACGTTGACGTTGTGTTGGTCGAGATACTTGCGCATGGCTCGAGGCAGTACCTCCAATCCACCCTCGATGCTGTACATCGCCCACTTCTCCTGCAGGGCCTGGGCATAGAGTTTGGGCTGATCTTGGGCAAACAGTCCCGGCTTCTTCTCGTCTACATTATCCTTGAAGCGGGCATATAGGATGCCCTTGAGCACGCCGCCGTATTTCTGCTCCTTCTCGAAAAGTCCCTCCATTAGGAAGCGAACGCTGATCTGCTTGGCATCGCCGGCGCAAATGCCACAGATCATGGGGCTGATGGCGTAGTCGGCTATCTCCTTGCCAAAGCGGCGCTCGGCAAAGCTGTATATCGATTCGTCCTCGTTGCTGGCCAAAGTCCTCCCCGTGGACAGATCGTGGAGCAGTGCCTTATACAGGGGTTGAGTGAATGGCGGCTTGACGCCAAACAGTCCTCTGGGACTATTGGGCAGCATACACAGCTGGCCCTTGGCATACAGCATGCGATTGCGAGCCGCCACATGACTCCGAGGGATTGGCTTCAGGGGCAACTGCAGCTCCTCCATCATCTCCAGCGTATTGGCTCCAGGTATACCAACGGGACGTATAGTGCGTGGTCCAGTCTCAAATATAAAGTCGCGATCCCTGCGCGCCTCTGTCCGTATCCAGCCACCGACTCGCGGGGAGGCTTCGTAGATGGTCAGAGGATTGCCGAATCGCCGCAACAGGTAATAACCGGCGGAGAGGCCACTCAGGCCGCCGCCCAGCACGGCCGTTTTCATGTTGATTCTTTAGCTGTCTTTCTGTTGTTCCCCTGGGTGTTTAGGACGAAGTTAGTCCGGTTTCTTGGCAGGATTATCAAAGCCGGTTACGGTCGTTGCATGACGAACAAAACAGAACGTGATTAGTCCACCTAAGCCCCCTCCATTTAAACAGTTCAACGACCTGAGGTTAATGGCGGAAAGCATTAAATCTTCTTGTATCCATGTCGTCTTTCCTTTGAACTTAAAAAAAACCACGATATCTTTCACCTGAACTGCGATAAAATGATTAAATGTTTATTATTTTCGGTGGAATTTCGAAATAACTCCTTGGTCTACAATGGGCTAATCGTTCTCCGCCAAGGATTGGACCATATTACTCGATTTTTATATTCGATTTGATATTACTAGCCATCTAAGACCTCCATAGCTGAACACATAGTTTTATCCGATTGATAGATCATATTTCTACAAGATGTGATAATTTTAATTACTCCTCTCTAATGAATTTTTTCTTTAATAAGGTTTAAACGTAACGTCACTGTTGCTATTCAACAGGTATCCGCTACGAGTAAGGACATCTTTATACCCTACTTAATGTAATATACAAATTATTTTTCCCAAGCTTATTTAAAACATTAATTTTGCACAGATTCTCATTTTTTTATACATACATTTATAAGCAAAGGTATGTATATCTGAATGCACCTATTTTTGCAAGATTATTATTATTTTTGATTTTTATTGAATAATTATTATTCTTGATTTTTATTGAATAATTATTATCACAATTCGATGTCGAAATAAGCCGTATTTAAAAAACATATATATTTAAACAGATGAATAACCACTGGTCCAAAGTGGGTTAATTTGTTCATTATATCTACACGGTACCTACTCATGGTGACTATTTTGTGTGCAAGGTGTGTGACCTAGAGAGGGGGAACAAATTGAATCAGTAATTTGAACGATGTCCTATCTCAACTGAATTAACTCAATAACTCAGAATTCGTATTTAAACTTGCACAAATTTGAGCTATTGAGTTTTAGAGCCAATACATAAGTGTGTTTCCAGCAAAAATTTTATAAATCAACCACATGGTTGGTCTAATGACAAAATTAGTTTAAAGTAATTATTTCTGGATTAACTTAATTTTTTGACACGCACCTACATATGCTTATCCAATGTATGTATAAAAACTGCGTCTCTGGCAAGAGGCAAAGACGCAAGACGCGGCATTAGTGCATATTATACCCTGTACTCTTAGATTGACAAATGAGATATTTGTCATAACTTGTTTGAAGCTAAGTCTAACTAATAAATTTGTAATTATGGATCTGGTAGAGGATGAGATGAATCGTGGCCAGATGCTGCTGAAGATCGGGGAACGTAACGAAGGGGTGCTAGCCAGGAGTGTGGGCAGGTCTGTGGAGGAGCAGATGAGTAATCAAAGCAAAGAAAATACAACAAATGTTGTATCTCAAGTGCTATTTCTATGCAGGACCACCAGCGAGAGCAGCTGTCCACAACATCTCGCAAAGTTAAAGCATAAAGGCACAAAAACGCATGACGCAGCTTTATTGTAATCAGCCTCTTAGCTTTGAAGCTAAATTATTCCAATATAAGTTTAGATTTTTTATATGAGATTTAAGAGTGCCTAAAAGTATGCTGTATATTTCTGTAAATTATTTCACATACGCCAGGTGTGCCAGGCAACAAACTAACGGCACAGCTAAACACAAACACACACACACCATGTAGACAAACGCGGTCACATGAACTGAATGGATTTTGGCGCCAGTTTTAATAATCGAGAATACCCGGAGGCCCATGCCACCAAAAACACTCCGAAAAAGCTCAAAGGCAAAGGCAAAGGCGAGCTTGAACCGTGTGCCAAGCACCGAGTTACAAGTCATCCGAGTTCACATCGGGCAGAACAGAACTGTATACGCTGCTGACGAGAAAGGTTGGTCTTCATTTTTCCGTGCGCGTCTCGTGTGACTCTGTGTAAATGTGTGCTGTGAGTGTGTGAGAGTGTGAGTGCGCTGGTGTCGAGTGTCAAGAAAACTGCCTTTAATACATACATACATGTATATGGACGTGTACCCACACCAACACACGCACATACACAGGAAAGTGAAAAATTTTCCAACAGCGTATGCCAATTACGGGGCGAAACGAAAACGGATGAAAACATGGATGGCCTGACGCAAATCCAACCCAACCAATTATGATCATAATTTTTGGGAAACGAAATGGCAATTGTGCAAAATTCGGTATCCGTTGAAAACGGACGGTCGGTCTGTGTGGAAGAAAAACCTGAGAATGTGCGATACACACATATACACAGGAAATTCAATTAAAATAGCATGACCGAGAGAGGTGTGCGTGTGTGGCCGAGTGTCTGTAAATGGAAATTGAAATTGTGTGCTCTTAAGAAACACGCGTGGAATATAAATCAAAAAATTAACAAAAATTAAATTTAAGAAATCCTCAAGAGGAAAACTATAAGGAAAAAACTTTGGTTTTCAATTGCTGGTGCTGCAGATTTTCATTTAAAAGATACATTCGTTGAAATCAACACTTTCACAGCAAAACACACACACACATAACCACATGCGCCATCCATAAGAACATAGATACGGCACAGTGAGCCAGTTTTTCTTTTACATGCAAACGCACAAAACGAGAACACACCACAAGCTCCCCAGCGAAAGGACACGATGATAAAGTCGATGGGCCAGGCCGGAGATACAGTTGTATCGTTCGTTGGTTTCGTTTTGGGGCCCTTCTGCCTGCGAGGAGAGTCGTCCCAGTCCCTGTCCCTGTCCCCACACCGTGTTAGCTCGTTGCGCGCTTCGGCCCCGTCCTCATCCGCGTCCACATTCACATTCACATCGTCAATGTTATTTTTGTTGTTTCCTACTCGTTGTCCGTTTGCTGTTCGTTGCCTTCGTGGGCGCGTTTGTTGGTATATGTGTGTCAGTCAGTCACTGGCCGAGAGTATCTGTGTGTCAGAGTATCTCAGTGCGTGCGTGTGTGTGCGTATCAGGGAGTAGATACCTACAAAGAAATTAAGCCCCGAACCGAGGCCCCGAGTTCAATGCGCGGCCAGAACGAGTCTTCAGCTCTGTTTACATTTCCCCTTCAGTGGCCCTTTCTTCGTGAGCCCGAGCCAGAGCCCTCACCCTCCCACTACCACTCTCTTGAGAGGATTGCAGGCAATTGCAGGAATTTGTGTCGCCCGTTTATTTATTATGAAAATGCAACTTTCATTTCATTCGGTATTTGTCCTGTTTTCCATTGTTGGCAGTCACGTTAAGCAGCTTGTGAACTGCCTGAATATGTGCGCCTTTGTCCATACCTGGTTGTTTGTTTGTGTGTGTGAGTGGGTGAGCCTGCTCGCGTATGTGCGTGTGTGTGTGTGACACGAAGGGAAACTAAAAACTAGGGCAGTGTGTTTCCGTTTCAACGACATGCCGCAGGGAGCTGCACAGAGACTAGGACGAAGAGAGGTAACAGAAAACCACTACCTGGCTGCCCCCAGATCCTTAAAAACTGTTGGCGGAAAACAAGAATTGCTAGAACGAAGCCAAATTCAATGAAGTCAAAAGGATTCAATATCACTTTTAAACATTTTTGGTTGCAACATTGCGTATGCTTAACACAAATTCATGTGCGACGTTCCCCATTGAAAGAAAAAGCTTCCGCTTGCACGGAATTCGGAAACGGAACACGGCGCAGGCGCCATTTTGTAACGGGAAGGGAGAGAGAGAGAGCCATACATGGGGGAATCGAAAATGAGAGAGAGAACGAGTGGCTGCTGTTTTTGCTTTGAAGTTTGCTTCGCGTCTTTATTTATTTATTTACTTGGCCGCCTTGTATTTGCTCCTTCCGAATGCCGTATTTTCCGGATTTTCCGCAAACAACGCCAATTCCGTAGTCACAATGAATGCACATTTTTCATAAGAGAACTGTCTTTTTTTTGGGTGGAATTTCAACGAAAATTTGTAAATGAAAATGATCAGCAATGGAAGTGAAAATGAAACAAAAACTACATATGTATGTGACACAACTAATGAGTGAAATGAAAACGAACATAAACAAATTATAAACATTTAAAATCATTGAATAAATAAACCACTGACAGCGCGACTAAAAAACATAATTAATTGCCCATGCCAATTTAAATAATATTTAATATTTCCCCCCCTCCCCACTCCCGTAAAACCAACCCAAAATAAATCTCTTGCAGCTTAACACATTTTCAAGCAACGAAACGAGGAAAATTTCGTGGGCAAACAAGCAGTATTCTCAAAGGAAAAAATAACAACAAAAATGAGCAGTGTGAATAAAAGAATTTTTAATTGATTTGAATTCAAATTCGAAAAAACTATCGATCAGAATTACAAAACAAACAACTAAGCAAACAAGCGCACAATGAAACTGATAATATTCAAGATGGTGATAAGGGAATTCTAGTCCGGAAGAAAATCAAGTCAAATAAAACAAATTCAAGTCAAATATGAAATAGTCTCAAGGAGAAGTCAAGCATCCGATTTCCACGTTTCAACATTTGTGAGGACCAGAAGCAGCAGCAGCAGAAGCAGCAGCAGCAGCAGAAGGAACAACGACAGCCCACAAATCGTCTACACATTGATGTGCGATTTGAGCGTGTGAATGTTGGCAGCCCTGGAGCCCTGCCTCGGTGGTTTAGCCTGTACTAGGTGAGTACTCCCTCACCCATTAGACACACAAACACACCTGCAACCGCATCACACCAAAAACCACCAAGAAAAACCAAACACTTTCCCATTTGACGCACACACAAAAACACACACCACGCTGAAGAAAGCGAATATGAGAACGGAGGCCACAATTACAACCACAACCACAAGAACGACAGCCACAACCAGAACCAGAATCAGAGCCAGAGGCAGAGGCAGAACCACAACGACAACATCAAGGGGTCTAATTGGAAACGAGATAGACAAAGCGATCCATCAGACATGGCCTGGTGTCCAAATTGTCACGAACTGCCACCGTTCTATCCGCCCATCTCGCCAAAGGTAAAGCCCTCGATGTCTTACGTCTATGAAATATCATCCATCGCTAGCCAGAACTATCGAATCGAGTCATACAGATCACATTGTCAGCAGTGCTATGGCCAATCAATCAATCAATCAATCAAACAAACAATCCACGTCATGATGTATAATTTGCATTACAATTGAATAGATTCAATCATTGATTAGATGGTATTTATAGGGAGGGTATACCGCCCTTGCCCTAGCCCTATGTAAGCCCTAGTATGTCCAAAACGATTCCTAGACCTCTCTCCTAGTCCCTTTACTCTCCCACCAATGCAGTGCATATCGAATTCGTTTCGTTTCGCTTCATTTAATAAATGGGATTTCCATCAGTTGACCCTCACCATAGCAATATCCCCAACTGGTGCTACCAACATTCCTAATGGCTCGCGTGACCTTTGAGAATGTGGCACAAAGAAGACACACACACACAAACACACACAAACACACACAAACACACACTCGACCAAGTGCAGCGCTTTAAGCCCTCTGGCCTTGGGGGCCACCGACCAAACGAGTGCTGGCTGGCGCTGGCCGGCAATCAACGGCCAAAATCAGCGGACCAAGTGCTGGCCATAAATTGCTCAGAAAGGCGAAGGGTATTTGTCAGGTTCGTCAGTTGTCAGCTGCCCGCCTGGGTCCCCGTGGTACTGTCTGTATCTGTATCTTTGTCTCTGCCTTTGTCTCTGTCTTTTCATTCCTCCAGCGCTTGACTTTGACGGACATGCGTCTAGATAGGTACTACGCCCGACTATCTGGTCGGCAGGGGCTCGCCCACGCCCCCTAAAATCGATAGTTCGCAATGTAAATTATTATTATCAAGCCGGCGACTGCCGTGTGACTTCACCCGTTAGATTGGTGTCTCTCTCTACCCCACCTTTAGCCCTCCGCTGAGTGACAGCCAAATCGGCCTGTGGGGTTCACTTCACGTTCACTCTGGCGGCATAATTCATATCATGCGCTATCTTCGCCTTCTATTCATTAGTCGCAGCTACTTTCTGGCGCTGGTTTCTGCTGACTAAGCACAGTATCTTAAGTCCAGTTAAGGCGCCACGACCAAGTTCCATTCCCGCCCAGAACAACCCTTTGCCCAGGGCTAAGTCCCCAGACAAATATAAATAATTGAATCAAAGCCCAGCAGTATGCATTTTGGCCTGGCTCGATGAAGGTTCTTTGAGTTAACATATATTTAAACTGCGATTAAGTGGTTTGGGGTCAAGTGAAAATGTTTCACAAGTGTTCAAGTGACAGTTTCTATGCCTAAAAGTCAATCCAATATATTGTGTATTGAATTAAGTAAACAGCAATCATTTGATTAGCCAAAAACTGATTCAACAACCTTGACCCACAGCCCCCAAAGGATTTCTGTGAGAATAACCTTCGTAGTCATGTAAATGCAATTAAATCACTGATTACTGAGCTTTCTCCTGGGAGGGAGCCACTTTTGCCTTAGCCTGAATTTTCTATTCATTTCAATGGTTTCAGTGGCGTATACGCCACCGGTTGACACATAATTTCAAGGTGAATGGCTGCTTAAAAATAGTGAAACAACATTTAATTGAATAACAATTTTGCTCCTTAGCTATTTTTAATTGCGTAAATGCAATGAAGCGTAGCGTAGAACCTACTAACCCCCGCCCAAGCATCGCATCGCATCGCAAATAAAAATGTTGAAAATGAGAGAAAAACACGAAGTGAAAACTAAAAATAAAATGCATGCCGCTGGCCTATGATACGGGGGCAGGGCACTAGGGCCAGGGCTAGGTATGATGGGGATGATGAAGATGAGCAATTATGGCCAGTGGAAATAGTGGCATGTGCAAACAAAAACTGGGCCAACTTGTTACCACGGCTGCCTGCTGCCTGCGCCTGCCGCCTGCCGCCCCCGCAGGAAATGGCAAACAAAGCGCGTAAATTATGAAACGACAGCTAACTGGCGACATGGCGTGACTAGCTCGAGTTAACTGTGGCAGTAACGTTAACGTCCAGGTTAACCTAGCCACCACCCTCTTTCCCAGCGCCCATTAGGACCTCGGCCAGGCCGAGTGCTGCCCGGGGCCCGTCAGGTCACACAGAAAGGAATGCAAAAAGAACACGAAAATATGAGGCAAGACACAAAACAAAAGGAGAAGGAAAATAAAACAAAAATGTATAGAAGAGAACTCATAATTTATTTATTTATACTCGTATTCGGCCTGCCTGCCGTTGTTGTTTTTGCTGTAACGATAATTCATTGTAGAAAACTCTCACCCACTCACACAGAGAAACACACGCTCACATGGGAACAGGTCTCCAATATGCGGACATGCCCTTGCCAAGGGTATCAGCAACTTTTTCATCAAGTTTGCAGAGGGGATTGGATGCCACGTGTCCCTTTGGGGAGCTCTGCTAAAAGAACTTTGAAAGAGCATCTAGCGATTTTTAGACCTAATTTCGAGTCTTGAAAATACAGAGATCTTTCCCATTTATAAACACGATTGAAGAATTCATTGTGGGATCAAAAAGTCCGAAGGTTCCTTTTCTACTTCCATCCATGTAAAACATAGCCCTTCCGGTTAAGCACTTTACCTACAACTTATTTCTACTTAACATCTCTCTTCCATTTCAAATGGGACCCTGAAAGCCTTTTAGAGGATATTAATATTAAAGAGAATATTAGAATGTTGAACCCTGAGAGGACCATAATGATACTCTCTACATTGTAGGTCGATGAAATGACTCTTATGGCTAGATCCTGTTAGGGCATCGAATCACTGGATCATCCTCTAAGGACTTTCGATCAGCGTCATAAAAAGTTATGTCCGTGTTAGGGTATATCCGCTTCATTCCAATGAATATCTAATTCAATTTTATTTGTCTTCGCGTTGCCTTTTAATTAAATTCAAGTTTGTCGCCTGCGCTGACACTTTTCGCGGTCAGCCACCGAGACGCACACGACCAGAGAGCGAGAGACTCATAGAGACCCACAGAGACCCAGAGAACTATGGAAAGAGAGACAGAGAGTGAGAGTGAGAGTGCAGGCAGGCAGGCCTGTGAGCCCGTGCCGCCAGGAGATAGCAAAGAGCTCCGCAATCGTTGGCCCCGTCGGCGGGGCAATTGGAAAACGCGCCGCGCCGTTCAGTTGGTGGACGCCAGTTGTGCGGTTCGCTCGGTGCCTCCTTTTTCTCCCTATTCGATTCGAAGCAATTTGCGTGCGTGCCGCGTCGTGTGTGACAACTGCAGATACATATAGTATCCAGATACATAATATATACGAAATATATTTGTCTATATACAAATTGCACGCACATATACGCCAGTATATAGTGTGGAGTGAATCAGTGAGTGCGTTGGCCCCTGCCTGAGAGTTTTCTGGCCATAAATTAATTGGCTAATGCGAATGTGACTGCGAATGTGACTGCGAATGCGAGTGCAGGACACAAATTTCCATTTAACCAGTCCGACGGGTATATAGATCTGATACAGGGAATACAGAAATCAGTGCCCAAGTGGATGGATGGCCTTTGCCCAAGATCCCATGTTCCCAGTGTTTTGAGAAATTTTGTCGTCTCTCGTGTCGCCAGTGCCGTGCCGTGCCGCGCCGCGCCGTGCGTGTGTCGGAGTGGATCACTTTAAAAATAACAGATTTGTTTGATGCTATTTATAAAAGTCGTGCCAAGTTTTCGTTCCGTTTCATTTTGTGTGCTGTAGCTTTCGGATTTCGGCTGTCGGATTTCTCATTTTGGTGTCGTCATGCCCCAAAGTTGATGTCTCTCGTATGCACTTGAAAACTAAATAAATATCGCAATATTATTGTACACTATAGAATCCGTTTGGGCCGCAATGTAAGCAGCAAAAATGGCAACGGACTTGATCGGCACAAATTTCAGCAGCACATTGACAAATGTAAGACGCGATGCACGGAATGTTTTGGGAGGGAAAATATACTTAACATTTTTATATTTAAGAATTCATTTCTTGGCCAGGCACATTATTGTTTACGTTTGAACTACATACATACATATGTATATACATATATACCAAACTATAAGAATATGAACCTACATTTATGTACATATACTCGTATAGAATGTATACCCAAGTGATTTGAAATGTCAGGCGTATGACGCAAAGAATGTTGCCGCCAGTTATCGTATTGATTTATGCTAAATTTAGTCAACTAATTGCCAGCGAATCGAGACTAATTGGTTCCGTTTTGTTTTGCAGGGGATGTCGGGGTGTGATCAAAGCACTGTCGAATCATTGGCCGATGATCCAACAGATTCACCATTCGATGCCGATGATTGTCTCAAAGTTCGCAAGTACTGGTGCTTTCTGCTGTCCAGCATCTTTACATTCCTTGCTGGCCTGCTCATTGTGCTGCTATGGCGGGCATTCGCGTTCATCTGCTGCCGCAAGGAGCCCGACCTGGGACCCAACGATCCCAAGCAGAAGGAGCAGAAGGCGTCCCGCAACAAACAGGAGTTCGAGGGCACCTTTATGACAGAAGCAAAAGACTGGGCTGGAGAGCTTATCTCGGGTCAAACAACAACTGGTCGAATTTTGGTAAGTACACACCCATCAAGCACCCATTTTTGCACCCGCTACAACTCCCACCCCCACCCCCCTCTAGCCGTTGCGATTCATCATTTATGAATTTCGTTTTCATTTGGGAACCACTCGACCACATCTGGCCGCATTGCTAAGTACTTTGGCCCGGCCTGGCCTGTCCTACTCGTACATTATAGCCACTGAATTATTCAGAGATCTGCTGACATTATTGTTGGCCATAGCCACACAATATCGATGTTGACGTGTCCTTGTCCATGGCTGCAGCTGGCGAAAGTTTACCGAGTGCCATCACACACTGCATTTGGTAAAAGTTCTCCCATCATTTAGTCCTGCAGCCCCCCTTCCACCGCAGTTCACCGATTCACCCACTCACCCACTTGTGAAGTGGAAGAATTGCGTGTATAAATATTTGGGGACTCATTTCGTGTCGACAGCGGAAGCAGCAAAGTAAATGTGCCATTTCCAAGTGCAATAAATACATGAACACAAATTGACTCTGGGGAGAGAGAGAGAGAACAGAAATTAACTTCTATTGTTTTCCCTTACGAAACGACGATTGAAATCAGTTGTTTGTTCAAATATTACGCATTCGCCTGGGTGTACCGCCCATCCATTAACTGGTGTTAGCTAATTGGTCTGGCGGTCTCAAGAGCTATTTAGTGGGGTCTTATTGGGCATTGGAAGTAATGCACTCGATAAGATTCCGTTTTGAAATAGCCGACTCTCTAATCGGAAGCGTATGTCTGGGAACATTTGCATTCGATGTGACGACATGTAAATCTGAGCAGCGACATCGCATGTCAACACAAAATCTGCCCATTTTTAGTTCCATTTACCCATTTTCAAAGCCATACCCAAGTCAGGGACAGGACAGCAGATGTAGCACAGAAAATAGCTTTGTCTGGCCGATTGCAAGGGGTCAAATGTGGACCATCAAGAGTCCACGCGCTACCATTGGACGACAGTTCAATGCTGCCTCTTGACAGAGGACAACCACCACAATTGCACAGTAGTCGAGCCGGGGACAACAACTAAGAGTACGAGTACCAGTACGAGTATTACCATGCTAACGCCACCCGCAGCGATGGGTTTCTGGCTCTGTGTCTGGCACATATGAATGCGTATCTACGAGTATATCTGCAGATAGTTCTGCTGGGAAACTTTCAGCTAATAACGGGAAGTGGGCCCAAAGAATGATGTACGAGTGTATATGCAGATGTGCGAGGATTGTGCTGATGGCGGGGGTGAGGGACCACAACAAATAACAGTAAATAATATGGCAAATGTCAGGATAGCGGCTGCTAAGGCAGGAAATGCCTGAAAGGCTCCACATCCCTCCGGCCAGAAAATCGATGGAACAGCGGCGCACATTTCGACTTTCTCTCTCTTTATAAAGCCAGAGGTTGAGGAAAGGTTGGAGGTGGGGAGTAGGACTCGAATAGGTTACTGTGGCGGGGTGTGCTGGGAGATTGTGAATGTTTATTACCAGGCCTGTTCGGTGGGCTTCTGTGCGGCAACCAATTGGCTCCGCTGTTGGCAGACACCGTCGAACGTTTCGTTTCATTTCGTTTCGGTTCGGTTTTGGGGCTGCAGCTGTTTTTGGAAAAGCCTTTTCCCCATTTGTGTGGGGCGCCCTTTTCTGTGGTGCCCCATCCTTCTGGCAGTTGTTGGTTGGTGTTGGTGTTGCTGTTGTATTAGCTGTTGTTATTGTGGCTGGTAAAATAAATGGCTTGCCATTTGGATATTACACAATTCGTGCCTGCTGCTGCTACTCCTTGTCATTCTTTGACTTTCTCTACTTTCACTGGAAACATTTGCAAATGCTGACAATTGTTACGTTGTACTTTGATTTTACGGAACTATTGGCCATAATCCCCACAGCCGCAGCCGCAGCCGCAGCCACAGCCACGTCCACACCCACTACTCCTGAAGCCCTGCTGCATTCACTAATTGGCTTTAAAATGGCTCCAATGCGGAAGTCGGCAGCAAAAGCTTTAAGCCTATGGCATTTATGGCAGCTGGGATTGCACTTCGTCACGCCATAGAATTAAAGCGAAAACCGCCTGCAGAAGAATTAAGTTTTGAAGTGGTTCCGCCTGCAGCTGAGGCCATTAAACTTCTGCCATGGCTGGCTCTTAAAGTAATGGCTATATTTGCCGCACAACGGAAACTGTTGGCGGCGGAACGGAGAACAAATCAAATCGAGAATTTTGAGAGCGAGACACGTGTTTTCTCGCTGCGTGACCCACATTTGGAGTTCGCGTTGATGCAATTTGGTGGCAGCAGGCCGTAAGTGCTTTTCGCTTTGCCTGGTCGACCTCTGCCTCCCTCCATCTGGTCTCTGAGAGTGATTGACCCAGTTTTCACGCCCAGTATACGTACTTTATGAGCCTCAGAGGAGTCCGAGGATTGGGTCCAAAGACGTCAGACAATCTTTGTCGTCATCTTGTCCGCCTTCTTGTATCGCCTTTTGTCTTGGGTCATCTTGGGTCTTCCATCTGTGCCCGCTCCTAGTCCTGCCCCATGACGTCAACTGTCTGGGGAAGTTCAATTTCATTATGTTTCAGTTCCACGGCGATTAACAGGGACTAATGAAAATGTCAGTTGCCTCGGCACCACATGACGTATACGCAATCCTTAAGCAAGGGTAAAAGTTTATACGCTCTACTTGAAAATTCCTGTCTGGTTTTTGATATTAGAAAAGTTTGGGGGTGTGTGTGTGTGTTGCCAAAAACTTTATTGCGCAACTAACAAGTTTCTAAGGAGTGAATAAGTTTTGCATGTGTTTGGGAGCGTAATTTGCATACGAACAACAGGCAGAAGCGGTTGAATAATGAGTAATCAGATCCCGAGCCAAGACATTTCAATTTATGGCCCTAAATAAATGGCTTGCGTGCCGCCGGATCGGTCCCTTGCCAAATTCAGTTTGGTTTCCATCCAACATTCCTTTCTTCCCTCCTTCCGCCGCTCGCTTTCGATTATCCCAGTAATTACGAAACGATAGCACCAACAATTGCAATTACATTGGCATTAGGTACTGTAGGATATGTATAAATAGTGTGCTTAGAGGAATGGGAGGGCCTAAAGTGCATCCGGCTGAAGTTGAACTACCTCGATTGGCCTCTATAAAAAGGTTTCTTGGCAAGCAGCCCTGACATTTAACTGGTCTGCTGCCTGTTGTTGGCCTCTTCTCATCCTCCTTCTGGCTATCTCCCCGACTGAAATTCTACATATGTACATATAGTATAGTATAGCCGGGGCGCATCCGAAATTACCTTGTAAAACTTTCATGACTACCGCAGATTTATCAGCGGGGCGCCTCGACTAATTGCCACTGCCCGGACGCTGCCTTGTCCCCATGAATCAAATGATCCGTGGTCGTGGTCCAGCTGCGGCTCTGGCGCTGGCGCTGTCTCCAGGGCCCCATGGCCCCATGGCCGGTGCCAAAGTGTGCAATTAAAAATGCACATTACTGCGGTATCCTCTGGCTCTCTCTTCCTCTTCCTCTCTTTAGGGGCAATTTCCGCTTTTCCTTTCCCTTGCTTTCCATTTCCTGCTTCTGCCTCTGAGAGATTTCTTTTGGGACGGGGCAGCAGGCGGAGTCGGGGCCAAGTTCAATGAAGCGTTCGACTGTGGTTGTCATCTGACAAGGCCGTGATTTATGGCTACGAATTGGCTACAGCAGCTGTTGAGAGATGGGGATGGAATGGGGATGGGGATGGGGCCACGTGTAAAGTAGAAGATCCGCAGCCCATTACGAAATGAAGTTCATCTTTGCGAAACCATCTCAGTGTCATAATTTGTAATGTTCTCTATAATACATGGTTTATAATGGCCTACCCTTCGTTCTTTTTCAGGTCGTACTCGTATTTATACTCAGCATTGCATCCCTCATTATATACTTTGTTGATGCATCTAGCGAAGAAGTCGAAAGATGCCAAAAGTGGAGTAACAACATTACTCAACAGATCGATCTCGCATTCAATATATTTTTTATGGTTTACTTTTTTATACGAGTAAGTTACACGATAGACAGACCAACACACTGACACACACTTACAGCGCCGAGCCATACACTGAGTTGATTTTACCGATTATTTCAAATCGATTGGCTGGAGCGATGATTATTTGTGGTTATGATTTATGCGATAAAAATTCTTACAAATTCTTGTGTTCTTTTCAATCTGACAATCTCTTACAGTTCATAGCGGCGTCCGATAAGCTTTGGTTTATGTTAGAAATGTACAGTTTTGTAGATTATTTTACAATACCCCCGTCCTTCGTATCAATATATTTAGATCGAACATGGATCGGTAAGCGAAACAAATCCCTTATAAATTCAATCCTAATTCAATGAAATTTTAAAAATTGTATATGCATACAAATCGGAGCTGATTGGGATTAATATATGAATATGAATATGAATCTGAATCCTATATCCCCACCCCGTTTCCCCGTACACGAACACATCTGAAAAACTGATACACACACATATACACAAACACAAGCCAACACCCGGGTCCTGATCGATTTGTATGCATGCAATGTGCCTTACTCTACGCCATCCATCAACAATTATATATGCATATGCGTATAAACATTATGTATTACCACGAACAGGTCTTCGATTTCTTCGAGCGCTACGTCTCATGACTGTTCCAGATATTTTACAATATTTAAACGTACTAAAAACATCGAGCTCCATACGCTTGGCTCAACTAGTATCAATTTTTATATCCGTGTGGTTAACAGCAGCGGGCATTATACATCTGGTATGTAGAACACACAAACACACACACACACACACATAAACCTATACACTCGGGGATCAGCTGTTCCCTGGTCTATGGCTCTGTGACTGGGACTGCAATGTGTGCCAAGAGCCAGTGTCATGAATATAACAAAGAAATACAAATTAATATGCCACATTGCAACCGGCTACAGAGTGTGGAACGAGGGCACGTCTGATCCCACACCGATCCTATATAGAGAGTGTCCAAATTGGTTGAGATTATCGCTGATGCGGTGGATAATGGCATTTGCATTTACTTAAAATTTAGCTGGAGAACTCTGGCGATCCGCTGGATTTTAATAATGCTCATCGTTTATCGTATTGGACCTGTGTCTATTTCCTAATTGTGACCATGTCAACGGTAGGATATGGTGACGTTTACTGTGAGACTGTCCTGGGAAGAACATTTCTCGTGTTCTTTCTGCTCGTCGGCTTGGTAAGTTTCCCCTGCACTACAAATCATTTAAGAATTTAATGAAAACCAAATATCTTAAACCCACACACACCAGATATACCAAAATGAAATCTAAGCTTTCTTTTAGTTGAATATATACATACCTAGATGAATACCTCCTTATACTCGTACAGATAAATATAGAAAACGTTTCTCTCTCTCCCTCTGAAAATCTGTCTGCCTCCGCCTCTGCCTCTGCCTCGATGCCCATTGAGTTTGAGTTTAGGCCAAGCCGCAGCGGGGTTGCGTTGGAAGTGCTTAAGTGTGTGAATGATTTATGTTTTGGTTGCCACCTAATCTACCACTAGTACAGTTGTGCTCAAGAACCATAGTTGAGTAGCCAAAGCAGTACAGTCCAGTAATCCAATCCAGTATCATGTATGCAGTACTAGCCAGAGAGTGTAGCACTCTCGATACTCCGTATGCCGTACGCCGTACGCCGTACTGTGATTCGAAAACTCTCTTAGCCGTAATTCTTTTAGCGTACCGTACCCCTCCGTTGAGCTCCCTTCTCTCTCTCTCTTACATTACCATAGCGTTAATATATACTCAATACTCGTACATTTGTTAATTGCATTCCAAAAACCTTATGTATGTACATGTACATGTACTTGAGTACATGCCACGTTTATGTAAATACATAGAACGACTTAATAATCGTACGCTGCACCAAGTTTTGAATTATGAAAGTTTATTTGAGACCTTTGCGACTCAGTTCCATATTTACGTTCAGTTTAGTTCAGTTCAGTTCATCCTTCTCCAGTTTTGTTAGCTTACCTCATCACCCAAGCTTAACGCGTTTACTCTGCCTTACGACCACACCAGTCACACCTCAACAACTACTACTACTACTCGTACACAGCCACACAGAGCCACACCTAGACATGGTAACCGAAACATCCGAAAGATACAGGAGCGCCCTGGGCCGGTGTGGCAACTGGTGCCCGTTCATTCTCACGCAGCCCATTCGATACTCTCGTACTCGTACTCGTACCCTCCCCCGCCCCCCATATTCGATAACTTATGCATGCAGTTTACTTATCACATTTTTGAGTTGAAACTTTCGATTTGCCTTTGGTTTTTGTAATGGAAAACTCGTAGACACCGAATACCGAAACACGAGACACACACAGAGACACCGTCAAGGGTTAGGGTCTGTCTAGGGTCCTGTCGTTTAGCCCAGAATATCCAGAATATCCAGAATACTACAACTATATATACATCAATATACCAATGCAATGTTATATCCAAAGGTTAATGTTTTTTGCATGCTTTAATGCTGGCTGCCGCATATTCCATATGTTTAACCAAAAAATCAGTTCAAAAACCAAAAACCAAACCAACCGAAATCGATATCGTAACGCTTCTAGGTCTAATTCCAACCTGCCAAGTAGCTATCCTTTTGGGTGTGAATGTCCCGACCTGACTTCGTACCCACTGTTCAGGGATCCGCTTTGTTTTTCTGTGTGTATTAGTATAACTGCAAGCAATCGAAAAATAATGCTAACAATAACAATAACAATAAGACTAAGCCTAAGACATATCCACAACAACAACCTACATATATATATAACCTAGTACATATATTTTTTGCTGATCAACTGAACAATTGATTTTTGTTAATCTCGTGTACGATGGAATATTTTAGGCAATGTTTGCCAGCAGTATACCGGAGATAATTGAACTCGTCGGTAGTGGCAATAAGTATGGCGGTGAACTGAAAAGAGAACACGGAAAGAGGTAGTCTATAACAACCATAATGCAACATCAAAAAATTATAAACGCATTCTATGTGAAAAAAATAAAACACCAACATTTTCAATATAATCCACCAAAAAATGATCAACTTAAAAAAAAATCTAAAGTATAACTTATGAAAGAATATAAAAATATATATGAACATTTAGGGAGAACTAAGCTTAGGATCGCAGATCGTTCAGGAGGTCCCCCAGATATGATAAGCTCGGAGCTAGGTTTGCTTGAACCACAAACAAACAACAACCTTCGCATAGAACACACTTTTTGAGTACTCGTACTATTTGAGAGGCTCCAATTAGCTATTTTAGTACCACCAAATATTAATAACTATTGATTAGAGTCGATAAATTGCAATTTATAGTCTGTTACCCTCCAACTTTGTTTCCCTTATTTCATTTATCAACTGAGTTTGAATCTCTAAGACTCGTCGCATAAACAGTTGACTTACCCGCATCAAAAAGTAGTTTCAGTCGACTCTAAAGTCGTCCGTTTCTCAAACTAAACTTTTTAGTTCGTTCGTTGATAAATAAGTATTCCGAAAAACCAAAAAAAAAAGACATTTGATAAATCATCAAACAAGTAATAAAAGTAAAGTACAATATTATAATTTCCATTTCGATTTCGATTTGTATTTTATCGTTCTGATTGAGTAAACTATTTTTGGATACATTTTTGATTTGACTCGCAGCCAGAGACAGTCCCGAAGAGTCCCGTCGTATACACATAGATCTATTTGTATATGCCATTAAAGATTTTAATGTCTAATTCACTGAGGGTTTCGTTTTCTCATTTTCGTTTATTGGTTTATGGTTTTCCGTTTCCTTTGGTATTTATTTGTGTTTTCCTTTGATTTATTTCGTTTGTTTAAACATTTTTATTGAACACTTAATACTCAAGAGTTTTTTTTCTCTTTCCCTTTTTGATTTTTGGTTTTTTGTTTTATATTTTTTTTGTTTTCGTCTAGATATTCGGATCTGAGATACCTATCGTTTTACACTTTATACTTTGCCATGCTTTAAACGTTAAACGTTCCGTATTAACACCAGAACTATGATACCAGATATGCGTTTATCAATTTGCAATAGTTCAAGGTTCATACTCGTATATATTTCTTTCGATATCTTAAAGCAACTACTTAGGCGCATTGTTGTAACACATCCCACTCACACACAAACACACAAACACACACACAGACACACGTACACATGGTTAAGTATATATGTATATTTATATATGTATATGCCACACTTACACACATATAGACACACTCACGTCCCCCAACCCTCAAATAGCATCGGTCACGCATTGCCAAAAATGTAATTAAAAATCCGTTTCTCGTATCTAAAGTCGTAACACGTAAATTTCATTGCATATTTCTACTTTTGAAGAGAGCAAATTCAAGCTTCAAATTTTTGCCATATATTTTTCTATTCATATTTCCATTTAATTCCTATTGAATCGTTTTGTCAGCCTCACTGATCCATAAATAGTTGAAAAGCTCACCAAAAACTAGAGACATTTTCTCAAGGAATTCGGTGAACCGAAGTTTTGTTACTCCCCATTAACTCCCTATTAACTCATTCAATCCAATCCAGAGCTGAAAGCGTAACCCCAACAAATCATAGTAACATGTATCTAGGTCTGTATAAAGTACGGCATCTCGCATAGCGTAACAGTACGATTAAAACTATAGAGCGCACTACTCAAGCAAAGAACTATCCCCAACCGAATCGAAGGGGTCTGAGCTTCCCTCTCTTTTTCTTTATCTTTATCTCCACCTCTGTCTCTGTCCAGGCAGAGTGTGTCCCTGCACTCGTCGTGTATTGTAAACTAAAATTGTAAATTATTAGATGTAACCAAAGTAAGAGTACAGTATTTAGATGCCTACAGACGACCTCTTGCCAAAGAGATTTGTGTAAAGTAATATACAATTAGACTAAAACTACTGTTGTGTGAAAGACTTTGAGTGACTGAGTGTTCTGTGTGGTGAGTGCTGAGTGATATGTGTACATAAGTGAGTGAATGATTTCTAGACAGTTAGAGTGTGCTTGTGAATAAGTTTGTGAGTCTGAATCTGAGTTGAGCGGTTTCCATTGTGCACTGTTCTACGTCGTCTGCCTCACCGTCAGCGTCAACGTCAACGTCAACGTTCAACTTTCAACTCTCAACGTCGTCGTCGATTTGTTTTCTAACAATTTGTATCCATAATAATTTTGTCCATTTCTTTTTACACACCTACTACACAAACACCTACCCAGAAACCAGCAATTTGTTAGCCCAACCGAACAGAACAGAACAGAAAAACCCACCAAAACTATGAACAAAAAATACCTTGTAATACTTAAAAAAAACTCAACTGAAAACCTGAAACCCTCTTGGCACCTCTCAATCAATCTAAATGTGTATGTGTGTTGTTGAATTTAGGCCGTTTTCGCTAGTTGGATACCAGAAATCACTGAACTGGCCGCCCAGAGAAGCAAATATGGTGGAACATATAGCAAGGATCCTAGAAAAAGGTACACGAACACGTTGCTGGCTGTACCGCTAAGAGAAAAAAACCAAAAAAAAAAAAAAAACAATTCTCAAAACCCAATCAAAAAATACAACACAAAAAAAATAATAAGATAAACAAGAAATGACTATAAAGCAAAAACAAAAAAAAAAAAACACCTCAGCAATCGAAGAATCTTGAATTCGTTTTTTCTTTACTAAACTCCAGTCAAACAACCAACAGCATATGTTTCATTTACTCTTATTTTTTATTGAATTTTTCGTTGATTTTTGTTTTGTTTTGACGTCACCTGGAATTGCATAAAAATGCCCAAAACTACGAGCCCGGCAGATAAAGCAAAACTCAATAAATGTTGTCTGGGTTTACAAAATACACATACAAAACATTTCTATTCTACAAGACGCATTTATATACTTTCTTTTCTGTATTATTTTCATAAAGCAAATCAAAAAAAAAAACACAACAAATCGAAAGTAACTAAAAGCAATTAGGACTTGAAAGGCATTGGTTTCTTGGCGGCATGTGTCTGTATTTAGTTGAATCAGCAAAACCGAAAAGAAAAAAAACAAACTATCGAAAAATTGCACAAAAACGAAAAACGAAAGGATCAAAGTGGTTCATAAGCGAGAGCTATGTATAACCTATTTAATTTACTGGTCAAATCCTTCTGTAAATCCTGTTGTCGTTTAACCCAATTTATTTTTGTTTTTAACTTTGGCTTGATTTTTGCGTGCGTTTCATTAGGCTTACTTTACTGTTAGCTAGAGATACAAATTCAACTGCTTCAAGTATTTATAGCAAAGCTCGTAAAAGCAATATGTGTGCAGATAACTATTTTTATCCATTTTCAATACAAATTGTTCATTGTTCATTGTTGAGCGCCTGTGGGTATGCAACAGCTTTTGGCGTTCTGCGTTTGGGATACTGAATGGTCCTTTTTACTTATATAAGCAATCTATATGGCTAATGAATCTCGGAAATCCTACTCCTCTTCCTTCCCAATTTGTTGAAGCATGCACATTTCGCATTCGGTAGTCCACAAAACCAAAAAATATATGTACCATTCCTCAATTGACCCGACATCATCTTTTGGAAAATAATTTACAGAAGTATTTGAAGGTGTGCCTCGAATGGAATTTGCTTAGACAGTCGACAATCGAAAGAGCCAACAACTCTATGTATTCAAGTGTGTCATTTTTGAGTTTCGTTTTTGATTTTGATTTAGTTTTTGTATCTGTAAATAGACGGCAGACTAGACCACAATTGCGTGTGTTTTTATGCAACTTCAGCTGCGTCATTTATTTTGAGTTTGACCGGTTGACAGGAAAAGCTCCACAACTAGCGCTGAATCAATAAACATACTAACGATATGGATATATATACTTAATTTTGTAAATGGCTTCTTTTGCGTTACCAAAGTGCATTTTTGTTGAATTGTTCAGTTCAGTTCAGTTGAGTTCGTTTGTTCGTTCGTTTGTCTTGATTTTGATTATTGGAACACCCACACACACTCACACCTAAACACAGACAAACACCAAGTTGATGCTTTGGTTCCTGTATTCCTCCATTTGAGTTATTGTTTCCCGAATACGACTTGTGACATATTTTTTCCAGTTGTGTTTCTATATGCGATACATACATTAAAATACAGTTGCAGTAGTTTATACAGTTTTTGCAATTTCAATTTATCCAACATACCTACTATATCGAATTTACTTGTAATTTACATACCATACCAATACGAAAATAATTCCACACCTAATCAATCAATCAATCAATCTAACCATCTCTAATTCAAGTCGTTAATTTGCTTGCACCCACTTTGTATGCCGCAGCCACGCATAGAATAACGAAATCGATATCGAAGTCGATGCCAGCGCCAGAAGGCGCTGCAAATACTCGTTTACTGTTTTTTTCTCTTATTTTTTTGTTGTTTACCGATGATCATCATTTAGAGGAAAATTGATATTTGTATACTTGTAATCAGTAAAGAGTTGCAGTACCGTACCCTATATCTACTCGTACTCGTATCGCATTCAGTATCAGTATCAGCATCATATCTTCCCATTATTCTCGTAACTCGTAACTCTATTCCAAGCCGAATCGAACCGAACCGAACCGAACCAAGCCGATCCCCACCCGACACGCACACACACACTTAAGCGGTTTAGTTTGTTAGAATCCTCCATACCAACACACACAACTACATACACACACAGATACACATAGTAATAGTAGTGGTAGCTCAAGTCGAAGTCTTAGGCACTGAAACCCATCAGCAAAGATGAAGTCGAAAGCCAATCTGTCGATGTGTGTGCGTGTGTACTTGGCACCAACTTTTATAGGGTTCTGCCCCCTCACTTAGCTATGAATACCTATGAATATATTACTGTTGAATAACCACACAACACGTACCCCCAAGAAACCATTAGAGCCATAAGAAATTTAGTTGCAAACTGTTGAGGCGGTTTATCGATTTTCGCAAGATAATCTACTCTAGTCAAGATATCAATTTTAAAATCGATCTTCAGTTTATTTTCACTCATTTACTAAATTTATGTTTTCCATTTTCTTTTGGTCGAATATGATTTTTCAACAATGGCGTCTGGTTACAATACAAAAACCAGCAATACAAGTACAACAAAACCAGCGACAATAGCCACCGAAATGAATGAACAACAAGAACAGCAATCAGAGATCAGAGATCCGATCGGATCCGATCCGCTCTGCACCGTCGTCTTATAATTCTCTTCTAGGGATCCTGCTTCGAAAACTAAGGTCCTCATATACCAAGCTCCCATGTCCCCATGCCCCCATGCCATATCTCTTTCTCTCCTCTCCTCACCACACGCCTCCTTCTCTGTCTATGTGTTTCTCTGTTGATCCTTGGCGCGAAACTGTCGTTTGTCTTTTTAGTCTTCCCCCCAGCGTCATACGAAATTTGTTAAATGCTTTTTGATTTAATTTATGAACAAAAGAGAACAAAATACTTCACTGTCATCATTATCTTTCATACTGTAAACAGGCGATTTTTGCAAGTTGTATACCTGAGATTATAGACTTGATTGGAACAAGAGCCAAATATGGGGGCACATTAAAAAATGAAAAAGGGCGAAGGTGAGACAAACCAAATTTTCTAACAATCAATCAACAAACAAACAAACAATTAATCTACAAATCGATTAAACCGAAAATTATATAAAAATAAACAGCCACAAATAAGACTATATATACTCGTACTACCACAAAACAATAATACAATACCAAACATATGTTTAAGCCAAACAACCAATCTAAAGTCACCCAAAAAATGTTCAACTAACCAACCAAACAGTTTTTTTGTTATGTTTCAAACAAAAAATAAACACCAAATCAAAATGAAATTTCTGAACCGAAAGCAAAGAAATTCCAAAATTATTGTCTTTTTACTTTGCGCTTCATTCATGTCCAGCTGTCCAGAAAAGTAGCTGAAATTTGATTTTGATTATACATTGTATATCCCAGAAGAACACAAGCCAAAAACCCCACAAAACAATGCATAGACCCTATACATACACCACAAAATCAATTCAAAGCCCCACACAACATGGCCACCCCAAACCAATCACCATCATAGTCATAATCGATGAACCCGAAATCGAAAGTGAAAGACACATATGCGGCATTACTCATACGCCCGGTGGGACCGCCTGGCTGGCGCAGCTGCCTCTAACATTTGTACATTTGAACTCTTTCAGAACCAGGCAATCAATCAATCAGCCAATAAATCATCAACTCAAACCCCAAATTCAAACATTTAATCGATCAAACATCCTACAATACCACCAGCCACCAGACACCACCACCACAGAAACACCAACCACCCACACGAAAATTGAAAATAAGAACAAATCAACAAGAAAATTAAACTAAAATATTCATATTGCTTATACGAAGAAGAAAAAAAAAACTACCCAAAACTATATATGTATTTTTCAGTTATCCAACAACTCATTTTGTGTTTGTTGCGTTGCGTTTCATTTGATTTCCTTTTGCGTTTCGACTTAGACGTGTCGCCTACGTAGCTCAGTACGTAAATCGTAAACGTAACCTAGGACGTCAGCAAACGTAACGTAATGTAATGGCCGCCCCCATGCTGATGATTAAGATTGATGATCATGATTTTCGATGATGATGATGATGATGATGATGGGTGGTGATGGGGGGCCGTGCCGTTTTATGCATTAGTTTCATTATTCTTTTGTTTCGCCCATCGATTTTCGTTTTTATTTGCCAGTTTTTGATAATTTTGTGTTCTTTGAATTGGCATTTTGCAGATATCGTACTCGTATTTGAGAATCGTACCACAAAACTATAACAAAAAAAAACCAATTGTTTTCGTACTTAAAAACTGTTCTGAGTGTATCTACTATATCATGTGCGTACTCTTAACTACCAAATGCTATCTTGTTGTGAGTTTCCATACTACATCCTCAATTTGAACGCCAAATTTTCAACTTACTCTTCTGCTACTTTCTACTCTCTATATCCTACTCGTACATCCTGATCTTGAACCTAAAATTCTTTAGATCTTTATCGTTTGATTTGCACGTACGTTTTCCGTTTATCCGATTTCCGATTTTCGTTTCCCGATTTCCGATTCTGCTCTTCAGTTTGGGTTTTTCTTTTGCTTTTCTTAGAGCCAATTCGGATACGTACAACCCACTGATCGATGGATCGTTCGAGTAAGTGTGAAGTCAGAGCTGATGATTGGCATAAACCGAAATCCGCATTCGTATGATCGTACTTCGTATTCCTAAGTTTGTCTCGTTTTTGTATGCCATATCATACTAGCCTCATTTTGCATTTGTATTAGCCCTTGAAGTGAATCAGTGATTGGTGTTTATTATTGTGTTACATTACCGTAATTGTCTATATAGTCCTTGATATCGAAGTCGTAACTCGTATATATATCTATATATCCATACATATGTATACATATACATAAATATATACAAACGATGTATTTGTATACTATGCCAAAACAACCTTAAACGATTAAACATTGAACGATAATAATGCATACTAAATACATATTACCAATAACTTACTATTGATTCGATTGTATACATACGTAAATGTTAGAACTCCATATAAACCAGAATGTACCACACACACACACACATGCATAAGTATTCGTATTTCGCAAAAGAGTCCGACTCTCTAGAGTACTACAAGTACAGACAGCAATTTGTATATAACATGCAACTCCCGGAACTTCCCGGAAGACTTCAATTTGCTCAAATTTTTGCCTAGAAAAATACCTGTACAAAATACTAGAGTAGGACTTCCAGGTGGCTCTATCTACTGTATCTACTGTATCAGCAGAATCATCTAACAAATAAGTGTGTGTGTAATGCCAATCGATAAGACATGTCAAGCCACAAACTCATATTCCCGCATTCTCGTATAACCAACATAATTTTACTCTCTCTCTCTCTCTCTCTTCAACTATATATATATATATCTTTTTCTCTCTCTCTCTCTAAACCTTCAATCAGTTATCAGCTACTATGTGTTGTAGTTCTTGGACCAATTTTATATACTCTATGCTCTATACATATCACACAACCAATCACACAAACTATACTCGTATACTTTTCTAAACGATACAAATGTTTGGTTTTCATCAATTTTCCTCTTCTTTGTGAACTTCTGTTGCCGACAAAACATTCGAAGACGACGGTATAATTAACCAATAAACGATAAAGAATCATAAATATACAATATATACGGACCTATACCTATACCTATACCTGTACTAGAAGTATATCGAATCGGTTGATAAAATATGACTCCACTCCACCTAATTGTCGTTACCCAGTGTTGTGTATGGATGCGCTCTACGTTTAGAATTGATTTACCTTTTGGTTACCTCATTCGGATCAGGTAGGAGGCGAATGCTTAGGGACCTGCATCGTTGTACTTGATGTGGTATGTGGTTGAGTGGTGTCCCCCCGTATGCACACACCACACTCTGTTGGAGGATATTGATTGCTCGCAAAGAGTATTTCTCGTACCTGTACTATCCATAGCGTAATCGAAACAACACCCGATTCCACTGCCGTATCCGTATCCGATTCCGATTCCTTCCAATTCTGTATACACACACACATCTCCTTTCCATTTCTCTACGACTCTCTCACTCTCTCTCTCTCCCTCTCACTCTTTGTATCTCTTTCAAGATCTGTCCTATACGCTGTTTTTATTTTACTTGAAACTCACCATTCATTGCACAAATCGGAGCGCATCTGAAGAACAAACATTGAAATTATATTTTATTTTCTGATTGATAATCACATTCATGTCCACCACATGAACAGCAATTCTATGCGGAAATAAAATGATGAAAATGCGTGGCCAGGCATCAAATGTTTAACTTTCTCACCATGTATATCTATATCATTTCCAACATTTCCAATAAAAAAGAAAACAAAACAAAAAATCAAATTTAATCCAAGTGTCACCATTCGTTTTAGCCGATGCAATTAAAGGACAATGAAAATGCAACACAAGAACTAATAGAATGTAGTTCAGTTCGTTTATTTCGTTTGTTTGTTCGTTAAATGCAAATTGAAGTTCTTCTTTCTTTTTAGACTCCTAATCAAGCACAATTTCTCAATGCCATTACTGCCACCGTAGAGGTAAAGCTGTTGATATAGCCTTGCATCCCGATTTGAACCACCAAGAAACATTTGACCGAACTTCACTTATCATAACATTCGGACCTCAACCTCCAATATTATCGGGAAACTAACGTAAAGACGACGGAAAGAGAATATTTTGGAAAGAATATTCAATTTTTATTGTTACCTTAGCGTTGATTTATACTCGTACATATTATTTTTTCAATTACAAATTGGACTTCACTTCTCCGATGTCTTAGAGGACTCCTGAAGATACTACTTGTACCACTATTTCTCTTATTTTTAAAGGTCTGATGATATGTATTATTATTTCCCTGAGAGACTTTTATATTTTGGGTAAAAGAATTGGAACGAATCTCATCATTTGACTGCCTTCGACAATGTAGTTTTCTGTGGTCATGGTTTGCATGGCACAGTACAGTGAAACCCTCACACACAAATATCACACACAAACACACCCACACCCACACGAAAAGAAAGAGTATGCATGTCGTTGTTAGCCCTGCACTGATACACTACAATACTTTACTTATGAAGGTATGAAGAGAATGCCTGCCCGGTTCGCCTGACTGCCTGATTGCATGACTGTGATAACAGTGAATATCCAACCAAACCAAACGAAACCAAATCTGTTTTAATCATAGCACCCTGTAGAAATTAGATATTAGTAAACGGAATGAGCGTAGTGTATTATAGAATGTGTATATAGTATAAACGTAGAGTACCAATACGTTGGCCAGCTGCTGGCCAGTTTTGATGCTTTCTTTGATGCATGTAAGTTGATTGAAAACCAAATGGTGTGCGTAGCTATGCCTTACCCTAGAACCATATTGATTTCCAATATAAATACCTATATATACTTGTATACTTATCATTTGATTGAACTGCAGCCGCAGAGTGCTGCCGCTGCGGGGACGAGATCCTCATTTTGTGTCAATTATGATTTCTTGCCATTAAATTGATTTGTGAACAAGCCTCTGGGGTAGCAGACTAAATTCATGCATTCTGCATTTATGATTTGACTTTAGTTGATTGAATTTTTCAGTTTGTGTATTTTGTATAATTTTTGATAAATGTTTGTGTTCAAAAGAAAATGCAAAGTAATTTATACTTTACCACAAAATAATACTGACAAGCCATAAAGATATAACATAACCATGCAACGACAAGCAGTTGATAAATAATACAAAAAAGATCAAAGCATAAATCACTATAAAGAAATATACAGAAAAACAAGACAATAAATATATATATTCTCACCCAAAGAACATGCACTCATCTAAACACATACAAGGCACTCTCGCAGATACACAATCACACACAAACACACTCACACACACACACACACTTATAATTGTATGGCTTGTGGCTTGGCTCATGGAATGCTATCGTATCAGAGATACATTGATGGGCCAGGCCCAGAGACAAAGGAAGGAATTTAATTTCATAATTGAAGCCAAATTCAATTTCCGTCTCTCTTGCTGCTTCACTCACACACTAATTCTGGCACACACATATAAATACATACACATACATATGTAACACATGTACAGCGGTTCAATGCATTCCACTTTAGGTTTAAGCCAAATTGTTGCTTTACTCGTATCGATACCAATACCAATACCAATGGAACTAATCTATTTATCTCTCTATGCCACAACCCCCACACACGAATCGCGAACCTCGAACCTCGAACCACGAACGAACCAACCGAAATACACAGACATATTGTGGTATGCGGTCATATAACATACGAGTCCGTGTCGCATTTCCTGAAGGACTTTCTCCACGAAGATCGGGAGGATGTCGATGTCGAAGTGGTCTTTCTCCATCGGTAAGTCCATCTAGAACCTGTCCAAAACAGCAGACAAACCTCTTTCTAAACGTATTGCTAATTTGTTGTGCCGTTGTTCATTTGAATTTATGGTTTCTTAAATGTATTGTATTTTCGATTGATTTTGTTAAACGAGATCAGCAGCAAAGAAAACAAATTTAGAGCAGTACTTAAGCAGAATGAGAAAGGGGCCACCAGTTGCGCAGAAAAGTATGCTATGATTATAAACAAAAAACAGCTGCTCGCCTCTCGCTCGATAGTTGGGTGGGGGACAGACATCCCCCCTCCCAATCAGATAAGTTAGACCAAGGCACTATTAATAAGTATTTGCATTAAACTAGCCTCTAGTCCACACTCAGTGAGATGAGAATCGATTTAACTTTGATATTCTTTTAACCCTTTTGCTTTAACTACTTAACTATTAATACTGAACTATATATGTCATATATCATGTAATGTAATGTAAACCATACGACGAACAATTAAATAGCAAAGAACCTGACCTGGAGCTAGAGGGACTGCTGAAGCGTCACTATACCACAGTGGCCTTTTTTCAGGGCACTATGATGAACGCAGTCGACCTGGAGAGAGTCAAGGTACACAGAACACACACATTAAGACACAACACCACCACCACCACGTACACTTGCAGACATACATACAAACACAGATACACGAAAACAGTGAAGACACACGCAGAAATAACGATTTACTCGAGCCGCGATTGTCAGGTGTTCCTACTGCTACAACGATACAACAACTCATTCGTATACCATGTGAATGTTCTTGTGTCCGTGACACACGCCCACAACGTAGTCCTTCGAATAACCGAAATGCAATGCAATTTCAAGAACCATATTATCAAGTTCCATTTTCTGCTGGCATCTCCCGACAGCAACCAAGCAAAAGACACGCCCTCTCCCCAACGCCAACGTCTATATACTCTATATACTCGTACCATCAATCTTTGCTCGCTCTCACTTTGAACTTGAACAAATCAATTATGTTTATTTTTATTGCAATTTTATAGCTTCATTATGGCATTCTTTTTAATGGTTTCCGGTTGCTGCTGATGAGATTTCCCAGAACTCGTTTTCTACCAATTTTTTCTCAGAGCTTCATTATAAAATAAAAAAAAAAAAAAATAATTCATATAATATATACTCAAATATATTATAGGTAGTATTTAGTTAAGACTCCCTTACCACATAATTTCACGTTTTTTTGTTCTTTTTCGTAATATCCTTCACGTTGGCTTTAAGTAATTTAACCTGCTTAATGGAATGTCCTCCTTAGCTGAAATTTTATTCGATTTCCAAAATACATTATACCATACCATACAATTCCAATCGAGCTAAAGAAAACTTAAAAAACGCTCAAACTTGATTCACTCTTACCCGTTTCTTTCTTTTCAATACTTTGTAGAAACCTGAAAAGATCGATTTTATTTGTAATTTTATGGTAAAATTTTTTGATACCCCATAGTGTTGATCCAGGACTATGAGACCATAGTCCTTAAGTAATGTTAATAAGTTATTTAAGAAGATTTTTTAACATAGAATATAGACCTAGGGCTATGGCTATCCAGTCGTATAAGGAGTATGTATTGATAATTGATAGATAGAGTATTTAGATTTAATGACTCACCGTTTTCGTTGCACCTCCGGCTTGGAGTTTTTCTTCCAACAGTTGTCTGCATTCTTTGATTTTCTTTTATTTTCATTTGCATACTTGCCGACCCAAAAAAACTGCACCATAATCATATGATGTGTATATTGTTTGTTGTGTTTTATACACACACACACACACACGCACACGTCCCACCCACACACACCACCACCTGCAACGATGATCTTCTGTTTCTTTGAACACCAACCCAATCCACGTAAACCTTGTGTACATTGGAAACATTGAAAACTCTAAAAACTTTGTATTATTTTCCCAAAAAACAAAATAACAATCGAAAAAAATGAACAAAAAAAAAACCGAATTTTGATTGCAAAAATTAATAAAGTAAACCACCCGATTTGGAACTTGAGGGTTTGTTCAAACGTCATTTTACCACCGTGGAGTTCTTCCAAGGAACCATTATGAATCCGATTGATCTGCAAAGGGTTAAGGTAAAACGAAAAACAATTTCTTTTCATTTCATCTGTTCTCCGTTCTCTGTTCTCTATGTTTGTTTGTTTGTTTGTTCGTTGCTTTTGTGTTCCATTCATTTTCATGTTGGCCGTTTTCCGTTTCCGTTTCCGCTCTTGTGTCGCCCAGTTCAGAGCTATGATTTCATTATGTATTAACCAAAAACCCCAGACTAAGCGTACTACCACCTACTTCGTACGTACTTGTATAACGAACGCTCAAAATGTAATTACAACCCGCCTATAAATAAACCCATAATCGTGTATACCCATATCAGTGTATATGTATATGTTTATGTATATGTGTGTATGTGTATCGTGTATCATATATCTATATGTATGTATAAACGATACCCGTGTTCAACATATGTATTGCCATGTTTATGTTTATGTAAATCATAGTTATGTGGCCATTATGCGTTGGCGTATTCTCGTTCGCTGGCTTTATTTTTCTGCCCAACAAACAGCATCACAGTTATCATTTGTATCTGGCATTCGTATCGTTTGGCCCAGCACTCGACTAACCCCCGACCCTCTGAAATTGGGAACAATACACAAATAAACCAGCTGCGATTCACATGCCACAAATAAACCCACATACTCGTACATTACACAATAAATTGCTCTTGAAATTGCTGTGGAACAGACACGAATTAATTTTAATTTACGAGTATCATTAGTGGAAGCTGCATTACTCAAAACCATAATCGTTAATGTATTTTCGAATCTATGTATGTGCTAAGTATATTATTGTAATTGTTAAGTTATTTATTGTATCATAGGGGCCTTACACTCGAGCTGCAAGCCGTAAATAAATCAGAAACTTCTCAGAGGAACGATTAATGTAATAAAATCCCTTGTATCCTTACATAGCCTTTGAAATGAAAGCTTACCATAACTTGCATTGAAAGTATATGGTTTGATCTTTAATATATTTAATATAGATTCCATAAAATCAGTTTTGCCAAAATATAATTCTACAATAGACTTTTCCATCATAAAAGCCTCTCTAGACTTTCAAGCCCACATTGAATTTTTCTTGAAAAGATACCCTAAATGAGAAATAGCTTACGCTTTCAGCTATATCTATAAATATTTTATCGACTTTTCGGAGGGAATATTGCAATCAGCTCAGTTGTATCTATATAGCTTTAACTATACCTATTGTGTTCCAAGTATATTTATATTGTCTTAAGACATCTCGTATATATATATATGTATATGTATATTTTGTACATAAAAACCTAATCGATATCCTGCATGAGTCAGAGCTGCTTTATTGTTGTGCCTGCCTGGGGCCGTGCAACCGTAAATATACTCGTATCTATCGTATCTATCGTATCTATCGTATCTATCGCATCTATTGCATGCGCGGCGACTGCATGTCGACTGCATAATCGATGACAGAGTGCTTGTGGCTAATACTCATACTAATACTAATCTTTTGTCTAAATCCCACTTGATTTCGCTCTTCAGTTGTATATGGCTTTGATATTTGGTTCTATTATCCAACGCACAGCCACCTCAGCGTTCTTTGTACTTACACACCTCTTCACCCAGCCTCCTGCTCCAGCCACCGCCCACCGCCCACTCCAGCCATGCACCGAGCGTTCGCTTTATGATTTCTTATTTTGTCCTTAAGTTGAAGTTGAAACCAAACCAAACGAAAGACAATGTCCAGCAACCCACCCACCCAGCCACAATCTTACTACCGCTTACTATCTATCTACCCCCCAACCGCTCGTACCGGGCTATGCTAATGAAAACCCCAAAAGAAACCTACCAAATACTCAATGTATATGCAAGATATCTGACATCGATCCAATGCCAGATCAAACCAAAACCAAAATCAAAACCAACAAACAAACACTTCACAGTGGCATTTGAAGTACTCATATTCGTACCATAGTTGTCCAGTCAATGTGCGTGTAAACCGCTTAATAATTGTTAATATTGTGGACAATGCTCTAAACGTGACACCTCTGCAGTATATATATTCACAATAACAATAACAGTAACAGTAACAGTAACAGCAACAATTACAATCACTGAACAAACCCAACCATTACAAACAACAACTTGGAACAGTTCAAACATAACAAAACTAACTCACATGAGACATACATATGTAGTCTGACCATAACCAGAAATCCGTGCCACAATCCAATGCTAATCGGTGACTCTTTCACATCAATATCCCACTCCCCAACCCCCGAACCCAATAGGTTCACGAAGCCGATGCCTGCCTTGTGCTAGCTAACAAATATTGCCAAGATCCCGACGCAGAAGATGCTGCCAACATCATGAGAGTGATCTCCATCAAGAACTACAGCGACGACATTCGTGTCATCATCCAGCTGATGCAGTACCACAATAAGGTGGGTTCCTTTCCCTAGAACCCCTCTCCTAACATCTCTACAGTAATCAATTTTATCGATCAGGCGTACTTGCTCAACATACCATCGTGGGACTGGAAACAGGGCGACGATGTCATCTGCCTGGCCGAACTGAAGCTGGGCTTCATTGCCCAGAGCTGTCTGGCCCCCGGTTTCTCCACCATGATGGCCAATCTGTTTGCCATGCGATCGTTCAAGACGGTAAGTAGGGTTGCCAGCCCTCCCTCCCGAAACCCCGAAACCCCGAAACCGTTACCCAACCAACGAAATACCCGACACAAGCACACAACAAACGTTGAATCAACCATAAATAAACAGGCCAACCAATCACAAGTTAGATATTTTGAAGATTTACAGATTTGCAGATTTAAACCGAATTTGTTGTATTGCTGACATATGTATGCCACGGGTAAAAAACACAAAGGGGGCAAGCAATATGTCACAAAGGGGCCTCTGGGCCCCGTATCCCGTACCGTATATAAGTATCAAATCAAATGTCTATATATTACGTCTCTAACCCATAGTCGCCAGACATGCAGTCTTGGACAAATGATTACCTGCGCGGCACTGGCATGGAAATGTACACAGAAACATTGAGTCCCACATTTATTGGAATACCATTTGCTCAGGCCACTGAGTAAGTCACGCAGCAGGCAGTTTTCAAAACTTTCCAACCAAATATGCTATATGTATATCGTAATACTCGTACCAGCAAAACAAAAAAAAAACAAAAAATAAAATACCATATCCGTATCTACTACTACTCTATTCTACTACTTGTTAATCGTGCAGCGTTGAACGAAAAAAAAAACAAAAAAATTATAAAACTAAAACAAGAAAATATTGTACACCATGAACAACATAAGAAAAACTTACACACGTTTCTCTGGTTTATACAAAATGAAGTTTCATTGTGATTGGAGCCTATATGTTCTGGGATAATCCAATCACAATCAAGCTTCCTGTACAACCCATGAGAGACAATTCACACTACACATTGTTCTTTGTTTTCCACTCAGTTCTGATTGTCGTTGTAAAACTTTTTTACTCGATCTGTTTTCATTTTTGTATTCCTCAAAACGACAAAAATCCGGCACGTTTACACCGATCTTAATGTGTTATAGTGTGTAAATGTGCCTGCCAGTGGAATTAGTTTATGTTTTTTCTTTCCATACAGACACAATCACAAACACAGACACACACACACACACACAAACACACACACACACAACACATATACACTATGAAAAATTAGTCGTTGTTTCAAGCTAATTCTTTGTGTAATTGAGTGTTCTAAGTGTTCAAAATGCCTTCAGTGTTTGCAAATACAAAAATATGGTTTTTCTTTTACTTCATTTTCCAAAAGTAAATTTCGAAAGCTGTCCAGTGGCAGTTCTATTGACTCTTTATTTGAGGACACCAACACACACAGATACACACGATTACACACACACACCAACACCAACACCAACACCAACACATACACACATCGCTAATTGTATGGTATCGATGTGAGCGGAGCGCTCTGAATCTCCCTCCTCTCTCTCTCTCTCTCTCTGTCTATCTCTATCTATCTCTAAAAACAATTCTAAGTTTTTGCAGCGTGCATTTGAGTTCAAGTTGGTTTTTCTTTTTTGGTTTTCTGATAGTTTTGGTTGACGCTTTTGTTTTCTGCTCATTTGACACACGTTCGGTTCGGTTGAGTCTTGATGCCGTCCGCCACCCCCTGCTCGTGCCCCTTCAATGCTGTAAAGTAAAGTTCGCCAGAGGTGTACAGAAAAAACGAAAAACGAAAAGAATAGAATGCCGAGATCAGAGAACTGAGTCCATCACGAAGCGTGCGCAACGTACTGTATCTGTACTGTATCTGTATCTATGCCAAAGCCAAAGCCAAAGCCAAAGTATGCAATGCCTGACCCAGAAACAAGCACTTCCCCCCACACACAGAAAGAAACACAATCAGAGACACGCCACCACTCAGCCAGCACAGACCCTCGCCAGCTGTTGAACTGTGTGCCGTAGACCCATAGCCCCTGCCCAGCTATGCGATGAGTGTAAGATGTATCCCAGCGCCAGTAAGCCAGTGAGTCCACTCTAGGCCATTCCACCCACCCAAAACCACACTACAAAACAGACCAAACAAAAACGAACAAACAAACCAAAAAAAAATGATAAAAAAATGATAAAAAATGCGCCACGTAGTTACTTTAGCGAACTTACTAAATGCAAACCACAACAAAACCATTTTCTAACTTTCAGTCACCAGACACACAGGCCTGGCAAAATGATTATCTTCAAGGTACAGGGTGTGAGATGTACACCGAAACCCTATCACCTTCATTTACCGGCATGACATTCCCACAAGCCAGCGAGTAAGACTCCAAAATGAGAAATTAGCGAAACCAAATTATATGCAAACTGTATAAAAAATACTACTACTTCTACTACTACTACTACTACTACTACTACTACTACAACTTTTTGCATTGTACAAAATAAGTTTGTTTAACAATTCTTTTTCCCATTATTTATCAACTTGAATTCGATTCCGTTTGATTTACTCTCCTTCCTCATAATACTCGCAACAAACAACCAAACAACTCAACTTTTTGTCGCCTACCCCGAAACTCTCCCAGACCACTCTCGTACTACCTCCATACCTAGTTACTCATGCGCAAGTGAATCGAAAACCGTAACCGTAACCGTAACCTTAACCGTAACACAATCCAGAATCCAACCCGTTACTGTATATTATACACGTACTCATTCTAATTGGCTCACATCGCATCCGTATCCGCAACCGTAATCGCTTGCTCACCGAACTCCGCTCCGGACACCTGAAACATCTGGTCAAGGCGCTCACCTCCACCAGAACCACTCCACTCCACTTCTGAATCTCAATCTCCACTCCACCATCGAAACTCCCGACTCATTGCATGTGCATAGTGTAACGTTTTTGTCCCCAACGTCTTAGAGTGTACCCTAGTGTATTGTTACGTAGTTGGCAATGGACCACTTATGTGTTTGCGTCTGTAGTCTTGTTTTTTGTTTAACATTTGTTCCCACATTTTACATGATTTTTCTAAGCATTTTGCCCAGCATTACTTGGTTTTTCTAAGCATTTTGCATAGGATTACTTGATTTCTGTAAGCATTTTGCGCAGCATGCGAAACTTTTGGCTCGTCAATTGTATTGTTTGCCACCTTTTTTTACAGTGTACGTACGCTTTGAAAGCACAAAAAACTCACAAACACCCACACATGTACCAGAACACACATCACTCAAACACCCACACGCTCACACAACACACACACACACTCACAAACACACTCAATGTGCATGCCATGTTTTTGAGAGAGTTCAACTACACTTTTGTAGCATACTAACTAGGTTCAATTACAATACTTGTAAAGCAATTCTAGAATAAGCTTGAGCTATCTGGGCTATCGGGCACTAATGGACACCCGTTCTCCCCCGCGTTTAGGCTGTGTTTCTCCAAGCTGAAGCTGCTGCTGCTCGCCATCGAGATCAAGGGAGCCGAGGAGGGTGTGGACAGCAAAATTTCGATTAACCCGCGCGGGGCCAAGATTCAGGCCAACACGCAGGGCTTTTTCATAGCACAAAGCGCCGATGAGGTGAAGCGGTAAGAGGTCCTGACGTCGGATACTTGTGTGTAGATCCACTAATCTGTGTTCTCTTGTGCAACCACAGTGCCTGGTTCTACTGCAAAGCCTGCCACGAGGACATCAAGGACGAGACGCTGATCAAGAAATGCAAATGCAAAAACTGTAAGCAAACCCTTGTACCAATATTCCACCCGATATCTCTATCTCTAGTAGAGTACTTAATTTAACTTATTGGTTTTTATTTTAATATGTATTTGATTTGATTGTTTCGTTTGTGAATCGAACGTTATGAAGACAGCCAGAGCTGAAAAACGCCAAACCGAAATAATAAGCATTCCAATCTAGTTTGTAAGAACTTTCTAGCTGAGGCACGGGCAGATTCTAGGTATAAGGCGCTCTCTCAATACTCTTTTTAATATACTATATATGACTCTTATGAATATCTTTAAACACTACTCTACCTTGAAACTACTACTCGAATATTCTTATAAATATATCTATATCGATGTTCTTTTATTATATATTTATTATGTATGTGTGTTGGCGCGTGTGGCCTTCGCTCTCGAAAACCCTAAACCAAAAACTGCAACAACCACAACAACTAACTATGTATAACCGAATCGCAACAACAATATCCATTGGCATGTCTGCAACTGCAACTGCAATTGCCCATGCAACTCACACCTATACATTTCTATACGTATATCGGTGTGTGTGTGCGCTGCACTTGCCACATGACATAACAAATTAAATCAAAACCAAAACCGAAACCGTATCAAATGAAATACAAAATAATACCAACCAATGCCATAACTTTGTCCCACAGTGACTGTTCAGCCCAGGAGCAAATTTGATGACTTAGGTAAATCAAGCAACAACACCGTATAACCCAACCAACAACCAATAAAACATACACTAACCAGAACAATAACAAGAACACCAAATCCAACACAAACACTTCTCAGTTTATGAAGTTTTATCCAATACCAATACCAATTCCAATTACAATTCCAACTTTTGTATAAAGTACATTTTGCATATTCCAATTTCTTTTGTTTGTACATTGAATACAGCAAAATGAAGGTCCCTCCGTATCCCAGACCCGAACCGATATCTCCCTCTAAAGCACTTCACCCACCTTCACCACCACCACCACCACCACCGAAGAGCACAAAACAATCAATTATTTGTTTTGTTTTATATGATTTGGATTGTATTTCGTTTTGGTTTGTTTTGAAACATGTTTTCAATGCAAAATGTCCCGTTTTGCCAGCCTTGTGCGCTCCGACCCCTGTCCATAGACCACATACAAACAACCTCTATATCTGAACAATGTGCCATCCGTCCTGCCGTCCTGCCCGTTTATCCAGCCCACGTGCAGTTATTTTTTGGTCACTGTTTCGTTTTGACATGCGCCTCTATATAATCCACCAAGTAACAGTTAACTAAAACGATTACACACTCACATATATAACGACATCTAATATATACATATATATCCATAAATACCCCTTTGATGGCTTCCCTGGACAACTGAACCCAATCCATCGACTTGTAAATATGTTTGTGCGATATGCAACCCCAGTTCTTTGATTACTCTCATCATTAATGCAACAACCAGCCACAACCAGCAAGAAATGTTAACCCGAACTCTTCGCTTTCCTTTAACCATAACCTACCCTACCCACCCACCATTAGAGTATATAACTACGATAGATGACACTTCAGATTTTGAGTTTTTCAAAGTGTATTTTGTTTTCAACCCTGATGAAATACAATCTGGAAGAGACTGACTCTGATCTGTTTAGGAGTCGAATACCAAAATTCTGCATTTTAAGAAGTGGGTAAATGGAATGGAAACCAATTTTTCGATATATTCTGAACCCTTTTTGACAGCTTTGTATTTCATTCTAAAGGGCATGGCTACAATTTTTCCATATTTTTTAAAAATTATTCCAAGAACTTAACATCTGAAAATCAACCATTCAAAACTGCACAACTTTTGTTAACAGTCTGTCTCGCTTCTACTCGCCTTCTATCTATCTGTCTCTCTCTCTGTCTGTCTCTGTAACTCCCTCTTAATCCTTTGTACTTTATACTTATGTGTTGAGAACCATAAAAGAACGAATCCAACAGAACCAATTTAAGTGCATGGAACCGAGCACAGAAATCGATTTACATTTTATTACACCATCACCATACGAAAAAAAAGAAAATGTTTTGTAAACGAATATACTCTCTATTTTCGATCGATTTTGACTCACTTTTGCAGCATCCAGCTCTGATTTATAATACTCTGATTTACTAATACCTACAACTATAACTAAATTAACTTTAAATACTCGCCCGTAGACCTAAGTTATTGAAATGCTGCGCCGTCTTCACCAAAAACCCTTTTAACTAATTTCTTTTACTTTGTCTTCTTGGCGTGGCACTCACCTCACTCACAAAATCTCTATAAATATATAATATATTATGCGATTGTACATACATATATAAACGAGAGTAGTGGCAGTGACACTCCCAAGGAAAATGTGTAAATAACTTTAGAGCAGGTTGATTAAAGAACTTAACCAGACGTTGCCTTTGCCGTTGCCAAAGACAACACCTAATGTTATGTATTTGGTTTCTATGTATGTAGCGTAACTCCTGAACAAACTATACCTACAATATACTCTATGAATCTTAATCTCAAACTGTATACAACCTTACGATCTTAGCTGCAAATGTTCTAAGTAGTTAGTAAGTTGGCCGAGTTTGCCGATTTTGTCAATTTTGTCAATTTTGTCGATTTTGCGTTGGATGCGTTATGGCTTTGACCGAGAAGCGGACTCCGTGTGCTGCAGCTGTGAATGTGAAAGTGCCATTCGCCAATTTGTAGCGCCTAGAGCTTAAGTTTCTAATCCAATTCCCGAGTCCTAACACTCCATCCAGACTTATACATATCCATATACGAGTCTATATTTATATGCATTAGTTTGGGTGCCTGTTTGTGCGTGAGTTTATTTGAATACCAAATCGAATACCATCTTCCAGATGTCGGCATGATTATGATGCAGACGGGCATGGTCAACCAAGGCATCACATCGGTGATGAATACAATGGAGGGTACGCTTTCAAAACCATTTCCACAAAAAACGAAACCAAAATCCAAAAATCCAATCAAAAACTATTTACAATTTTCGGCGCTGTATAAAATATTAATATCCATATCCTTATATCTATATTCTACCATGCCAAACGATTTATTTATTGCTGCTAAACCTAACCTAATCGAAATCTAAAATTTAATTGAGTGTCTTCCAAGGGATCAGGGGATACGTATACTCCTGCAAAGAACTGAGATGATAAAATATCGTTCATATATCTTGTTGGATTACCGTTGTCCCATGTCCGTTGATATCTTTAAAAACCTAAACCATTCACGTTCCTAAACATTTTCTCTTCAATTGACATCACGAACTGATTTTGCAGGGCTATAGCCCTCCTTGGAATGCGCTCTTTACATTTGGCCCGCCAAATTGGTATTAAAATCAGAACCAAAGTACGAAAAACATTCGCTAATTAATTAATGATCCTGGAAACCTAAAACCAATGACTAAATTGATGTAAACCTGTCAGCGTTTGTGTGCCTTTAGTTAATGCCAAAAACCAAGAAAAGCTAAGTGCTGCTAAACGCCATAAGAGACCCAACCCGCCTAGAACCGAACCCCGCAAAACTCTAGAGACTGGGAGAACAATCGAAGATGTGGACGATGTGTAGGGAATTCAAACACTAGGAATTCAGTTTCAGTTCAAAAGTTGACTTCAGTTTGTACCATAGACCTTTCTGTCGCTCTATCGTTCTGTTACTCTATCTCTATATCGTACTCAGTATAAATATAACATTTAAAATAGATTTAATTAGTTTTGCCACGATTTCTGGTTTGGTTCGCCCGAGAAGCGCGAGTAAATTGTCATACAAAAAAAACAGAAAGCATATATAGTCCGTACTCTCTGAATACATTGCATATATCTATTTATAATCATGAACTACATGCCACATATAAATATTTAAACATATATTTACCGAAAGTTCAAGTACAACGTGTGCCGTGTGATTTAATTATGTAATTTTGGTTATTAGCGTAATTTTTACTTTTAAGTTTGCCTAAGTTATATTTTGATTGGTTCCTTGAATGATATTCAAATGCTTTTAAAGCAGGTGAACATGAAATTGAAGGAGAATATGTTGGAAGATCAACTATCATTACCTTACCATCATTTACCTATTCACACAAATCCTATAAAATTCTGTTTTCATGAAACAAAAAACAGTGGCCACCTTCCGGAAAGGCGTCCGAGCCGTACAAATGGTTGGGCGTGCAAGTACGTATAACTTTCTCTACTCTCTCACTCTCTCTCTCTCTCTCTCTACTCTCTCTATCTCCTGACTCTGTCTCTACTCTACTCTACTCTACTCTCTATTCTACTCTACTCTACTGTAACCGAATAAGCATACGAAACATACAAATTCACAACAGAATCCAACCCAAACACAAACAGAACGATCCCTCTGATCGTTCTTACTTAAACACTTACTCTTAACTCTTCTAAGAGCCCAACCCACTTGCTAACTCTGATTGCTGTTGCTCTGCTGCACAGGCAGTACTTTCAGGTCCAAACAGACCCAAGCCAATCAATCAGCTAGCCAAACAATCGAAAATCAATCCCAGTCGGGACACAGATTCAAACACACACAAACACAGCCCAGTGACCCCCCCTTTCCACCTTCCCCCTTCCGTGTACACATCAAGTCACACAGATACATACATACACACACTCAGACTCACACAAAAAGTATTCGTTTCTACTCGCTCGTTCCTAGTAATTCAGTACTTTTTCATAATCAACTTTAACCTTAGTGTGCGTGTGTGTGTGTGTAGTACAGTCAAGAAAAAAATAACAACAAAAAAAAACCAAACTAAGTTTTGAGCCAATTATGTATTCAGCTAACTATTCGAATACTCGTACTATTCAAAACTCATAATCGATTCTAAAGTTATGTTTTCGTATGTAATCCATACCACTCGTACTTATACATACCATACCCATACTCCATACGAGGTATTGGTATACATCATTTAATTCTACATAAATATCGTATGTCGTAAAAGTATTTTGTACAAAAGTTATCTAACTATCTGTATTGTACCGTGTTGTATTTATCATATCGTATCGTATCGTATCGTATAGTATCTATCGTGTATGCGTGGTACAACTCCCATTTGCTCACGTATCTTAGGACAACATATGTACACTCTTACTCGTATCTAAAACATGGCCAAACAGCCATGCGATACACACACGTACACCCCATGAAAACACAACAACAGCCTTCTCGTTTCCACCCCGATCTTAACCATTACACTCACATCCTCTGTAAAATATGTATAAGACACTCAACATTCTTCGTCTGGAGCTGTGTTCCTTTCAATAATATATATATATATTTTATATATGTAAACGTATCATCTTTCTATTGTACTCCTCCCCTACCCACACATTCGTGTTCCGTATCAACTACTACTACAACTACAATACTCCTATTTATATGTCTCTGTGTGTGTGTGTAGAAGACGATGAATACTCGTTGTCAAGTAAGTCAAAACTAACTCAAAATCTTGTATATCCAAAGAATAAAAAAAAACCAAAAAAACAAAAAAGAATTAATAATCAAATCGCATTTGTAATCGTCTAAACATTTGATTGATAAACATTCCATTTTGATTTAAATTAATTAGAATTTCTACCAATTCCTTCAACGGTGTGCCAGTGCACGTTTCTCTTCATTTCACGTGATTTGTGTTGTATCTTGGTTTAGTTTCTTTTTTCAGTTGGTTTGTTAGTCCTTTTGGGTTTTCTCTGAGGCAACTCTGTGAAATTAGTCCTAACGTTAACATACATATCTAAGTTATTCTTTTACCATACATTAAAAAAAAACATGAATAAATGCAAATGTCTTGAGACAAGCAAAGCAAAGCAACTGAAGCCGAATGATTAGAGCCACGATCAGAACCTACCACCTACACCTACAAAATATAAGAATGCGGCAATCAAGCAGCTAGCTCCTCCCATCCCCAGCACCAGCCACAAAAAGGAAGGGAAAGGGAGGAAGTATCCATTGCAAACTCAACAAATTCCAAATTCCAAATTCAGTGCAGTTAAATTGCTAACAAAATATAGAATATCGTTTAATGCAGCCCCATGGCAGAGCCAGTGGTCAACATAGCTAGTGCAACTCGTAGTTGGAGAGATCGTTTGAAGTTGTTCCGTTCAGTGGGTGTTAGAAGTTCTAGCAGTCTAAGTACTACATACTAAATGCTTTCGTAATCCGAAACCGAAATCAACTGAGACCAATGCCTAATGATAAAAATGATATGGAGAATATACAATTGCCCATCTTGCTACTCAGCTTGTAGTCCGCACTTAGTCGAACGTGTTGCTTAAATACTGCTTCAAGCTTTAATCGATTTGCTTTTGAATCCCCCCCCTCTAATATTCCTCCGATATTCCTGCTTGCTTAGCCTTGTCTTTGTATAAATACTTATATATATATATATTTATTGTGTAACTGTTTGTATATATTGTATAAGTACGATAACCATCACAAGTTCTGTTCCAACTCATATTTATTTGCATGTTTTGTTCAATAACTATAAAGCAAAAACCCTAAAGTGAATCCCGAAAAACCATTTCCCCCGACCATCTTGAACACTTTTCTTTGAGTTTCGGTTGAAAAAAAGTTTAGTTTGTTTTCTGTTCGTACAGTTTCGCCTGGGTTTATCCCACAGTCAGACTAATTTCAATATGATTTTCTCTCAATTTTCGTGTTTTTTTTTACCAACCAACTCAGACTCTTACTGTTTCAGTTCTTACAACAAAAAACAAACACTATATCCCCCAAAACAAAACCAAAACCAAAAAAAAAAAAATGTATATTCAAAAAGCAAATTATGAGCTTCACATAAAAAAGCATTACCTTATAAATAACACACAAAAAGCAAAAATAAAAAAATTAAAGAAATACATATACCCAGAATCTGATTTATTGAAGCTGTGCCATAACGAAATCACAATATCTTACAGATGAACACCATCCTGCACCCACATTTACGCCTCCAGAGCTACCCAAGCGGGTGCATGTGCGTGGATCTGTATCGGGTAAAGTCTCGTCTCACAATATAGAAAGCCGAACCGTACCGAACCACTCAGTATCGTATAAGTCAATGAAAATGCCAGAGAAAGGTTTTTTTGAACGGCAGACACGACAATCTCACTCACACACACATTATCCACTCAATCTCAGTTCGAGTTTCCGTTTCCGTTTCCGTTTGCGTTTTCGCTTACGTTTCCGTTTCCGTATGCCTCAGTTTGCTTTATTCCTCAGCTCATACGATAAGAAAAGTATCCAATCCAATCGATAAAAAAAGAACAAGTAAAGCCCATACCAATTTGTTTAGATATTTGTTTGCATAATCCGTTGTCTTTTGTTGATCCAGAACTCGTTTCTCTGCTAATGTAACTGGTTAATGTAATCTATCTAATGAACTGCTATATATCTCCTATAACTCATATTTGAATCTAATTCAAACCATATCGATGTCTATTTAAAGCATTCCTACTTTATGTTTTGTTTCAATTGTATAACCAATCTGCTTGTTAAGAACTTTGTTTTTTACTGTCGCAAGCTACACACCAGAGATCACAGATCACAGAACCCAGAACCCAGAACTAAGAACCAATAACCAACCTTAACAAAATGCAACACGCGGCTCAAAAGTACCTTTCCTGATTAACTTTGACTAATACTTAAAGCCAATGAGTATCTCTTCCACACTCTGACCAGCACCTCCTTCCGTTTGCTATGGAACTTACTAATCGATTGCCGTCTGCTCTTTCTCTCTGGTCTCTCTCCAAAAAATTGCTTCTGCAAACGCCAACGCCAACGCCAATGCCAACGCCAATGCAACGCCCAACGCCAATGCCAATTCACTTGTCACAGGTGATATCACACGTGACAGAGAAGATACGAATCGTAAGGCCCAGACTTAAGCCATGAATGGATCGAATACAAATATATAATCCACTCAATGTTCTTCTTGCAGTACTCAATCGCAATGTGCGCCGTCCTAATGGCACTGGCAACGGTACAGGTGCCATGCATCATATGAACAACACGGCTGCTGCAGCCGCCGCTGCTGCCGCGGCGGGCAAGCAGGTGAACAAGGTGAAGCCCACGGTGAATGTGAGCCGGCAGGTCGAGGGTCAAGTAATATCGCCGTCGCAGTACAACAGGTGAGTGGGGGTGCACGCAGCCGGGGAACTGTACATGGGCCATGGGGAAGAGGGCCAACAATTCTATCTATATATATCTATAAACAAAAATATATACAGATATTTATCACAAATAAACGGCACTCTGTTAACTTCAATATAGCAATGCAATCGGTAATCGGTAATCGAGCATAAGCAAAAGAGCAAAGACAACAAACCAACAAAAATCAATGAACACACTTTATATAGGTCAAGGCATCAACTTTGATTTTCAATATTTTCCTTTGCGTTACGTTCCGTTCTGCATTTTTCACCACAGCAAAAGCAAACCGAAAGAGAAACCCATTCGATTACGATTATTGTGTTTAAGTGTTTCATTTTACACAACAACAGAACAGAACAATAGGAATAAGAAAAAGAATTAGATCAAAAACGAAAACGAAAACCAATAGGTACCAGGCAGTTCGTCAATAAGTCTCTCGTACATATGTAAATGCTCTCTAACTAACCAATCCTAACACCTCCACTAACTAACTGTCTCTATCACTCACTCAACTCAACAAAAACGAAACAAACCAAAATTACCAACCAAAAAACACAATAATTACTCGAACTTTTAACCAGTCTAAATGTATAAAAACGAACAACATTTTGTTTCAGGCCACCAGAGAATGATGCTAACCCTTATGCGGGCTATCAACTTGCTTACGAAGTTAAAAAGCTCATGTATGCGTCCATAATTTCCTAGAAATTTAACTTACAAAAACTACTAAAAAAGCCAAAAGCCTTTTTTAAACTATAACCTAGTATTCGTTAATACTTATTCTAACTACATTTTATGCGCATTTTGTTTAACACACATTGATTGATACTCGTATTGATATTGATCGATTGAAAGCTATGCCATTCCATCAAATACTCGTACTAAAATTAACGAAACCTAACTAAACTTGTGTCGTTATTGTCATGTCGCTGTCTTCTGTATCTGTATCTGTACTATCTGTATCTGTATCTGAATGCGTGAATGTCTGACTGTGTGTGTCTATAGATTTCTCTGTGAATATGTCTATTTTTGAGTGTGCGTGCCCCATGAATGTTTTTGCATCTTCAACTAACCCAGCATTGACCATCTCATACTCATAACCCCTTCAAGCATTCTGTCTACTAACACCCAACATCTGGCCCAGCTTTCCTATCTGCAGTGTTTTGTGCCACTAACTTCTAACTGTACTCAAATAATCATGCTAAATACTAATAAACAACTAATAATTCAATGTGTGAATAGCCATTGTTCATATATCATAAAACTCTTTGTGCTTATATGTGCTTTTTCTACCAAGCTGTGTATTCTTTCAATAGTCTTTGTATTTAAAGACATATTAGAATATATATATGGAGGAACAGTACAATCAAACCAAACCTTAGGGAACACGTTTGAAACAGAGCCATTTCTCTTACTCTTTTCATCACACAAACGTCAAGGAGATCTTGCCAAGTTATTTAGCTCTTAATTAGATATAGGTTAATCTTTGAATTCGTATTCCGATTTGATTGTCTAAGAACGGATAAAGCATACGTGCAAATCTCTACCATCGCTCTTTCTCTCTCTCTCTCGCCTTCTCTGATCATTTGAAATATACATACTATATATCGAACTGTTTGTTGTGTGTGTTTTTTATCGTGTTCATCTCTATGTCAAATCCTGCACCTGTGTACCATATACTTTCCATTACTTTTTCTCTTTTCTTTAAAAATTACGAACATCATTCAAGAACTGTAGTTTACCCGTACATTGACTGCAGAGTCCGGCGGACGGGGAGGCGTATGGATCGTTTTGGGCATCTCCCTCGCGCATGCCGTACACCTGAACCACCACCACACACCCAGAGGGAGATCGCCAACCACTCGGAACACCCAAGATCGACCGATCCTCGCCGCCTCACCCACGCCGGATGTCAGTCGAGGAGTTTTGAGTAGTTGAACGATTGATTTTGATTCGTATTCATATTCTTGTTCGCATTCATTTCGAGACTTTTGTTATTAGCACAAGCTCTTCTCTATCTCGTACTTTATCTATCTAACTATCTATCTACTATCGTAACTATCTATCTAACTATCTATGTAAACGTAAACTCTCTATCTTTAACTATCGTACGTATGTTGAGAACACATTTTTAATTCAATATGCTCCAAGTACTTGTACTCGTATTGAAGTATTCACATAATTTTTTTGAACGAAACACGTACTCGTAGCGTTTCCGAAGAACACTTTGCATTTGGATGTAGCGTTTGTTTTTGAATTGGTTGATAATCTGCATATGCAAGTCAAAAGTTGATAAAACTGAAATCAAATCCCATTACGATCGAAGCGATTACAAAGCGCAACAGCACAGACTGCCCCATGGCTAAACCAATTCTCTATCGATTTACTTGACTCTAGGCCGACGAGTCGCAGCTCCGGCACGGGCACGCAGAATCAAAATGGCGGCGTTTCATTGCCCGCCGGCATAGCGGACGACCAGTCGAAGGACTTTGATTTCGAGAAGACCGAAATGAAGTACGACTCGACGGGCATGTTCCACTGGAGTCCGGCAAAGAGCTTAGAAGACTGCATACTGGTAAGACCCAATCGAAACCTACTGCATCCTACCTACTGAACCATTACTCACCATATTCTTATGTGCAGGATCGCAACCAGGCGGCCATGACAGTGCTGAATGGTCATGTGGTCGTCTGTCTGTTCGCCGATCCCGATTCGCCGCTGATCGGTCTGCGGAATCTGGTGATGCCCTTGCGGGCGTCCAATTTCCACTACCACGAGCTGAAGCATGTGGTGATTGTGGGATCGGTGGACTACATCCGGCGAGAGTGGAAGATGCTGCAGAACCTGCCCAAGATATCGGTGCTGAATGGCTCGCCCCTGAGTCGCGCCGACCTGCGGGCGGTCAACGTCAATCTGTGTGATATGTGCTGCATACTGTCGGCCAAAGTTCCTAGCAACGACGATCCCACGCTGGCCGACAAGGAGGCCATCCTCGCCTCGCTCAACATCAAGGCCATGACCTTCGATGACACGATCGGCGTGCTCAGCCAGCGCGGCCCGGAGTTCGACAACCTGAGCGCGACCGCCGGCAGCCCGATTGTGCTGCAGCGTCGCGGTTCAGTGTATGGCGCCAATGTGCCCATGATTACAGGTAAACTGCATCGCACTAACTTGGCTGAGTTTGCGAACGACCGAACGAATGTGAGGCTGGCCAGGTCCACGGCTGGGCGGAATTGGGGTATATACTTATGTGTCTGTGTCCTGGCCAGCCTCACCCGCCTCCGATTCCGTTGAGGTGTGTGCTTTACTAATTTTACACCCACACATGTGTGTGTGTGTGTTTTGTTGTTGGTTGTCGTTTAAAGAACTGGTCAATGATAGTAACGTGCAGTTTCTCGATCAAGACGACGACGATGATCCAGATACAGAGCTGTATCTGACGCAGCCCTTTGCCTGCGGCACAGCCTTCGCTGTGAGTGTGTTAGACTCACTGATGTCCACGGTAATGTCTCGCTTTAAGCAGTGATTCTGAATTCTGGAATCTCTTTAGCAACCTGTCTCCTGACCGTGTCCCCATTCACTTGATCCTCTATATATGTATGTTCTTACCCACACTTTCCCAGACATACTTCAATCAAAACGCCTTAACGCTGATCCGCTCACTGATCACGGGCGGAGCAACACCCGAGCTGGAGCTGATCCTGGCCGAGGGAGCCGGCCTGCGCGGTGGCTACAGCACCGTGGAGAGTCTGAGTAATCGAGACAGGTGAGCTTGCTATTACTCTTTTACCTCATTCGATGAACTGAAAGTAATGGTTATACTCCAAAGATGTCGAGTGGGCCAGATATCCCTATACGATGGCCCGCTGGCGCAGTTCGGAGAGTGCGGCAAGTACGGGGATCTGTTCGTGGCCGCCCTCAAGTCGTACGGCATGCTGTGCATAGGCCTGTACCGGTTCCGGGACACCAGCTCCAGCTGTGATGCGAGCAGCAAACGATATGTAATAACCAACCCACCCGATGACTTTTCACTACTGCCAACAGATCAGGTACGACAGCAGCTCCACGACAGATCATTTGATCCGAAATACACACATTGCTGGACACTTTTCAGGTATTCGTTTTAATGCAATTCGATCCGGGGCTGGAGTACAAGCCGCCAGCGGTGCGAGCACCCGCCGGCGGACGCGGCACCAACACACAAGGCTCCGGGGTCGGAGGGGGCGGCTCCAACAAGGATGATAACTCTTGATTGTTACTGTGTAGCGCCTTAACTGATGGTCCTTATTCGTACATTTGAACGGTGGAGAAGATCATTGAAAGCAGAGCATCGCATTTCTGGCACCTATCTATAGAACTATTGGCATAAGATTCGATCCACAAAACGAACAAAACCCCAACAAAGACATATTTGTATGTATCGATTGTACCGTGTACAAAACTGAAATCAAAAGCGTTAACTAGTTAGAAATCCCCCAAAAAAGCTGGGTGCCAGCAGGTGTGTTGCTCTGTCCCTTCATGTGTGTGGAGGCATGCGACGCGATGTACTTTGTCCATCCCAATTAACAATCAAGAGACAGCCCGAACAACGCCAGAGCAACTGCAACGTCAACGGTAGCGCCGCCTGCCTCCACATATATGTGGGGCATTAATTCAGATCAGGGGAGCAGAACATCATCCCCGTTATCCATCGTTCAATTGCCAACTGATTGCTTCCCACATCATTCCGTATGCCTTTTTAGAACCTTGAAATTAACATATTCTATATTCTATTCTATTTTATTCTATTCTATTCTCCGTAGTTATATTTATAATTTTACCACTACTCTTACTTTGCATTGGTTTATCTGCTACACACTTTATTATTATCCTTCTTATTTTGTAATCTTTTCTGTGCCCCCAATAAAATATTCTTGTTTACGCGTTGAGTTTATGATTTGGATACCAATCAATCCCTGTTCGATTTAGTTATTGAAGCAACAATCATTAGTTATATCGATGGGTATGTATTTACGTATTCGTTAGTTCGTTAAACAATCATTTACATTTAAATTAAAGTTTACATTTAGTCATCTTTAATCACTTATTTCATGTCATTTTGATTTACACTTGAGTTCAGTTCATGGCGCTATCATTGCATAAGAATTAATCGATCAATTCTAAACGAAAAATCCATCTTAATGGTGTGACGTAAGCAATTGGGAACCATTAGTGAGGTAAGCTACACATTAAACAAGGAAAACCGCCAATCGACCAGACCAGATCGATTGGCAGAAACTACAACTAAAACTAGGTCTAAGTACTAAACGAAACGAAACGAAACAAACACAAGACACAATCTATGTACTTTCACCGACACCAACAACTGTCTCAGAGTCTTTCTCTAAGCTGCAGACTAGCAGCAGCAACTACGCAACAATTTATACATAACAAAAAAACACACATAGAACTCAACAAGACACAGATGCGAGCAGAGGTAGAGATGATACATCCAGTATCCTGTATGCTGTACCCTGTACCCTGCATACAGGGCGATGAGGCTTAAACGAATTGTTGTTGTGCCAGCATACAAATTCAAAAACTGCATTTAGAAGTTTCTGAGCATGCGCAAAATGATTTATATAGAGCGAGTCATACTGTAATCATTTAACTTTAAAAGTATAACTAAACACAAATATTGATTAGCGACTATTAAAGGCCAACAATCAGCTAGCTAATTCGTACACTTAAAGCAAAAGCAACTACCAATACGAAGCTCGACTCGAATACGATATTTTATTGAATCTAGAAAGCAGGTAAAAGCCAGAGTTAGGCCAGAGATTGTTTCAGCAAAGGATTATAAAGAAAGGACTACTTACATACGTATGTATGTACTACCCAAGCAAGAAGCTAGAAGAATTACACATAACTAATGCTTTTTAACTCGACTTAACACGTCATCTCCTTCTGGGGACAGACTTCAACTTTGCTAATTCGAAATTCAAAAACTTTTCACATTTACATTTTCACCTACAAACACACACACACACATAGACACAAAATACTCAAAACAAAATACTGTAAGTAGCGCATTCAAATCATTCAAATTATCCAATCTAGAGTACAACTATATACCTAGGGGTATAGAGTGCCAGGATCAGCTGATGAAAACGTAGTTAGTAATATTTTTTAGTGTACGAGTATGTGAATGTGTGCGCTTTTTACCAGCGATTTACGAGCAGCATCTGTGGTGTTCTAAACAATTTTTGATAGATACAATCGGTAAACCAAATCGAAGGACGACAACGTTCTGTGTTCTCCGTTTTTCTCAGACTTTTCTCCTTCTCCGATCTGTAAATCTAAACGAACTTCTATCAATCTTTCACGCACCTGCGCTCGAGCCGCCAAAAGGGTAACGCTCTGTTTTTTGTACATAGCCTGTAAATATACCTATATAAAGTAACTCCAGATAGTATCTCGGATATGTTATCGTTTCGTTGTGCAACCAGTTTACCAGGTACCATAAATTTGTATGTAATTTGTTCAAATGATAAACACTGCCAAAGCGTATAGAAATCACATTAAATGTAGATCAGCCAACCCGAAGCAGATAGCATTCATCCGATAAAAATGGGTAATACGAATACCAGCGTAATAGAAGCGTAACAAGAACACGGCACAGAGCAGCAGCAGCAGCAGCAGCAGCAGCAGCATTCAATGATTAGGTTTGTTTCCACCCATGATTAGCCAATAACAAATTTAAGTAAAACGAATTCGAGCTTTTAAAATTAATACATCAAAAACCAAAAGGGGAGAACGTAAGGGAAATAAGTGAATGAGAATAACGAGTTCATTATCGTTTTGTATCTGATTTGTAGGGGATTTTTGTGTAGCCTAGGCTTACCCAGAACGTAAACTTAAATAAATATGTGAATATTATGCGCCTTCGAAATTTATGTAAACGTGTATGTAGCCGTGCAATGTGAGAAAACATTTAAACTCCATTTAAAGTAAACGTAAACGTAAAGGTAAAGGAAAAGGAATTAGTCAGGTGTAAATGTTAATGAATGAAGGGCAGAGCATAGCATAGCTTAGCATAAAACATAAGACGACTAGATATCGTGGCAAGAAGTTCATTATTGTTAATGCTAAATTTAAAACTAAATATTAAATCGATTAACAACAACCGCATTTGCAATCCTAAAATAACAAGAGATAGACAACCAGTGAGAGGAGTAGCGAAAACCCAAAAGTTAAACATAATTTTTAAATGAATATACTAGGCATTACATTTATAGAAATCTCACATACACGTACACAGATACACACCAAGTCACATAAGAACACAAATACACACACACCTACACAAACACAACAGCGAAGACCCCAACAACAAGAACAAAATGAACTCTCGATGTTGTGAAACTTGATCAAATCATGTTTACGCTATAACAGATCAATAGGAAACCAACTAAATAAGACCACATACTATTCAGAAGCAAACATACCCGAATACCCAAACATACCCAAAAGCTTCTTGATAACATACAAAAACAAAAACAAAAATTAACCCCAAACCAAAACGAAGAAAGAACTCTCCGACAAAGCTGCCTTTGCCATTCATATTTCCAATTGAATAAAGTTCAATTACTTTTTCCACTTCGCTTCATCGACAAGTTCTCAGCAGCTTTGTTCACAAGAAAAAGCTATATACAGACACATATATATTAATTAAATCGCATAAAACTATTCAATGCTGTATAACTAACTTAAGGGAAAACTTTTTATAGAAAATCGGTGAATAAAAATGCAAAAAAAATATATAAAAAATATATATTATCATACTCGTAAATGTGAAGCTATGCAGCATTTTACTGTAGTTAGATTTTTTGTATAGAATCAACGTTTGCAGCTAAACAAAAAAAAAAAAACAAACAAAAACAAAAGATTAAAACGATAATTTTACACATTTAAGCGGCAATGGAAAAACGTTCATTTTTTAAGGAAATAAAGATATTTGAAAAAAAATATCATAATTAATTTACAAATAGCAATTAAATACGAAATGGGAAAACCGAAAAATATTTTTATAATTTCGCAGCACTTTCACATAATCCATAATGCATTAAAAAATGTATAAATAAAAGAAACCAAATACCAATCACATTATGTACAACATTATTGTAGTTAAATTTTTTTAGTTTTTACTCGCTATTTATATAAATATATTTACACAAGGAAACCCGATCGGAAGAACGTAAACTTAAATGTAGACCTAAAACTAAAACGGAAAACGTAAAAGGCGATAAACAAATTATTAATTTAATATTAAAAAACAAACTATAAATAAATCGAAATCAGAGCAGAACGCGCATAATGACAATTAGTTTAGTTAAAAGCAGCCACAAACAAAATGATAAAAAAAACATTTTAAATAAAAATTAAAACGCTAAAAAATGCATATTTTAAACATTTGTCTAAAATGCAACAGAAGCTGAAAAAATGATGAAGAAGAACAAATGATAAATGTATAAAATAAAAGGTATAATAATAATATTATGTTGTTAATGTTTAAAAAACCTTGTTAAAAATAATATTTCAAAATAAAATATAAATACAGACGAAAAAAAAAACAAACAAACGATGTAACCAAAAATCGCAATCACAGCCTTATGAAAAGTGAAATTTTGAGTTATGGCCCACAGTTTGGGCTGTCCAAGAGACCATTTTGACCCACATATGGCAGGGCGAGCGCTGTTAAATTCCAATGACCAATTGGGTTTAGAAATTGGCGGTCGCGCCCTGCATAAAATCCGACCAATTACGCCCGGGTATGTTTCATAAGCGTCTGGTTGAGGGCTCATTATCATTATCAAGAGGCCTTGTGTAACTAGGAGGGCGCCTATCGACAGCAAGAGCGGATTAAATACTTTTGAATACCCGTTAAAAAACATATGGATAAACCTATTAGTATATTCTATTCTCTTGTAGGTTCCCCAAGGGAGACTAACGATTATAGACACCAGTACTGTCAATGCCCACTGTGGCTGTCACATTTCGTAATGTCAATCTCTGGCTTTGCTCCTGTTTGGTGGCACAGTGGCAACAGGTGACAGGCAGTGCATTGGCTACACCGAAGCCTTCTTCTGCTCATGTGCGCCTGGTCTGCATTGCTTTTTAAGGCAAAGAGCAACTGCTGAGAGACAACGAGTTCGTTGCCTAAGTCTTTTGTTTTTCCACCTCTCCGCGCTGCGTGCCGTTTCTTTCTTGCGCTTTCCAAGAACAGTCGGTGGCAAAACACTTTCGTTTGCGCTTCCACTGCGGCTTAAATGAGTGGCAGCAATCTTGGCCACTTGCTGGCCAATTCATGTGGCTCGTTGGTCGCGTGCTAAGCCTGGCCCAGGCCATCAGCGCAAACAAGTTTTCTGCGCCGGCAGCGGTGCAGACGAAGACGCTCGAAAAATCCGACCACTTTCTTTGCGGTGCGCATTTCCAATGGGACGACGCTACGTGGGCTTCCAGTGGATGGATCGTCAGCTAGTGGCCCAGCACATGGTTTTTGTCCGGACTCTACTGCCGACTCCGAGTCAGTTGTCTTCGCGACTTGAACAAGTGCAGACGTCGCCGTATCTGGCTCCGAGTACATACCATACATACGTATATCAGAAATTCTGTGCGTGCAATTGCTACTGAAGAAAGCGCTGCGGCGGACGCTGACATGAAGTTAATTGATGTTATTATATACTTAATTGTCATTTTGATCTTCATCTACTTGCTGCTTGAGGCTTAGAAGCAGCCAAAGGTCAGTCAACTATTGCCCAGAGCTTTCTACAACAACGGCAACAACATCATCCTCAACACCTTCCGACAAACCGACGAAAATCTCTACAAACCCAAACCAAGATGAGGGTAAGTGAATCGCACGCAGTGATCTCGAGTTTGTTGTCCGCAATTAGCGATAATTAAAAAAATCTCTCACTGTGCACAATAATAGATTGAATGTACATCATTTGAATGGCAAATCTACTTCGCTCTGCTTTGATCACACAGCGTGCAAAGACTCTCATTTGATCGACATTCATCAGCAACCTCACATTCACCTTCACCTTGAAATCCAATTACCAGACAATGCCGTCGCATCTTCAATTGAATTGAATATTTGACAAATTGTGGTGTGGCCGGCAAATGGCGTACTTTCATTTGCAATGAGAGCAGTTGATGCACCAGGTTTCGCTGTGCCACTGGCAGTGGCAGTTGCAGTTGCACTTGCCGCAACAAGCTACAGATAGAGCTCTAGACAATGGATCGCTTTACGTGCACCAATTACATTCACTGCTTGCCTGACTTTGCCTCAATGTGCAGCGGGCTTGAAAATAAAATGCTTACCGCTAAAATAAAAGTTGCAATTCAAGTTGCAATTTGGGTTAGCCAAACTGTTGTTTATGGACGCGGTGCCACAGCGCTGCTGGTGACAGACAGGCTGCCGATCAATAGTTCCGTTTGTGCCTAACGGGCCAATCCTTTATTCAGGTTCAATGTCCCAGCCGGGCCGAGCCCAAGGAAACACGAAATTAAGTGCATTCCAGTGTCAATATTTTGACTTTCATTCAAGCGCGGTGCGGTTAGCAATCTCTGCATCCGTCTCCTGGCGGCAGTTCATTCACCAGCCAGGCCTGCAGCATGCATTTGCATATTATTATGCATATTGTAAAGGCGACAAACTAACCAACCACTCGATAAACAATAAGGCAACAATTTGGTCCCAATTGCGCCTGCCTCTATCGCTGTCTCTGTCCCAGCCACACTGTCCGCGTCTCAGTCCGTCTCTGTTTGCGATTAAGCAAACGCAGCACGTAATCAATAACCACACATATGCGAGTATTGGACGCGGTTAGGCATTTCACCCGTTGATTGACGTCTGGCTAACGGCACACAACATTGTCATTGTCATTGCCTTCTCCCCCTCCCCCTCCTTCACCTTCTACCCCGTCTGCTCCTTCCCCAGTAGCGGGACTGGTCAAGTGAAATTGTTATATCCCATGGCTGCCATCAAATTACCGACTTCCACTTTGATGGAGCACGACGACCGAAAAGTAACCAAGCAGAAACGAAGTTCATCTTAAAGAGAATTATCATGGGCGAGTACCTTTTCTGGGAATGAGGTTAATATGATTTGATTAGAGGGTATCTTAACTGTGCTATGCTTCAGTCAATAAATAGTTTCTTGGACCCACAGGGCCTTCAGAACTTGTTCATATTTCCAAATTCAATTTCCACTTCGATCCCAATCACCAAGCCTTATATACCCATCGCTAAGCCTTTAAAAACATCGTCGTAACAATTACAGAACCAAGACATATCAATATTCGACTTTTCACTTTCATTCTACGGCAATGCGAATCGAAAGTCTAATCAGGCAACGAATCGGGGAAAATGGAAACTATATTATGGCATAGACACACATGTGTGTATGTACAGATATAAATATTACTACTCAGGTATATAAATGAAAATACTCTGATGGCTCGTTTGCTTAAGCAGCTTTTGGTTAAGTAGTAAGCGGCAGGCGACGTGATAAAATTTTAGAAAACCGCCAATTTGTTCAAATTAAGGCCATTACAGTTTTTTTTGTTTGTTGTTTTTTTTTTGTTGCTGTCCAACGATTATACGGCCCTCCCTCCGGTTCCCCTCCGTGGTGAAGCTTAGAAAGTTTTCATTTCTTTTAATGTTTTTGTTCGATGCACTCGTAAAATAATTAAGTTTTGTTGATTTAATGATATTTGACATTTTCACTACCATCCATTTATCCATCAATCCATCCAGCCTTTCATTCTCCTTGCGCTCCTCTTGACGCTGGCCAATTGTGAGCCGCAGTCGCCGCACAGTGGCAGGCAGCGTCCCCTGGTCTATGGCAATTGGCCGCCAAAAAGCGCCAACCAGTTGTCCCGTCCTGCGGCTGGAGCGGGTGCAGGAGGCGCCCCTGGAAAGCAGCGCACACTGGTCGTCCAGATACGCAGCGATCAGCCTGTGCCACTAGTCCTCAAGGGTCGTCCTGGTCACGCACACACACATGCGGCCCACCAGCACTTGGCCCACGCACATGCAGTCCATCCACATGTCTTGCAGCACCCCCATTCGCACTCCCACCTGCATGGTCATCCTCACCTCCTGCACGTGCCACAGCACCAGCACCAGCATCAGCATCTTCGAGGATCAAGACCTATCAAAATAAGCGCTCCTGTCTACCTGAAGCCCGCCAGTGCAGTGCGCAAGCCCCTCAAGATCAAGCTGAACAATTCGAAGCCTAAGACGAAGCCAACCTTCGGATACGACAAACCTTTCAAGTTTGAAAAACCCACGGCTGTGTCTTACAGCGAGCTGCAGAATTTGCCGGTAAGTTGAGAAGAACACAGCTCCAAAAGCAGGAATCGAATGGCCTGACCTGCTTTTCGATGCCTGCTCTTGAGGATTTGATTGATATACGACACAGACACAAGCATCCACTGCACATGCCATATACATATGTACATGCCAAATCCCCCAACAGCTGGACACGCACAACAACTTCAACACTGAGCACTTTGCACCCATTTACACGGTACCCGCACCGAATCTGGCCGTGCACGACAATCACTTGGAGCTGGACGATGGCGGCCATTTTGCCACCGCTTACCTTCCCCCACAGCACACTTCCCAGTCCCCGCCCACATCCGCCTCCGCCCGTCCACAGACATACTTGGCACCGGGTTACAATGTGCATGAGGATGAAACAAATGACCAAACAATCCGCGATCCCATTTCGGGCTCGCAGAAACTCTTTGCCCCAGATCCAGATCCCTCGCTGCCCACCTCAAAGATTCGCCCCGCCACTGAGACCTTCAATACCCCGAGCAACAACAAGCCTCTGCCATCTGATGTCCAGAACAACCATCTGCCCGCCCAGCCACTGGTGCAGATTGTGGGCGCCCAGGCGGCCGCTCAGACGGCTCCGGAGATCTACCCCATCCAGTACGCCCAGCAGACCCAGCAGTTGCAACCGTTCCTAGCCGCCTCCATTTCCGCCGCCCACATTCCTATCTACAATCCCACCTATCTGGTGACCCAGTCGAATCAGCTGTACTCCCAGCACAAGCAACAGCTCTTCAAGCCCAGCGCGGAGCATGTGCTCGAGACTGGCTTTGTGAACGCGGATCTGACTCAAGAGGTGGCCAGCAATGGCCAGATTCTGCAGGCAGCCAAGGACCCGCATCACAACATTCATCCCGTGCTGGACTCGGCGCCGCAATACGCAGCTCTGATTGCTGCCCCGGCTCTGGGTGAGCCTGTGGAAAGTGCCTACGAGACGGCTTCCTTCCATTTGCCTAATGTGGCCTCGGCGGTGGCTTCCACGGCTCCGGAGGGAGGCTTTGTGGTGTCCAACTACTACGGCCATGCGCACGATTCCTCGCAATTGCTCCAGGCCTATGCAGAGGAGGAGGCCCGCCGTCAGCAGCTGGAGACCGAGCACGCAGCCCTGGAGTTGCAAAAGCAGCAGCAATATCACCTCGACGAGCTCAAGGCCCAAGCGCTGGAACAGCAGCAGCAACAGCAGTTTCATCTGGAGGAACTGAGGGCCCATGCTCAGCGGCAGCAGGAGCAACAGCAGCAACAACAGCAGCATCTGGAGGAGCTAAGGACACAGGCTCATGCCCAGCAGCAGCAACAGCAGCATCTGGAGGAGCTGAGGGCACAAGCACATGCCCAGCATCAGCAGCAGCTGCAGTTCGAAGAGCTGAAAGCCCAGGCCGAGGAGCAGCACTTGCAGCACCAACAGCAGCAGCAACAGTTGCAGCTGTTGCAACTGCAGCAGCAGCATCAGCAGCTCCAACAGCCTGTCCAACATCACCCGCAGCCCGCCCAGGACCCTGCTGCAACTGCGTTCGAGGAGCATCAGCGACTAGTGCAGCAACAGCTGGGCAGCAACACGCCACTACGCATCTTTGTGCCAGACGAGGAGGCTGCGTCTGAATCGGTAAGAAAGTCCCAGAATATCTCAATGAACTAATTACTAAACATTCGTAATATTTTCCCTTGTACAGCGCCTCCAAAAACGATCGGATGATCTGAAGAAAGGCACGGTGGAGGATGTCCACAATCTGGGAACGACCGACAGCGAGGTAGAGTCAGCCAAAGATTTATTTGAGGTCTCCACCTCCGTAGAAGTTGCCGGCGAGAATCACAATGCCAGCAGCATATAGTTGTTTTTGTCGTTATGGCATAGTCTTCGACGCTGTTCCAATATTTATTCTACACACTCATTTGTATAAATGCATTCATATAGCGAGCAGTCGGTAGTTAAATAAATATAATCATTAATTTATTCAAATTGATTTCGAATTCATTTTGTTGCTGTGGTATGTATCTGTATCTATTGTAAAAAATGTATCATGTAAACGAATTTCTTGGAGGTAAATTTAATCAAAAGCTATGCATAATGTGATAGTGCATGTACACCAATCCATTCAAATACGCTGGACCTACAACAGAAAACAAAAACAGAAACAAACAATCAAATATATTTATGTGTTATACTAACCCATGGGCCCTGGGATTCAGTTATCTCTGTTCGATGTGAGAACGGTTCGTTGTATGAACTGGCACATCTATATACTGTATGGTTAGTTTAAGATGCTATCCCATTTAAATAAAGGTGCTTTAAGTGGGTTATCGGTATCGGCTTATCGGTTTCTTCTCGGTATATTTACGGTATATCTCGAAAATGAGACCGTATATTTCTGAGGGTGTATTTGAACCACGGTCACACTGCTAAAAACACATTTCGGAATCCGCTCGCGTGCAATTTTTTTTGTTTAAATTCGGTAATTCGGCGAAAACAAAGCGAAAAAGACGAAAAATGATTATTCCAATTCGTTGCTTCACTTGTGGCAAAGTCATTGGCAACAAGTGGGAGTCGTATCTGGGTCTGCTGCAGGCGGAGTACACCGAAGGGTAAGTAAGGCACCACCAGTGGAGTCTCGTTCGCGACGCGGGTCCTTTTCTGTATCTAATTCCACCTACGCACTTATTGCAGCGATGCCTTGGACGCCTTGGGCCTGAAGCGCTACTGCTGCCGACGCATGTTGCTCGGACACGTCGATCTGATTGAGAAGCTGCTCAATTATGCACCGCTCGAGAAGTAAAGTTGGAGGCGTTGGAGAGTTTAGAAACTGTAGATTTTATTGTAAAAATTAAAGCTTCGTGAAAACCACAAAAAATGAGAATTTTTTTGTTTATATTGGCAGTGGCTTGGCACGATCTTTTTACATCTTGTCCATGAACCAAGGCTGGCCGTTGTTCTCGCGTCGCTTCGTCAGTATCTCACAGCCATTGTTAGTCACTAGAAGAGTTTGCTCAAACTGGGCCGAGTATTGGCCATCGCCGGTGACGGCAGTCCAGTCATCAGGCCAGCTCTTGGCGTCGCGCACACCCATGGAAATCATGGGCTCAATGGTGAAGCAATGTCCAGGGGCCATGACGCCGACAGCCGAGTTTTCTACAAAACAAAAAAGGATCAAGTTCGTATACCATCTGGTTGATAATAGCATCTGATCTTACTGGCATAGTGCGGTACGTTTGGGGCTGTATGGAAGACGCGATGTATGCCGTGGCCGCAGTAGCTACGAACCACGCTGAATCCATGTGGGGTCACATACTTCTGGATAACGTTGCCAATTTCGCGATACTTGACGCCCGGACGCACAAGCTCGATTGCCTTGGTCAGGGCCTCGTGGGTGACCTGCACCAGCTTCTTGTGCTTCTCCGAGACATTTCCGACAAAGAATGTCTCGTTCAGATCTCCATGGAACCCATGATGGAAGACCGTAACGTCGATATTGCACAGATCTCCGTCCTCCAGGGGCCGCTTGTCCGGTATGCCATGGCAAATCACCTCGTTAACGGAGGTGCAGCACGATTTGGGAAAGTTGTAGTAGTTCAGGGGCGATGGATAGCAATCGCGCTCAATGGCTGCCTCGTGCACCAGGCGATCCAGCTCGTCTGTGGTGATGCCCACCTCCACAGCCTTGGCCCCCTCGTCCAGGCATTCTCTTCCCAGGCGGCCTGCCACTCGCATGGCCTCAATTTCTTCATCGTCTAGCACCTTGATGGTTGTGCCTCGCAGGGCTTCCTCCGAGAGCGACCGTCCATCTACGTGATCAGCATAGTCCGGACGTTGAATGGTCAGTGGCACTGCGCGCTTGGGGGTCTGCTCGAACGGACGCAGCTTGCCGGTGTATTTGAACTGTGGCCAAGGGTTGTAAGCCCCATTCTCGGCGGGGGTCTTCTGTGCTCCACCTAATTTAAATATTTCAAATATTTTATTCATTTTGATACGAATTTATACGAAGTTTAAGACGCGCACTGAAACTAAACGATATTTCATAACGTACCTGCCAAAGCGTGAATAGCCTTATGTTCCTTCCAGAAACCCTTGAAGCAGGTCTGGGAACAGAAGAAGGACCCCTTGATGCCCAGCTTGAGGCAGCTGGGACATTGCAGAGTCGCCTCCTTGCCGCAGTTGGTTGTCTCGCATATCTGAGTCATTTTATTATTTCACAAATATTTTATTTGTATTTTCTTTCCAATATAGTGATAAATAATGTGACAGCGGATTTATGAATCAGATATACCTCAGAAATATATTGAAATATACCGAATAATTTTCAAAATATATCGTACATATACTGACGAATTTGAGTTCTTGTTTACATATTCCTCGTTTTTGATATTCCATCGAATATTCTTAGCTATATAGATCTCTCAGTTTTGCCCATATAATTTTATATGATTGATGAATCAAGTTTGATCAGGATTAACTATTTTTAAGTACTTGCATGTATTGTATTTTGACAAAAACACGGTTTCAACAAAAATAGAGCAAGTGCCACCAAACTTGAGCGCCAAAGAGAAATTGTTTGAAAGTGAATGAGCGAATAGGGTTTAAATGAAATCCATTGAAATAAATTGTGCACGGAAGCACGATTTGAGAGAGCGAAATTCAAAAAACCTGCGAATCGATGTTTCTATATCCTTTGTTCTTAAATATACCTTTAAATATTAAATTTAATACATTGATAAAATATACCATTTATTACCGTAAAAAACGAAAAAACAAACAACGAGATGAACAACTTTAAATAATGGACAACGATAAACATAACAGACGATAAATAAATGGCAAAACTCGGTATTAATGCAAAAAACATCAGTATTTTTGTGCGTTATGGGTATTTTTCATCGAACACTGTTCAACACTGAAAATATAATATACCTAATATAGCTATACCATGCGCTTGAAATGCAAAAGAGTGAAAAATAAGAAACTTTAAAACTAACTATATTTATTAAAATACTAATTCAATTATAAGAATAACAAGTGGGCATATTTGATAAAATTAACCAATAAATTCAATTTTTCCCAAGAAGTATGTTCTTATTATTATTAAAAGTACCATTTGAACGGCAAAAACAGAAAGCGCGCCAACCCGAGTTTCAAATTTACACCCCCATTGGTGTGCTATTCTGGCAAGATGCTGTGTTTATATATATATTCCACATCCCTACTGTTTACGTTCAAAACGCGAACAACTTCGGCAGTGAACGGACATGATTTTCGCAGTGGCGGTAAAAGAATATTGAAAACGAAAGAATATTGGCAACAAACTTGTTTGCAACAAATGGCAGAACACAAAAATATCTGCAGCAAAGGCCAAAAGGATAAATCTCTTTGGTTCTGAAGTGAGTGTTTGTGTAACCGGAAGTCATGGATGTGTTTATGGATTCATTGATAAAAACTTAATGGAAATAATTCGAATGGGATTAGGAATTCGGTTTATTCAACAAGTGTATTTCGAGTATGTGTGATTTTTGATTGGACTGCTGAACACCTCGTGGCTGCCACGCTAATCGCTCCGCTTAATCGGTGCTGTCTTTTCGAGAGTCACTTAGTCGCGATCTTCGCACTCGATTCTAATTCGATTATAATCGTTGTGTGCATTTAAGTGTGTTATCAGTTGTGGGTTTTGTTTTTGCATTATACGAGTATATGTATGTACATGTGGACATGTACAAGGCTCGTATGCTTGAGCAGACAACAAATGAACACGCCGCTGCTGCCTCCTCTGCCCCTGTTGCTCTGCTGGTCTGTTGCTGATAGAAGCGCAGCATTCAATGGCTATAAATAACAAGCGGCACGCGGCGCGCTGACTTGCCTCTGCTTCTGTCTCTGCCTCTGATTGTGTGCACTGCCGCCGCCAGTATCATTGCCTCTTCCTCAAGTGCCACTGCTCCCCGTCTTGGTGGGTGTTTTGCGTCTTACGCTTCCTTCTATCTACATACATATGTCTGGCGATGCTGTGCGGTTTCCAGTTTTCCGCTTTTCATTTCACACATCGCAAAAGTAAAAACAAAAAACAAAAAAACAAATAAACCTCAACGCAGATGATCGTCAATTGCCAATCTAAAGGCCGCCGGCATAATTAAAATAGAATGTTATATTTTATTTATTTTTTTTGTCGATTTCGCTTTGTTCTACGATTATGTGCTTTTACACAGTATGTGTTTCGGTGTAGCCTACTGCAATACGGAACCAGCCGGAGTCAAGGTGCCCATGATCTCCGAGCAACGGCCACGATGATGCGAAATAGTAGAGCCAGATTCCTCTCGGTAGCAACGAACTCGATGGCAGACCCCAGTTCCACAGTTCCCCAGCCCCACAGTGCCCCAGTCTTGCCTGTCTGATCGCGCGGGCCTTTTATTCATTGTGTTTCTCTCTCCTTTGCTTTTTTTGGTCAACGATCCGCATTTGTGGTCTGTCTGGCGTCTGACGTCTGGCGTCTGCCGTATGCCCGGGGCACCGGCAATTAAAGGTAAGCTGGAGGCCCAAAAGGCAGCCTGCACGTCCGCGCATTAGACTTAATTGGCTCTGGGTCTGGGTCTGGCTCTGGATCTGCAGGGCCCTGCACTGGTTCCTTCTTCGGGACTTCTTCAGGAATGTCGTCTTCCAGATTGTTGCAAAACTTTTTCATATGCTCCGCATTTTGTCTGTCCATGCTAGATGGAAATTTATGCGTGACGGGGAAAGAAAAGAGAGGTAAAGTGAAATGGAAAATATGAAATTCAAAATGTTTGCGGGGGCGGCCCTTCGGCCCCCTCTCTCTCTCTCTCCCTCTGAGACGCCTCAACACTTCCGTTTTGCCAG